TAAAAGTATCTGAGCGGGAGCACAAGACTTAATGAGAGATGGGCGTGTTCTCAGAATAAGAAAGGCCTGAATATAAGGGAGTTCTAATAACTTGTTGGCAACTTGACAAAAATTATACACGTTCCTGAGAATGCAGGGGTCAAATGTTCCTTCCGTGGGCCAACGCTTGCCGATAAGCGGGTAGGTTGGCCAGACTTTCTGGCAGTAAAAAGTTAATTGTTTAGTTTTTATGGTACTTTTAATTTTTAGAGTATGTAAATTGGAAATTAGGCATTGTAAAGGCATATTTTGGGAGTTAGAAAATACGTTCCCCATGACTGATTCAGGCAAGAAAAAAGCCGGTGGTCCAGAACAAGCAGTCACTCGTTTGTGGCACCACGCGGTGGCTACGGTTCCAAAAACTTGTATATTCCAGTCGTCGCTGAGAGATTTACGAGTGGAGCCTGCATGGGGTCAGTAACAGTTTTGCCCGTGAAAGCGCAAGGCTTTAAGGGAAGTGAGGCATTCTTTCAGTGTGGGCAGTCCCAAAAATCTCTGCTTTGGGCTATCCGAACCCAAAGAACGTGAGAGATTTTATAGAGTGTGGACACAGGTTTGCCCAGAAAGAACCCTGCCCTGGGCTGTCCTAAGGACGTGAAAATGCACAGACCCACGTGAATGGGGAGAACAGTGGACTGGGGCTGCCCAGTGCCAAAAGTTCCCCGGGGAGTGCTCACCTGAAATCAGTCTGGCCGATGCTGAGTGCAGGCGGCTGGCGACAAGGACGTCTCGGGAGAGGAAAAAGCTCAGGATTAATCCAGGATGTTATCTGGTTATCGGCTAGGGGACTCAATTGGGTGTGTCCCAGGAGTCAATCGCCTCCCGATCGAGTCACAGCACCAAATGCTAGGATTATTTCCAAAAGATGAGAAGTATAAAATAAAAAGCGGCCTTTATTCTGAGAACACGGAGAGAGATGACCAGCAGTGAGGGTCCTGGGAATCCCCCAGGACCCCCACCGCTGGCGTCTGGCGATCTCTTCAGCCGACACGTGGCGTGGGGGCATGTAAATAGCTTCGGTTTGGGGTAGAACCTAAGGGGGCATTAGGGATGCACAGGTAGCCCATTGGTCTTAGTTTGATGCCAGAGGTAATTCCTAAGAGTGGGGGGAGATAGGAGCTCCTTGGCTTTACTGGCTACAGTATCTGGCCTGGGCCAAAGCCCTTTCATCTGGGATTGGTGGAGCTACAGACTGTGTAACTGTGCCTGGCTTCTGCCGTGGGACGTGAATGGAAGACGGGGTGGGATTTTCATATCGTGACTCTATTTCCCCTCTCACTCCACTTCTTAGAGCTGGCGTGCAGGCCTGTGTCCACCCTGCACGGGGGCACAGAACCACAAGCCCAAGGACCTGGGTCTTGAGTGAGGCCCACCCTGGCCCCCTCCTGTCCTCCGCTGTGTGTCTGGGGTCTCTTTCCCAGCACCCCCTGTGCGCACATTGACTTCCCGGGAGACACAGGCTCGGCTGCACCCCCCAGAGGCCGGGCAGGTAGCCCCACCCGGAAGGCCCTGAGGGCCGGGGCCAGGGCTCCTTCCATTGGTTGTGCTGCTGTCACCTTTGCCACATGACCTCTGTCCTTTTCGTGGCCTCTGGCAGGAAAGCTGCATCTCTACTCCTTTTTTATTTTGAGACAGTGTCTCGCTGAGCAGTCCAGGCTTGGAATCTTCCTGCCTCAGCCTCCCAAGGGCCTGGGGCTGAAGTTACAGTGTGGGCGGGACTGGCTCGCTCCCTGGCCTTCCTTCCCACCCTCCTGCTTTGTGCTTTGGCTGTGTCTTCCCCTTCTGAGTACTAGCACCCACTGTCTTTATAAAATGTCAGCTCTCACTGCAGGAAGTTGCCACAGCCACCCATCTCTCCTCCGCTCCCTCCGCCCTCTGCCTTCCCCTCAGGCCCTTCCTCTTGTTAATAATAATAGTCTCCTTTCTACTTTAGCTTCATTCTTTAGAGTTTCCCACAGAGGGAGGGCACGCCTGCGCATCTTTCTGAGTCTGGCTTATTTTAGTCAACACAATTATCCCCGGTTCCATCCGTTCTCCTGCAGATGACAAACTTTCATTTTTCTTTACAACTAAATAATACTGCACTGTGTGTATAGACACATTTTCTCAGCCATTCAGGTGTTGATAGGCACTGAGGCTGATTCCACGTCTCAGCATCTGTGGCTCGTGTCCCAAAAAGCATAGGGATAGCTGAGTGTGGTGGCAAAGGCCTTGAGTCCAGCCTTCTGGGAGGCTGAGGCAGGAGGGTTGTAAACTTCAGCCCAACCTGGGCAATTTGGTGACTCACCAACACTTTACCTCAAGATAAAAAATAAAAAAATAAAATAAAGACTGAAGATGTAGCTCAGTGCAAAGGGCCTGCGTTTAATCCCTAGCATTGAAAACAACAACAACAAAAAAAAAAAGAACAAAACCATGAGTATGTGAGTGTCCTCATAGTACGGTGACTTTTATTCCTTTGGGTGGGCAGGAGTGGACAGCTGGTCACGTGGTGCCCCCCCCCCCCCCCCCGCCTTAGTGTTTGAGGAACTTCCATTCTGATTTCCACAGCAGCCGTTCCGGTTTGTTTTCCCACCCACGGTGCAGGAGTGTTCTTTCTTCAGGTCGGGTCATCATCATTTTCTATTTCTTTATTTCTTTCTTTAGTTTTTTGGCTTATTGAGACAAGGTCTCCCTATGCAGTTCCGGCTGGCCTTGAGCTTGCTTTGCAATCCAAGCTGGTCTCAAACTCACAGAGATTGTCCTGCCTCAGCCTCCCGAGGGCTGGGATTACAGGCGCACAGCACCACACGCTCATGGCTTCTGGATGTTACTTGTTGCCGGGTTCTGCTCTCGAGGTCTGTGCCTGTGTCTGCAGTCTGGGGTGCATCCTGCATGTTTTCCTAGCACATCTCCCACCGAGGCCCTTGACCCATTTGGGACTGACTTTTACACAGGGTGAGAGACAGGGCTCTAGTCTCTCTCTCTCTCAGCCTCCTGAGTTCTGGGATTACAGGCGTGCCCCATGCCTCGGTTTCAGTCTCCACACGAATCTGGCTTCCCCAGCAGCATCTGTGTGGCTGTGGGTCCAGAATCAGATGTCTGTGGTTGCTGGATTTGTTGTTGTGGTGGTGGTGTTGGTGTGTGTGTGTGTCCTCCACCCTGTTCCGTTAGTCTATGAATCTGTTTTTGTGTGTCTTCCCCGTGGCTTTGTGGAATAAGCTGAAATCACATGTTCCGATGCTTCCGCTCTTGCTCCCTTTGCTCAGGATGGCTTTGGCCACTCTGGGTCTTTTCTGTTTCCGTGTGAACCTTTTTCCAGTTCTGTGAAGAATGTCACTGATGCCCTTTTTTCTTTTTTTGATACTGTGGATTGAACGCACGACCTAGTGCTTGCCAGACGGGTGCTTGTGCTCCTGAGCTAAATCCCCGGCCCCTATGTCATTGGTAACCCTGATGGAGATCGCATGAATCTGTAGGTAGCTTTTAGCAATATGTCATGTTAGCAATATTAATCCTGCCAGTCCCTGAAAGTGGCAAGTCTTCTAGTGTCTTCTTCAGTCTCCTTCTTTAGTATCCTGTAAATGTCATTGTATTCTTACCTCCTTGGTTAGATTGAACTCTAAGGTATTTTAATTTTTTAAGTTAATGTTGATGGAATTGTTTTCCTTAGTTTTTTCTTAGCCAGTTCATAGTTGGTGTGTAGAAAAGCTACTGATTTTTAATGTTGACCGTGTGTTGCTTTGTTTTTGGTATTTGAGACAGGATTTCACTATGTGGTCCAGGCTGACCCTAATGCATTCTGTCGCCCAGGCTGGCTTCAAACTTGTGGCAATCCTCCTGCATCAGCCTCCCTGGGTTCTGGGGTCATAGAGATGCACTACTGGACCTGGCCTAATGCTGACTTTATATCCTGTGACTCTTTTAGAGCAGCTCCTAGACACAAGCGAGGTGGCTTAATGAGACCCTTAAATATTGAGTAGCCTAAGTATTGAGTCAGATCAGGTTTCACTGTGCCCCAGTAACGTTTGTTGCCATGGTGACTTGTAAATTAGGGCACAAATCTGTGCTGGTGTGCATCCCCCAGGCAGCGCGACTCTGTCACTCCTCCACTCCCGGAGTAAAATCTATGCTATGCGGCGGTGCAAGCTGCCATCCTAGCCACTCAGGGGGCTGAGGCAGGAGGATGGTGAGCTCAGCCAGCCTGAGGAATTTGGGGAGACCCTACCTCAAAATGAGCGAGGGAGAGAGAGAGAGAGACAGAGACAGAGAGACAGAGACAGAGAGACAGAGGAGAACCAGTTTGAAGTTTTGTCTACCTGCATTTCATAGAAGTACAGGTTAATATCTCAGACTCCAAAATACTTTTCCAAAGTACTGAGTAAGAAACTCCATGTTTATTTCTTTTGTAAGTTGGAAATTTTTCCACCGGACTTTCCATAAACACATTGTAAACATTCTTCTCATCTTCATAATCAAGTGCTGATTTTATTCCTGGATTCTCTCCAGGGTAGAATTTCAGGGAAGAAAAGGATTGTGACTCTTCTTCTTCTTCTTCTTTTTTTTAATCAAGAAGTGCTAAGAAAATCGGTCTCAGTCTCCTGGAAGCATCTAGAAGACCACACAGTCCCAGGCTCCCAGGAAATAAAACCCACCGGGAAGAACCCAAAAGAAAAGGAAGATTTCACTTTATTAAAATGTTCTGTAATGTCCTGGGTGATTGTGTGCTTTTGATTATTCATGCAATAGCAAGTGTGCTTGAGTGCATGTGTGTGCACATGTGTGTGCCTGAGTGTGTGTGTGTGTATTCGAGTACGTGACTGCATGTGAGCCAGTGAGTGTGCACAGTGTGTGTACAGCATGGGTGGGTGTGAGTGTGCACAAGTGTGTGTGAGCCTGCCTGGGAGCACTGCCCAGACCCCAGGGTGTGCCCAGGTATTAGAGGCAGGTGCAGGTCTGCTCTGAAGCCCCGTCCCTCTGCAATTCCAGCCTTGGCCACTCCTAGTTTTGTTTCTCAGACAGCAAACAAAAAACCGCTGAGCCAGCATGGGGTTTCGGGAAGCCACGTGACCTCCCCACCGGCTCTCCTCGACCCTGCCCGAGGTGGACACCATGGACCCGCTGGTGGCTCTGCTCTGCCTGCTGCCCCTGTGCCCAGGTAGGGGAGGCAGCGGGGGGCTGAGCCCGAGCTGGCCAGGGGCTATTGCACCACTGGCCTTGCTCATCTGTGCGGCTCTTCCTCCCCGCCACCGGCGCTGCCCCTGCACCCACAGGCCTGGCAGCCACGGCCACCTCCTGTCCTCGGAACGTGAACATCACCGGCGGCAGCTTCACCCTCAGCCAGGGCTGGGCCCCCGGGAGCGTCCTCACCTACTCTTGTCCCCCCGGTAGCTACCCGTCCCCCGCGTCCCGGATGTGCAGGAGCAATGGACGATGGCAGACCCTGGGACCCACTGGGAGCTCCAGCCGGGCCATGAAGGCCACCTGCAGACGTGAGGCTCCTTTGGGGTCCTGGTGGGGTGCCCTGCCAGGGCTCAGCCCTAGATGTTTATGTAGGAGTTGCCTGTGGTGAGGGCATTACCCCGACTCTGTGGTGTGGGAGGAACTGCCAGGCTGCAGTAGCTGAGGGGCTAAGAAAGTTGGAGAATGTTACTTATGAGGCTGAAGCAGGAGGGTCGCAGGTTTAATTTAGCAAGACACTGTCTGAAAATAAAAAATCCGAAAGAACCGGGGATGTGGCTGAGCACTTGCTAAACGTGCGGGCCTTGGGTTCAGTCCCCACAACAGAAAAGCAAAGCATCAAATCACATTCTGGGAAAGGTCAGCCGCCTTGGAGGAAGTCGGGGTGGGCCGCGGCTCCAGGCGGGGAACCGAAGCGGCGGTGGCTGTGTGCACGCAGCCGGCTGTGCCAGCGGGTCTCAGGGCCCGCAGGGCTGGCGATTCACCGCAGCGAGGCTGAACTCCCGGGAAGTCACCTCAAACAGTGATTCTGTTTCCATCTCGGTGTCCCGCCCCGACAGCCAGCGCCCCCCCCCCCCAGCCAGCAAGCTGTCACCCACCTGTCCGCGCATCCCTTCTTCTCCCCCCAGCCATCCACTGCCCCGCCCCGGTCTCCTTTGAGAACGGTATGTTCTCCCCGCGGCTTGGGGCATACCCCGTGGGCGCCAACCTGAGCTTTGAGTGTGACGAAGGCTTCACGCTGCGCGGCTCCCCGTTGCGCAGCTGCCGCCCCAACGGCGTATGGGACGGGGAGACCACCGTGTGTGACAACGGGGGTGAGTGGGGCCTGCAGGGGGCTGGGATGGCCTCAAGGGCAGGGCAGCCTTGGGGTCCAGCCTGGGGGGGGGCGGCACAGGGGATGCACCCAGGGCGTGGGCGCCTCAGCGCCTGGCTCCTTCTCTGTCTGCTTCTGGGCAGGTCACTTAACCTCTCTGTGCCTCAGCTTTCCCATCTGTAAAATGGGCCAGGTGGTTCTGTATTAGCGTTTGGAGCGGCCACCAGCTCCTGGTGGACACTGCACATACTTCCAAGGGGGTCCCGGTGCCCCCCAAGGGGGGACTGTGGTCCCCAGGGCTCCACCAGCCCTGTGCACCTATGTGCTGCTGTAACACAGAAGACAGGCAGTGGCTAGGTGGCAGGTTACTTCCAGTTTGGAGCTATTCTGAGCAGTGAGGTCCTAAGGTTCTTCTTGTGGGTGCCTTTGGTGCCCTTTTTCCTTCTGAGTGAATGAACTGGATGTCGGGAGTGCTGACAGCCTGGCACCGATTTAGCTTTTGTCATGGCTGACAAATTGCTTGCTGGTGGAGCCTAAAGCATCACACAGGGGCCTGGTTGCTCTGTATCCTCTTGGGTGCCACCAGCTGTAGTGTCGGGCACTCTGTGGGGTGGGGTGGGCTCCCCAGCACTGTCTCCCCAGCACTGGCTCAGGGCAGGCACAGGTGTGGCCGAGGTCAGGGCTGGGACACTCTGCTCCCCTCTCTTCCCTGTCTGTGGCTCACCCTGGTTGCAAGGTCCCGCCTCTCCAGGCCCCCTCGGCTGGGCCAGTCTAGCAGGCTGGGAGGGACCGAGGGCTCAGCACCCCACTCAGCTCCGCCTCTGTCCGCAGCTGGCCACTGCCCCAACCCGGGCACCTCGGTGGGTGTGGTTCGGAAGGGGTCCAGCTTCTGCCTGGGGGACAAGGTCACCTACAGCTGTGCCTCTGGTCTGGTGCTCACGGGCTCTGCCCAGCGCGAGTGCCAGGACAGCGGTGTCTGGAGCGGGACGGAGCCCCTGTGCCGCTGTGAGTAGCCCTGCTATCCCCTAGCCCCGCTGTCCCCCGAGATGCCGGGCCCAGCCCTGCTGACCCCTGTGGCCCTCCCCACAGATCCCTACTCCTATGACTTCCCTGAAGACGTGGCCCCCGCCCTGGGTACCTCCCTGTCACACCTGCTGGGAGCCACCAACCCCACCCAGAAGAAAGATGGTGAGCACAGGGCAGGTGCAGGGCCGGGAGGGCACGGCCCGGAGGAGCGGTGGGAGCTGGACCCTCCCTCGCCATCTCCACAGAAAATGTGGCCCGAAAGATCCAGATCCAGCGCTCAGGCCACCTGAACCTGTACCTGCTGCTGGATGCCTCAAAAAGTGTGTCGGAGGAGGACTTCGAGATCTTCAAGCAGAGCGCCTCCTCCATGGTGGACAGGGTCAGGAACCGGTGCCAGGGCCTTCCCGGCCCACTGTCCTCCCTGGTTCTCAGGCCCACTCAGCTGTTGCTTCCTGGGAGTCCCCCAGATTAGGCCCAGGCCACGGTGGGGGGTCTTAAGTGAACTCACGCAATTGCATTGTTCATTCTACAACACACTTCAGGGCCACTACTGCCTGCCAGGCACGATGCTGGTTGTGGGTGCTTGGAGACCCCAAAGTGAACAGGGCAGAGCCAGCCGCGGTGGCACATGCCTGTAGTCCCAGCACTCGGGAGGCTGAGGCAGGAGAATGGCCACGAGTTCAAGACCAGCCTGGGCTACATAGCGAGACCCTCTCTCAAAAAACTGAAAACCAAAAACCAAACGATGCTCTTCCCCCCACCCCTCGCAAAAAAACAGGGCCAAGGTTTTATTTTCCAGGAATTCTTTGTGTCATAGATAGTAACAAGGTAGCCCTGGAGGGGGTGTGGTAGGCAAATGTTAGTGCCCTTGTTAAATAATTTATTTTAAAGAGGTTAATAATGTAATATTATTTTCCTTTTAGGATTTCAAATTTTGTATGGGTGTAGACAAGTGTGCAACACATTTGAGTGGAGAAGTGCTCATGAAATACATGACTGTCCATAGAGGCCTGTGTTGGAGTTTGTGCCTGAAATGTTTTCACTGACAGGCTGCAGGGATAGAAGAGTCTGGAAACAGTAGTTTCAATTCCTGGGCTGCACATGATTTCATAATGACTATTTCACAACATTCTTGTAGAGGACAGATTTTCCTCCCAGCTACAGCTGCAGATAGAACCCAGGGCTGGGTACTGTCTGGGTTGTGCCTGTAATAATCCCAGCACGTGGGAGGCTGAGGCAGGAGGGCTTCTGTGAGTTTGAGACCCTCCTGGGCTAAATAGTGAGTTTAAGGGCAGCCTGAACTACATAGTGAGACCCAAAACCCAAAACAAAGAACAGATGCTCAGCAAACATCATTTCTTGGTGTCTGCGAACCAGTTTCTTGTGAGTCTTGCCCCTGTCTGTCTCGGCCCAGGTCTGCCCGCTCCAGGGCCCCTGGCTCCCTGTCTTCCATGGTGGTACTTAGGTCCCTCACCCCATATCCCCTGCTGTCCACAGATCTTCAGCTTCGAGATCAATGTCAGTGTGGCCCTCATCACCTTTGCCTCAGAGCCCAACATTATCATCTCCATCCTGAGCGACAAGGCCCAGGACGTGACCGAAGTGATCTACCATCTGGAAAACGCCCAGTATAAAGGTGTGTGTGTGCACACATGCACGTGCAATGCGAGCTGGGTGAGGTGGCCCACGCCCATGGTGCCAGCCCTTGGGAGGCTGAGGCAGGAGGTTTGGGAGTTGGAGGGCAGCCTGGGCTACATAGTGAGGTTCTGTCGTAGACAACAAGAGGAAAGCAAAAGCTACAGGGGTCTCAAGGCTGACTGACAAAAAGAGAGGGTGCAGAGGGTCCACAAAGCCTGCAGCTGGGTCCTGGGGCGCTCCAAGGGAGGGAGTCGGGTAGGGGCGCCTGGCTCCCACTGCTCCCACTGCTTGCACTCCCAAGCCCAGGGTCCCAGTGCTGGCTCCCGAGGAGCATCGCTAAGGTAGAAAGGCTTTGAAGAGAAGACCTCTGTGAACAGCAGGGGTTCGAGTTTATCAAAGCAGCTCAGTAACCTGCACTTCCAGAGGTCAGAGGACTGCGTCCCTGTGGGGTCCTGCTTTGCCCCATACCAGGCGGAAGGGGGAATTTCTCAGCATCTCTCCTTTGGCGCATTCCAGGTCATGAAAACGGCACCGGGACGAACATCTACAAAGCCCTGTACAGCGTCTATATCATGATGAACAACCAGATGGCCCTCCTTGGCATGGAGACGATGGCCTGGCAGGAGATCAGACACGCCATCATCCTCCTGACGGATGGTGGGTGTCTTGGTTGGTCCTCCTGCCTCAGTCTCCTAAGTGATGGGATCATGGGTGTGCACCACCCCGCTTGGCTCCTGGGCTTTGGTCTTTTCTTTCTCCCCACAGCAAGTGTATTTCAGCAGAATGAACTGAACCACACTGCAGTTAAAAAATTACTTCTTACAAGAAAGCCCTGTAATTCTTTGTAGATGAGATGATTTTTCTGGCATTATTAACGCCATGACAATATACAGAGAATTCTTTTTAATATATACGTTTTAGTTTTCTAAAACTCATCCATACTTACAGAGTACAGTGTGTACTCCATATTATACATATTTACGTAGCCAACCTGGGTTACATATTCGGTCCCTGTCTCAAAAAAACAAAAAACAGGGGCTGTGGATTTAGCTCAGTGGCATAAGCGCCTGCCTTGCAAGCAGGCAGTCATGAGTTCGATCCCTGGTACCAATAAAAACAAACAAAAAAAAAAAAAACAAAAAAGACAAAAAAAAAAAAAAACCCCACAAAAAACCAAAAAACAAAACAAAACAAAAAAACACCACAGCTGGTAGAGCTGATTTGGACATCTCCAGCACAATGAAATGATAAACATTTGCAGTTATAAGATGCAACAACTACCTTGATCTGGTCCTTGGTACTTTGTAGCCCAGGCTGGTCTCGAACTCGCAATGATCCTTCTGCCTCAGCCTCCAGAATGCTGGGATTCTAGGTGGGCGCCACCACACCTGGTTGCACAGTGTGTTTTGAAGTGGCTTCATTGAGGTTCCAAGGCTAAATGCTTCCCCGAGGCTTCCCTCCTCATCGGGATCCCGGGCACCACCCCACGGGCCACTCTTTACCCTCTTGCTTCTAGGAAAGTCCAATATGGGGGGCTCACCCAAGCCGGCCGTGGACGGAATCAAAGACATCCTGAACATTAAGCAGAACAGGAATGACTACCTAGGTGAGCCTCCCCCACATCCCTGTGGGGTCCTGCTCCTCTGCCTGCCCCGGGTGTTGGTGGTGTTGCGGTGCAGGCTGGGAGCCTCACGGCTGTCCCTCTGAGGTCCTGTGAAGGTGGCTTAGGCTCCTGGGGTGGAATTCGGGGCGTGGCCTCTTTGCCCCCTCCCCCCCCCCATTGCTGTGGTCCACACCTCCTTCTCGAATTTCAGGAACCTTTCCAGGAAGAAGGGACCAGATTCTCAGCGGGGACAGTCCCTGCCTGCCCTTCCTACTGTCCCTCAGGCAGCAATGGGTTAGCTGACTAACCCTCTGGCTGTCACGGCCTCTGACAGAACAATTCCTCAAGTTCAGGGAAAACAATTGCACTCACTACCCGGAAAAGAATGAGCTTGTCTTTTTCAGTACCAGTGACTGAACCCAGGGCCTTTATGCAGAGCTGCAGCCTCCACCTTTAAAAACTATTTTCACTTTGAGACAAGGGCTCACATAGTGCTAAGTTGTCTAGGCTGGGCTCAAATTCTGGACCCTCCTGTCTCAGCCTCCCCAGTAGCTGGGATTGCAGGTGTGTGCCTCTGCACCTGGCTCATAGCTGGTTTTGAGCCTTGAAAAATCTTTCCCCTTGGGTCTTCTTTCCATCTGGGTAAGCTGATCATGTGTGTGTGTGCATGTGCGTGTGTGTTTTGCCTCACACGATTTCTCTTTAAAATCCTCTGGCCCAAGGAAGACAAAACTCAAATCCATTTCCTTCCTCCTTAGCACTTGGAACAGAATCAAACGCTTGAAAACTCTACTGAAAAGACATAGGTTGCTATGGTTACAGACGCCAATATAGCAAGAGCCAATCACTGATTTAAATTTTAATTTCTCCAGTTAAGATGTGTGCAGAGTACAGAGCACACAGTCACTGTGCTAACATCCCTCCTGGAGAGAGCAAGGCCCACTTCAGGATGCGCTTTCCGAGCTCCTGGCCTGGGCAGCAGCCTCGCTGTGCTATTAAATGTTCGCAGCCCTGCAGGCCACAGAGACCTCTGTCAGTGGCGTCACCGCCTGTGTGTGGAAGGGGTGACTCGTGGGTGAAGTGCGGGGTGTCTGTCAGTAAGCCTGAACTAAGCCGCCTGCTCTAAGTGGGTTGATTCATAAGTAACTCATATTTGTTTAAAAAAAGGGAGGCCAGGAAGGCTGGGGAGAGCCAGGGGAGCACTGGACCCCAGCCACAGGGCCCCCACCTCAGAGCCCAGCGGGAACTGGCCTGCAGAGACCCTGCTTCGCAGTCAGGGGCTCTGGGGGTCGGCACTCAGCTCCACCCCTTGGTGGTGACACAACAGGTGAAAAGGACACCAAAAAAATAGATATATTATTTTTTAAGACATTTAAAGAAAAAGAAAAGAACACCAGGGGCGGTGGCAGCTGACTGGCTGCGGGGTGTGGAGAGAGACAGGCTGGAGGAGGAGGGGCCATGACATCCGTCCGGGACCACCAGAGAAGGAAGGAGCTGGTGTGGGGTGCCCAGGACTGCAGGGCTCTGAGGACGAAGGCAGGGAGTGGCCAGGGAGCCCCTGGCTGGTGGGCACAGGAGTCCCCATCGCAGCCTCTAGGCTGTGGGGCGGCCTCCGGATGGACGCTGGCCCCTGCTCCCACAGATATCTATGCCATCGGGGTGGGCCAGCTGGACGTGGACTGGGCGGAGCTGAACCAGGTGGCGTCCCAGAAGGATGGGGAGAAGCACGCCTTCAAGCTGCCCGATGCTGCCGCGCTACGCCAGGTCTTCGAGCACATGCTGGGTATGCAACTGCCACCCATATCACCACGGGGACGGGGCGGGGGGCGGAGCCTGCGGGCCAGGCGAGGAGCACTGTCCCCCATGCCTGCTCCCTGACCTTCACTCCGCAGACGTCTCCAGGCTCACAGGCACCATCTGCGGGGTGGGGAACATGTCAGCCAATGCCTCTGACCAAGAGCGGGCACCCTGGCATGTCACCATCAAGGTACAGGAGGGCCCAGGCTGGGACCCCAGGGGGAAGCAGCTGTCGGGTGGGGACCGCCCTGGTCTCAATACCGCCTGCTCCCCCAGCCCAGGGGCCAGGAGACCTGCCGTGGGGCCCTCATCTCTGACCAGTGGGTGCTGACAGCGGCTCACTGCTTCCTCCAGGCCAAGGACCACTCCATGTGGAGGGTCATCGTGGGTAAGGTGGCTGGCCAGCTCCCGAGCCCGTTTCCACAGCTTCCCCCAGTCCCTGGCTGCTCCGGAGTCCTAGCTGCAGTGTTATTCCCAGGGGATCCTGGCTCCAGGTGGGGCAAAGAGTTCCTTATTGAGAAGGAAGTGATCCACCCCGGGTTTGATGTCCGTGCCAAGGAGGGTCAAGGCATCCTGGAGTTCTACGGTGATGACATTGCCCTGCTCAAGCTGGCCCAGAAGGTGAAGATGTCCACTCACGCCAGGTGCCTGAGACCGGGTGGGACAGTCCCTGCAGGGACGTGTGCTCTGGCGAGGCCCCTGGGGGACTTGGAGGACAACCTGGGGGACACACAGTCTTCTCCCCAGGCCCATCTGCCTTCCCTGCACCATGGAGGCCAACATGGCTCTGCGGAGGTCCCAGGGCAGCACCTGTCGGGACCACGGTGAGCACGGGGCCAGGTTTCGGGTGCCACTCTGCGGTTCCCAGACTGAAGTCTGGATGTGGTGTGAAGGGGCTTGGACTAGCGTCTCCTCCTCCTTCCTGGCAGAGGCAGAGCTGCTGACCCCGAAGATTATCCCTGCCCATTTTGTGGCCCTGAATGGCAGCAAACTGAACATGAAACTCAGGACAGGGACTGAGGTGAGGGGCTCAGGGTGGAGGTGCTGCCTCCCCTCCCATGGCTCCCCAGGTGTTGCTCCTCCTCTTCCCCCTCCCCCTCCCCTCCCCCCTCCTCCTCCTCCCCTCCCCCTCCCCCCCGCTCTGGCTGCTTTCCACCTCTGTCTGAGGCCTAGCTGTCCACCGAGCATCCCAAGGCCACTCATCCCATCCTCCCCCATCTTCTCTCTCCCGACACCTGTACTGCAGAGGGCGAGGTGTATCGAGGTTGTTTCCCAGGACAGGAAAACATTCCCCAACCTGACGGATGTTGGAGAGGTGGTGACAGACCAGTTCCTATGCAGCGGGATGGAGGGTGACGCCAACCCCTGCAAGGGTGAGGACCCTCAGCGCCTGGGTACTTGTGGGCTGCTGGGATGCCGCCCCTCATGACCCTGTCTCTGGTCCCTTTTTGCTGGCAGGAGAATCTGGGGGAGCAGTTTTCCTGGAGCGCAGGTTCAGATATTTCCAGGTAAGAAGGCCAAGCTCCCGGGGCTGGGCTCTCAGTCCAGCAGGGGCCCAGCTGGGGGACCTGGAAGGGCCTGGGGACAGGGCCCCAGCACGTCTCTTTCCTTCCCCCTAGGTCGGCCTGGTGAGCTGGGGCCTCTACAACCCCTGCTACGGTGCTTCCGATAAGAATGTGCGCAGGAAGGCGCCCCGAGGTGCCCCGCCGCCACGAGATTTCCACATGAACCTCTTCCGCCTGCAGCCCTGGCTCAGGCAGCACCTGGAGGGCGTCCTGAACTTTCTGCCGCTTTAATCAGGGTGGCCACGTCCTTGGCTGTCTGGCTAGCCTCTGCCATCTCTCTTGTCTTCTACCTCCAAATGCCCACTGGCAGGGCCTGTGCCCCATCATCTCCTCTCGAGGCAAAGACCCTGGGCCTGGGGCCCAGAAGCGCTGGGGTGCCCCGAGCCCATGCCGGTGTGACCATCCCTAACCACTGCCCCCTGCCTGGCCTGTGCTCAAAACCTCCCCTGGGATAGTCGGATCCTTTTCATTTCACATGGAATTCCCCACTTATGAAATTAATAAAATGCTAAGATTTCCACATCTGCTGGGCCCTCTGCTTGGGGGTGGGGAGGCCAGTGTGATTCCAGGAAGGTCAGAGACCCTGCCAGACAAACAGAGGTTGGACTCTGCCCTGTGCCCCAGGCTTGGAGGGTGAACCGGCCTGCTGGGTGGTCTGAGCTGGCCAGGAGGACCAGCGGGACTGAGAAGAGGCACTGACCAGGAGAGTCCTGCTGGGCTCGGCTCCAGTGGCAGGGGTGGGGCTGGAGGCGTATTTCTTCCCTGGCTGCTCAGTGGGGGCCTCCTGCTGGGCTATTCCAGGAAGGCAGTGTGTGGAGGGCAGGCAGGGCCAGTGCAGGTGCCAGAGCACACTGGATAAAAGGCTGGGGGCAGCGGGCAGGGAAGGCGGCCAGGCCCTGATCTGCGGTCAGCCAAGCGGGCACACGGCACAAAGCCAGAGAAGCACCTCCGTGCCTGGTCCCAGGACTCGTCTGCCTTCTGCTGCCATGGGGCACAGTGTTGGCCCCTGGCTCTGCCTGGCTCCCTTAGTCTTGGGGCTGTGGTCTGGAGGTAAGTGAGGGCGGCCTCCCCTGGCCCCTGCCCACAGCGTCCCTCCTGGCTGGTGGCCGGGCTTCAGCAGTCTTTTCCCTCAGGTGTGAGCTCCACCACACTGCCCACATCCAGGCCCTGGAGCCCCTGCTCTCTGGAGGGGATAGAGATCAAAGGTGGCTCCTTCCAACTTCTAAAGCAGGGCCGGGCCCTGGAGTACGTGTGTCCCTCGGGGTTCTACCCTTACCCAGTGCAGACGCGGATCTGCAGGTCCACGGGGAACTGGAGCAGCCTCAAGACTCAGGACCACAAGATCGTCAAGAAGGCCGAGTGTAGAGGTGGGGGGCGGGGCTGAGGTCAGCCCGGGGGGCTGTGCGGAAGAGGGGAGTCCAGCTGGGCCCCGCCAGAGCAGCTCTGGGTGCAGCGGGAGGGGGATGCAGAGCACTGCCTAGTGTCAGGCGGCCCAGCAGGAAAATGGCGCCTGGAAGTGGGGGTGCCGCCCTGGTGGGACCAGGAGGGTGCTGCTTCTCTGTGACAGGGCCTTCTCCTCTTGGTGACTTCTGCTTGTCCTCTTCCCCAAAGCGATCCACTGCCCGAGGCCCCAGGAGTTTGAGAATGGGGACTACTGGCCGCGGTCACTACACTACAACGTGAGTGACGAGATCTCTTTCCACTGCTACAATGGCTACACGCTCCGGGGCTCTGCCAACCGCACCTGCCAAGCCAACGGCCGGTGGGATGGACAAACAGCCATCTGTGATGACGGAGGTGAGGCCCCACCTGAGGTCAGGCGTGGCCCTTTGCCTGCGCTCGGGGCCTGACCTCTGTGTGCCTCACCCCCCTGCAGCGGCCTACTGCCCCAACCCCGGCATCCCCATCGGCATGAGGAAGGTGGGCAGCCAGTACCGCCTGGAAGATACGGTCACCTACCACTGCAGCAGGGGGCTCATGCTGCGCGGCTCCCAGCAGCGCAAGTGCCAGGAAAGTGGCTCCTGGAGTGGGACGGAACCTTCCTGCCAAGGTGACCCCTGCTCCTGCCCCAACTCGTGTCTATGTCTCCCAACCTGGGGTCCCCACCTCCAGACTGTCTTCTCTCCCTGCACACCCCGGCTCTTCCCAGACCTCCCTGAGAGCTCTGTAGCCCTAGAAATGCACCATCCTGGTCTCTGTGCACTGTGGCCCTCGCGTCCTGATCCGAGCTTCTACTTCTCCAGACTCCTTCATGTATGACACTCCCCAGGAGGTGGCCGAGGCCTTCCTGTCTTCCCTGACCGAGACCATAGAAGGGGTCGATGCTGAGGACGGGCACAGCCCAGGTCTGGGGCATAGTGGACATGGGTAGGGGACCTGGATGGGGCGGAGCAGGGTCGGAGAGCTCTGTGCGTGGTTGGAGCCTGGTCTCGGTGTCCTGCAGGGGAGCAGCAGAAGCGCAGGATCATCCTGGACCCTGCGGGCTCCATGAACATCTACCTGGTGCTGGACGGCTCAGACAGCATTGGTGCCAGCAACTTCACGGGGGCCAAGAGGTGCTTGGCCAGCTTGATCGAGAAGGTGGGGTCTCCTCCCTCTGAAAGCAGGGGTGCCGACCAGACCGCACTGCCCTTCCCAGACTGACTCTGTGGTCCCCCAAGCCCCCGAGTCTCAGGGTCCCAGGGTGCCTTTGGGCCTTTCTGGCCTCCCCTTTTGCCCTGAAGTAGTGTCTGTCTTGATGCTTAGCAGCCCTCCAGCTTTGCCCTGGCTTCTCCTGTCTGGAAAAGGTGCCGAGTTCTCCCAACTGACCGGTCTTCTTGGCCCCTAACTCACAGGTGGCGAGTTACGGGGTGAAACCGCGGTATGCACTTGTGACTTACGCCACAGAACCCAAAGTCCTGGTCAGTGTGGTGCAGGACAAGAGCAGCGATGCAGATTGGGTTACTGAGAAGCTCAACAAGATCAGCTACGAAGGTCGGAGTCAGGGGAAGGAAGCGGGGGTTCGCAGTGCTGTGGGGAGTGGCCGCAGAGCAGGGCCAGGGAGGACAGCTCTGCAGCAAGGTTGGCGGGGAAGGGTGGCCCAGGTGGCCGCAGGGGTCCGTGGGATCGCAGGGATGTAAGGGATGCCTCCTCTTCCGTCCGCGCAGACCACAAGCTCAAGAGCGGCACGAACACCAAGAGGGCACTCCAGGAGGTGTACAACATGATGAACCTGGCGGTGGACAGCCAGCCTGGCAGCTGGAACCGCACCCGCCACGTCATCATCCTCATGACCGACGGTCAGCAGGGACCCTTCCCTTTCCCTCTTGGCCGGCCACATGGCCCTGTGAGGTGTCCCCCTGGGGCTGTCAGCTTCCCTGTGGCCTCCCCCAGCTGCCTCAGACCCCTTCATCTTCCGCTCTGGTGTAGCACCCTCAGGGCTCCATTCCTTCCGTAGGCTTGTACAATATGGGCGGCGACCCGGTCACCATCATCCATGACATCCGGTACTTGCTGGACATTGGCAGGGACCGCAAGAACCCACGGGAGGATTATCTGGGTGAGCAGGCAGCCTGGGGCCTGGCGTGGGGTTCCTGGGGCGTGGACGCCCACCTCCCTTCTCACTGCAGATGTGTACGTGTTTGGCGTGGGGCCCCTGGTGGACCAGGTGAACATCAATGCCCTGGCTTCCAAGAAGGATGGCGAGCAGCACGTGTTCAAAGTCAGGGACATGGAGCACCTGGAGGATGTCTTCTTCCAGATGATTGGTAGGGAGACTCGGGCCCCAGCTTTGGCTCAGTACCCCATGCCCTGGCCCAGCCCCGTTTCCCTCTCATCTGGAAGCCCATTGGTCTCATTTCTGCATGGACATGGAAACCGAGGCCGAGCCAGCAAGAGCTGGGCCTCAACATGGCTGGCTCATCGGGTGCTCAACCCCGAGTTCTTTTCACTGCGCCCAGTGCTCCCATGTGGCCTCTGCCTCCTGTGGGCACCTGCTGCCCATGGACACGCAGGGACCCTTTAGTGGGGAGTGTGGCCCTGGGCTCAGCACCCTTTCCACTCGCCCAGATGAGAGCCAGGCTCTGGGGCTCTGCGGCATGGTGTGGGAGCACAGGAAGGGCACGGACTACCACAAGCACCCGTGGCAGGCCAAGATCTCGGTCACTGTAAGCCAAGTGTGGTGTCCCAGGTCCCAGGTGGGGTGTGTGGGAGCACGGCCCTGGCCCTGGCAGCTGAAAGTCCCCTCTGCTGTGCTGTACCCAGCGGCCACAGAAGGGCCACGAGAACTGCATGGGGGCCGTGGTGTCCGAGTACTTTGTGCTGACGGCGGCCCACTGCTTCACTGTGGAGGACCAGAAGCACTCCATCAAGGTCAACGTGGGTAAGGGCACCGCAGCCTGGCCCATTGTTGGGGGGGGACCCCGAAAGTCTCTGGCGACCTGAGCCAGAGGCCAGGGGCCGCCTGCAGGAAAGCAGCCTCCGCTTGCCCCCCAGGAGGGAAGAGGCAGGACCTGGAGATAGAAGAAGTCCTATTTCACCCTAAGTACAACATCAATGCGAAAAAGGAGCAGGGGATTCTGGAGTTTTATGACTACGATGTGGCTTTGGTTAAGCTCAAGAATAAGGTGACATTCAGCCAGACTCTCCGGTGAGAATGCGGGTCCCGAGTGGGCTGGGGGGACTGGAGCCAGGATGGGCCGTGACTGTCCCCATCCCAACAGGCCCGTGTGCCTCCCCTGCACCCTCGGAACAACTCGAGCCCTGCGGCTTCCACCCACAGCCACCTGCAGGCAGCACAGTGAGGCGCGGTCCAGGACAGGGCAGGGTGGGATGGGACTGGGGGTTGGGGTAACAGGAGAGGCTGCAGGAGGCCAGGCTATCCTTTCGGGGCTCTCCACAGTAGCAAACGCAGCCAGAGTATGGGTGCTGAAGGCTTGCCACCCTGGCCTAGGGCACAGAAAGGGCTCGAGGGACGAGTGAGGGCTGGGCAGCGGGGAGGCTGGTGTACCCGTTACACCCCCACGCCAACCCCCGTGCAGAGGAGGAGCTGCTCCCTGCCAAGGATGTCAAAGCCCTGTTCATCTCTGAGGAGCAGAAGAAACTGACCCGGAAGGAGGTCTACATCAAGAACGGAGAGAAGGTGAGCGACGGGGGTGCCGCGTAGGGTGCTCCAGGCCCCTACCCCTTCCCCTGCCGCTGCAGCCATCACTCCTTTTGCCCCTGCAGAAAGCTGGCTGTGAGCAGGATGCCAAGCATGCCACAGGCTACGACAAAATCAAGGACATCTCTGAGGTTGTCACCCCCAGGTTCCTATGCACCGGTGGAGTGGACCCGTACGATGATCCCAACACCTGCAAAGGTGAGGCGGCTCCTGGGGGGCCTGAGTGCCATGGCCCGGCGCTCCCATGCCTACAGCTCCTCTCTCCTACAGGAGACTCCGGCGGCCCCCTGATCATTCACAAGAGGAGTCGCTTCATCCAGGTGAGTGCTCCCTTCCCGTGGCAGGGGGAAGCACCTGGTTTGCACAGACCCCAGGGCTGGGGATGGGAGGATGACAGGGCCTCAACCTGGGTGGTTTAGGGTCACCTGTCTGCCCACGATGTCAAGGAGAATGGGGATGACAGGGCTCCCAGCCTGCTTCCTTTAGGCCAGCACAAATGCAGGTGGACCGAGCCCCACTTCCCAGCTTGAGGAAGAAACCGCACTGAGTGGCCCCCGGTATCCCCTCCCTGGCAGGTGGGAGTTATCAGCTGGGGAGTGGTAGACGTCTGCTATGACCGGAAACGGCAACAGCGGGTACCTGCTTATGCCCGGGACTTTCATGTCAATCTCTTCCAAGTGCTGCCCTGGCTCAAGGAGAAACTCAAGGATGAGAATCTGGATTTCTTATAAGGAGTTTTCAGCTGGAAAGGGGGCATGGGTTCGAATTAAAGCAGCTGCGATAATCACTGTGTTCCAAGGTCCTTTCGGGTAGGAGTGGGCGTGTGCACTGGCCGTGTGGTCAGTGAGCGCAGACCCGACCGCCGTTTGTCAAGGCCTGACCCAGACACCAAGTGCTGAGAGACCGGAGGCCGAGCTTCCACCTCGGTGTTTTACTGAGACTGAGACGGGCACTGGGGGCTCCAGCTTCACGCCCTAAAAGCCATCCACAAGGTTCTCCTTGTAGACATCGTCGCTGTAGACAATCTGGGTCCTCTTGTCCCGGTGGCAGCCCTTAGGGCTGTTCTGGACAGCTGAGGAGGAAGGAGGAGGACAGTTAGGGGCGCCTGGAATAACCCTGCCACCTGGTGGCTGTGAGGGCCGAGGTGCCAAACCGGCACCATGAAGGATGGAAGGCGCCACCATGGCACCTGTGGATAACGTGATACACGTCCTATTCTGAGGAAAATCAGCAAATGTTGCTGTGGAGACCTGTGTGAATGATGTAAACCCACGACTTTCAGTCATTATGCTGAAAATTAAAAACGAGAAAAGGTCTGCAGGTCTTGGTGATGTGCTGGTGTCTGGTTTCCTCCTGGGCAGTATCTGCAGGCCCAGGCTTGCTGGACCCTTCTTTCTGCCGTTTTCCCAGGGAAATCTGTTACTGACATGAAGGGTTATTCGCACTGAGAGACGTCACTGGTCCCCTGAACTCACGGGGGCAGCTCCGGCCAAAGCTCCCCCTCCTTCCCCTTCCTCTTTCCTTCGTACCGATACCAGAAGTGATCCTCTCTGTCCCGTCCCCAGGGCCCACCCGCCCGTTGGCCCAGTATAGTGCTCTGGCCCATTCCCACTGCCTTTGGTCTCTGCACCTCATCACCGCTGTCCATCTGTCCTTCTCAAGACCTGTGTCCCACAGGCTGAGTGGCCCGGCCTTTGATGCTGCCCCAGCCCCAGAACCTCTCTCATCTCCTCTGTGGCCGCCTCCTTCAGCCTAATGTGTCAGAACTGCCGGGCACATTGTGGGTCTTGGGGTGCACCATCCGGCTCCTGCCGGGTGCCCCAAATATCCCCTGTGCCAGGGCCAGTCACTCTTTTCCTCACAGTCATCTCCTTGATACCACTGCTGTGTGGCCACCCGGACAGAGACACAGCTGATCTACTGTTTCAAGTCTTTATGAACCCCGTCTTCCCATTGCTGCTGGGGGGTCGTTCCCGGTGCTTCTCTCCCTCCCTTGCCCCGAGTGACAGAGGGCCCGAGGACTCACCACTCTCACAGCCTCAGCCTCCACCAGGGAGCCAAGGACCTGAGGGGGACAGAAAGGGGGAAGCGGGCATGGAGGAGGAGGGAGCCTGGCCCTTACCGAGGGAGCCCCAGACGGACTTGCCGGTGGCAGCGTCCAGCATGGGCTGTTTGCGGGCTATGTTGACTTTGAGCTGCACGGACTCCACCTGGGTCCCGTTGAGCTGCGGCAGAAGAGGGGAGAGGACGGGGACAGCAGAGTGAGGGAACCGGGGGCCTGTGCTGGGGCTGCTGGGCCGGGAGCGGAGGGGACAGGACTGAGGAGCGGGCCTGTGGACAGACCTTGCCTGTCTGCCGCTGGGGGGCCAATCTACCCAGTTCCCAGGTGTTTCTGGGAGACCCCAAGAGATAGGGAGTGGGGGTGGGGACAGGAAGAAGGGGCCTGGGAAGTCTCAACCTCGGCCACCGCCTGATCTGCCGACTCCATCTTCTCATAGGTGACGAAGGCACAGCTGCGTGGGAGAGGATAGGGTGAGCGGGCCTGGGGCCTACGGGGCCCCATCCCGCTGCCCATAGGCTGCCGAGCGGGGCGTCTGGGTCCCTGCTGTGCTTACTTCCTTGGGGGGTCCATGGAGAGGTCGATGATGTTCCCGAAGGGCGCAAAGGCGCCACGGAGCAACGTGGGCGTCATGTCCTCCCCGTAGACATAGAGCGTGTTCCCCTTGCGTGGCGCTCGGCGCTCTGGGAATGAGTCCGACCCTGTGCGAGGGGGAGGGTCACGTGGGAGCCACACCCACAAGTAAACCCAGGTCACCTCACTCAGCCACAAAACCAGTGTCACTCACTGCGGAAGGGCCCCTCTCGGTCCCGGTCCCTGTCTCGGTCCCGGTCCCGGTCCCTGTCTCGATCTCTGTCCCGGTCTCTGTCCCGGTCCCGATCTCTCTCTCTGTCGCGCTCTCGGTCTCTGTCCCGCTCCCGCTCCCGGTCGCGGTCCCGATCTTTGTCCCGGTTCCGCTCGTGGCTGCGGTCGCGGCTGCGGCTTCGGGGAGGGGAGGCCGAGGCACGGGCACCACTGCGTTCGTCGTAGCCCCAGTCGAAGCTGCGAGGAGGACCCTCGCCCGCCCCAGGTCCCTCTGCCTCTTCTCCGTCTGGCCCCAGTTCCCGGAGCCGATCACTAGAAGACACAAAGCTGGGGCGACACAGACAGTGGAGGTCACAGGGGTCCCTCCCCCTCTTCCTCCCAGAGCCCTGCAGATGCGACGCCCCCTCCACGGCCCCAGACCTCCGTGACCCCACACCAGGTGACCTGGCTCTCTACCTCTCGTATAAAGATTTCCTCTGGGGACGTCTGGATGACTGCAAGAGAGACCAGCAGAGGTTGGGACCACTCGTGCAGCTGGTATGTGGGGCCTCCCGTCCCCTCAATCCCCAGCCGCTCCGGCAGTGCTTCGGGACCCACTACCTCCTGCAGGTTGTCGTCGGCTGACACGCTCCGCTGGAACGGCTGGAAGGTGGGTGCCGGCCCCTTCTCGGGGTCCTGGAGGCAGAAGCAGCTCATGTCAACGTGGGACCAGCAGGCTGCTGACCGAGTCAGGGGAGCTGCTCTTCCCGATTTTCTTGACTTCTCTGGGTCTACTTTTTCTCTTTAACTCATGTGTACTTCTTAGTTATAGCTATGACCCTTCCTTAGTGTTATTTATTTACTGGCAGTGCTGAGGCTCTAACCTAGTTTTACACCGACCCTGACCTTTTAAAAAAGTTTTAAGGGGCCAGGGATTCAGCTCAGTGGCATAAACTCCTACCTGGCAAGTGCAAGGTCATGAGTTTTATCCCCAGTACCAAAAAAAACCATTTTTTTAAACATTAAGTTTGAGACAGGGTCTTGCAAAGTGACTAAATTGCTCCAGCTGAGCTTGAACTGTGGTCCTTCTGCCTCAGCCTCCCAGAGTGCTGGGATTGCAGCCTCCTAGGATGCAGGAACTGCAGGTGTGCCCCAGCCTGCCTAGCTCAAGTACCGCTTTCTAAACAAGTGACCTGACATACACGGAAACCCCCTGCTTTACCCAAGCCTCTCCTGACATTTCAGACTGTCCAGCCTCTTGGAGGAACACATTCTGAAACTACCTCAAGGTGGATTACGGTCACGGGACATGTAACGTAGAGAAGATAACGCCACCTATTTTGGTACATTTTATGGACAGAAATCTAAAGTGCTGCTTGATTCTCTGTATAAGATCTCTATGAGTGGGAGAAAGAAACCTAATGCTCTGGCCGGGTGTGGCAGTAGTCCTAGTTACTTGGGAGGCTGAGCAGGACTGCTTGACCCCAGGAGTACAAAGTCGGTCTGGGCCATAAAAAAGGAAGCTAGCATTCAGAACTGCACAGCTATCTGTCAGTATCTGAACGTGCACTTTTTTTTGGTACGTTGGTGCCGGGAATCGAATCAGGACCTAGCACTGGCCAAGCAGATTCTGTACCACAGAACCATGTCCCTAGCCCTGAATACCTGTTATTGTTTCCCTAAACCCACTTCCCTTCCCATGTGGAAGGCTGCTCTCGGGGCCCAGGGTCCCCCCAGCAACGCCACTCGTGCTCACCTTTAACTTCCCCTCTAGGGTTCGGGAACGTTTGAAGCCTGAGTTCTTGGTCTCGGCCTTGATGGCACTGATGGCTCCTGACTTCACCAGCTGTTTTGCCTGCTCTGTGGCTGTGGCCGTGTCTACCACAGGCTGCTCTGACAGCGCTGGAGTGGCGAGTGACAGAGACGCAACGTTGGCTGCTAGTGGTGCTCGGCCCCACCGCCTCCTCGCCCCCTCCCCATCACTCACAGCGTTTGACGCCGCCCTGGCTGGACGTGCTGCTGCTGCTTTGCTTCTTCAGGGCCAGCAGTGCCTTTTTCTGGGAACAAGGAGGAGCAGAGACGATCAGCGAGCAGTGGTCCCCAGTCAGGTCCTTTCCCAAGGGCCCTGGGCGGATCACTCTGAGACGCTCTTCTCAGAGAACACACAAAAGGACCCAGCGGCAGCACATCAAGGCAGCCCTGCCTCCTGCATCCGATCCCCCAGGATCCTCTGTGACACCAGTGGTACTTAACCTAACCAAGCCATGGTACCTGAGGCTTTCTGGTCTCACATTTCTAAAGTTGAAGAAATGAACTGGATCAGGAACTAGAGCCCTAGGACGGAAGCAGCAAGTCTTCGTGCCCTCTGTGGGGGTTTCATCCCCTGCACATCTAAGGAAGCTGAGGCATTGCTGTAACAGGTACCGAGAAATAAAATACATGGTTCTGACCTCAAGAAGTCCACAGGCCACGAAATAAACCACAGGACTGAGCCGCCAAGAATGATGACAGAGGGGGCGTTACTTGCAGATGAGCGCAAACGACAGTTTCTGATGTTTAAACAGCTACTAAACTGGGCCCTGAGCTAGGACTTCCCTAACACAGATACACAGGAAGGTATTTTAGACAAAGAAAACAGGGGCAGCAAAGATACAAAGGAAAGGTTTTTGGAACACATGTTCTGGAGCAATAAATGGTTCTGCTTGATTAAGCAGGAATGCCAAGCTGAGGTCTGTGGGGCTTTGTTCTACACACAAGGCCACTTACAGGTTTGAGAAAGAGAGAACAAAGTCTAGCATTTTGGTCATTTTAAAGAGTGAAAAAGTCTACACAAAAGAGACCAAGAAACTTGAGAGACCGTTACCACAGCCTTGGCGAGTTTCAGCAAAGCCCTCCCCTGACGAAGCCACAAGAAAGAATGAAAGAGAAAAATTCAAAAGGAGAATAAAAAGGCTTGGCATTTAGCTCAGCCTTGGGGATTTAGCTCAGCAGCATAAGCGCCTGTCTGGCAAGCATGAGGTCCTGAGTTCGATCCCCAGTATATATTTACAAAAAAAAAAAAAAATTGGTACGCTGGGGTGGTGGCACTCATGCTTGTAGTGTTGGCTGCTTGTGAGGCTGAGTTAAGAAAGTCCCTCGCGCCCAGGAGTTCAAGACCAGCCTAGGCAGCATAGCAAGCCCTCATCTCAAAAACGAAACCAAACACAAACCAGAAGATTTGACAGGAGTTTCTGCTATGCAAATACTGAAGCCCAAAAGTCAGGGGTGAGGTTTTGGAAGCCAAACACTTGAAAAGAATCAAGTGTGGTCAATCCCATTGATAAATCAAGAAAACGGCCTGGGGATCTGATTAGACAGATGATGGCTTCAGTTTGGGATCTTGGTTCTTGTCAGTCAGAGACTGACCAGATCTCCAAGTTCTAGACCTGAGGATCACCAGCCTTTTAGGTGGTAAAAGCCACAGGAAAGGATATTAACTCCAAGAAAGAGTGCGTATGAAAGGGGGCACCCACCTGGAAGCTTACACGGAGCTGCAGACCCCGCACCCTCCGCTCACACTCACCCAGGTGTGCTGAGTGCAGCGTCTGTGAAAGTTGGCCAGGCCCTCACACACTCCCTCACCTTCTTCTTGAGTTTGCTGAATTTCTTCTGCAGAGCCTCCTCCTCCTCGCTCAGTCCGGGGGGTATCACCAACATGGTGGCTCCTGGGTCAGGGGCAGGGCCCAAGACATCTTTCTCCACTGTCACCCCCGGGCTCACACGCCATCCACCCTGTCCCCAGCCCACCCCGCAGGCCTGCTCCTCTTGCCTTCAGCAACTCCCTACCCCTCGCTTAAACCAGGCTGCCGTCCAAGCTCCAGCTCGTCCTGATCAACCAGCATTTCTGTCTCCGAGGACCACAGACCCCAGAGCCTCGGGGTGCCGTGTGACCCGGCGCGGGAAAAGCACCCGCTCCGTAACCGATCTCCCCGGTGACACCTCGGGTCAGCAGGGCCAGCCGTAGGGTCCCAACCGCAGAGAAGCGGCTGAACCCGCGCAGCGCCCTCAGAGGAGCAAAAAGGGGGAAAAGAGTGGGCTCGGAAAAAAGGGCACGGAGCGAGGAGGAAAAAGCCTTACCTGAGGGGGCGGCAACCGGGACCCGCGGTCTCGGGTGGCGCCCGCGCTGGCAGCTGAGAGCGGGCTCGGAGCGATGACGCGGCGAGGGGCGGAGAACGCGGTTACCAAGGCGGCAACTAGGCTGCCGTGGGTGGACACTTCCGCCCGGCCTTCTCTCGCATCAAGCTGGCCCCTCCGTTCGCCCGTACCAGCGCCTTGGAGGGGTGTGCGCCGGAAGTCGGCTCTACTTCCGCCCGATCCGGGGCGGGGCTTACTCGTGGCTACACGCTGCACTTCCGGGCTGCCCAGCACTGCGGTGGGTCCAGCATGATTGAGACAGAGCGACTTGGTGAGGACGAGGAAGGTGGAACAGAGTAGTGGAAAGCTAATGACTCTTGACCTCTAACGTCTGATCTTTCCCCTGTAGTGTTACCTCCCCCAGATCCCCTGAATCTGCCCCTTCGGGCTGTGGAACTGGGATGCACAGGGCGCTGGGAGCTGCTGAACGTGCCTGGGGCTCCAGAGAGCACCGTGAGTGACTTTTGACCCTAACTTTTAACCCGCATTGTGCCCAAAACTTCCTCTACTCTCACAGTGGGACCCAGCATGGCTTGGTTACCCTGTGTCCCCACTGATCGCTGCTCACTGGAGTTTTGTGGCTTGGAGCCCACGTGAGAACAGGACGGACAGTGCAGGAGACAGCGTAGCTCCGAGCTGTTCTTCTAGTTGTGCCTCTTCTACCTCCTTTTTCCAAGCACCAGGGTGTGTCTTCGCTGAGATGACTTTGTGAGCACAGGTCCGCTCACGTAGGCGCGGGACTCTTCAAACTAGCGATTCTCAGCTTTAAAGCAGGCCTCATAATTAGCAGGGAAGCTTTTTTTTTTTTTTTTCAAAAAACAGATTCCCAGGTTTAACCTCTGTGAGTCTGAGATCTAAAATCATTGGTAACCAGTGGCCCAGCTAATTGAGTAGTAGGTAGCTTTGGGACAGCCTCTGGAAACTACTGCTTCAGGTTGACAGTCCTTGCCTGTCTCTGTGGGACCATGACCATTTCAAATCGAAACACAAATCCCATCTCCTCTTTTGTCCACACTTTGACCTCTTTCTGGTCTTAACACCTCTCCTCGTGCTTTGTTCCAGCTTCCCCATGGCCTTCCTCCCTGTGCCCCTGATCTGCAGCAGGAAGCAGAGCAGCTGTTTCTGGCGTCCCCAGCCTGGCTCCCTCTGCATGGTGTGGAGCATGCAGCTCGGTGAGGAGCCAGGAGAGGACAGCGGGGTGCTGAAGGAAGCTGGGTCAGGGAGAAGAAAGACTTAAAAATTCCGTCCTTTCTCTCCAGAAAATGGCAGAGGAAGACAGACCCCTGGTCTCTCCTGGCTGCTGTGGGGGCTCCAGTCCCATCAGACCTTCAGGCCCAAAGACACCCCACTACAGGGCAGATACTGGGCTACAAGGAGGTCAGGGGTCAGGGCTGTGCGAGGCAGAGTTGGGGGATGGAGGTCAGGTGCAAGCTCCACTTTGCTGAGGCTCTCATCTCTCGTCAGGTCCTGCTGGAGAACACGAACCTGTCAGCCACGAGCTCCTTGTCTCTGCGCCGCCCTCCAGCGCCAGCCTCCCAGTCTCTGTGGGGGAATCCGACACAGTATCCTTTCTGGCCAGGTGACCCTGGTGGAGACAGGGTGGTGGGATAGGGGGCCCTCAGTTTCCAGGGTTCACTGCCTGTCCAGTGTTGCTGTCATCCCAGGAATCCCGGTCTGTCTGCCCTCTCCCCAGGCGGGATGGATGAGCCCACCCTCACAGACCTGAGCACACGTGAGGAGGCGGAGGAGGAGATAGACTTCGAGAAAGGTGAGTTGGGGCTCTGTAGCTGGGCCCAGCAGAGGGCGCCCAGGTGGGCCTGTCACTGGGCTGCCGTGAGCCTTTCCATTTGTTTGTGAGTTAGGAAACTGCAAAAGGAAAAAGCATCCCTTTTGTACTGCCAGCAACGGGAAAGCCCCTGGAGATGCACCTGTTGGCTACGCTGTGAATGCTGCATTGTATGATGTGTAATTTGTGCATCTGCATGCAGTGGCCCTGATTCTGTCTCCCTGTCCTTGGTCTTCAGATCTTCTCACTGTCCCACCTGGCTTCAAGAAAGGGGTGAACTTTGCCCCCCAGGGTGAGTTTCTCACACTTCATGGTGGGGCCCTCCTCCTGCAGATAGAGACGGTGGTGATGAGGTCACCTCCTCTGCCCTGCCCTCAGATCACCCGGCCCCAGCTCCTGGGTTGCTCAGCCTCAGCCGTTTGCTGGAGCCTCTGGATTTGGGTGGGGGTGACGATGAGAGCGAAACAGGACAGACGGAAGAATGCAAAGATGTGGGTCCGGCCTCTTCCTGCAGCGCTCCTGTGGCTCGAGCAAGCAGCTTGGAGGACCTGGTGTTGAAGGTTAGTGGTTATGGGTGACAGAAGTGAGAAAAGGATCCTGCAGGAGGGTAGGCGGGGTGGCTGGTGGGGAGAAGCGGGCACCGAAGGCTCTCCGGCTGATTTCTCCAGGAAGCGTCCCCAGTCGTGGCCCCACCAGCGCCTCCCAGCCCTCCAGCTCAGGAGCAGTGGGCCGTGCCTGTGGATGTCACCTCCCCTGTTGGTGACTTCTACCGCCTCATTCCCCATCCAGCCTTCCAGGTACTGTGGCCCTGTCCTCACAAACCCCCCACCTCCGGGTGTTTTGGGTCCCCATCCTGCTCCCCTGTGCACCCCTTGTCTGTGTTTTCCGCCAGAGGCCAGACACGGTCCAGGCAGCCTCAGTCCTCCATCCCAGCCTCTCCCGGCCCCAGCCTTCTCTATTCCCCCCTGCCCAGCCAGGAGCAGGACAGAGGAAGACCCCTCCCATGCCCCCCACCCCCACCACTTCTCTCTCCCACAGTGGCCATTCGAGCCAGACGTGTTTCAGAAACAGGCCATCCTGCACCTGGAACAGCACAACTCTGTTTTCGTCGCAGCTCACACATCTGCGGGAAAGACGGTGGTGGCTGAATATGCCATCGCCCTGGCTCAGAAACACATGACGCGGTACTGGTGGCCTCTGGGTGTCCCTTCCCTAGCTGGCCTCCTGTCTCTTGTCTCCTGCCTGGGTGCCATCTCCTCCCTAGTTCTCCCTCATCCCGGAGGCAGGAGTGCAGGCGGGGAGGAAGTGGAAAGGTGACCTCTGGAAGTTTAGGCAGGTCATTGGGATGGAACTTCACTGGGGTCCTATTTTGAAGGAGGGTGTGAAGGCGGTTAGGAGGGGAGCCGCTGAACCTCTGGGGTGCACATCTGGAAGGGCTCGGCTGGGTCAAGGACCCCCTGACAGGTGTGCAAAGGAACCTGGCTGACTCTGCTGTCTCCCTAGTACCATCTACACCTCGCCCATCAAGGCTCTGAGTAACCAGAAGTTCCGAGACTTCCGAAACACGTTTGGGGATGTGGGGCTGCTCACGGGGGATGTGCAGCTGCACCCCGAGGCCTCCTGCCTCATCATGACAACGGAGATCCTTCGGTGAGCGGAGGTTTGCGCGGGTGGATGAGGCCGTGGAGGGAGCCTGGGCTGGTGCTGTCAGAGGAGAGGGTGGAGCTGGAGCCCTGGGCGTCAGCCTTCGCGTCTGCTCCCAGCTCCATGCTGTACAGTGGCTCAGATGTCATCCGGGACCTGGAGTGGGTCATCTTCGATGAGGTCCACTATATCAACGACGCTGAGGTAAAGGCTAGCGGAACAGCTGCCCTGTTCCACACACCTTGACCTCGTGCCTTCGTCCGTCCTGGGTGGAAGCCCACCACTTCCCCGGGGCAGGAGGGCAGCCCCACTGACTCCAGCACCCGGCTCCCCATGTCCAGCGCGGGGTCGTGTGGGAGGAAGTTCTCATCATGCTCCCAGACCACGTCTCCATCGTCCTGCTGAGCGCCACAGTGCCCAACGCCCTGGAGTTTGCCGACTGGATTGGGTGAGGCGTGGTCCTGAGGGTCTGTATATTCTTGGCTTAGAGTTGGGGGACAAAGGGGAGGGGTGGCTACTGATCCCCCTCAGGCCCAGAACCCCGAGATGGGGTGGTAGGGACGGCCTTCCTGGCTGACTCTCCGTGTCCCTGTGTATAGGCAGGGTGTGGGGAGCCGGAGAGGGGCAGAGATGGGGGTTTCTTCACGCCTCCCTTTCCTGGCCTTTCTCCCCATCAGGCGACTGAAGCGCCGTCAGATCTACGTGATCAGCACACTCACGCGGCCCATCCCGCTGGAGCATTACCTGTTCACGGGAAACAGCCCCAAGACCCAGGGCGAGCTCTTCCTGCTGCTGGACTCGCGTGGGGCCTTCCACACCAAGGGGTAAGCCCGCGGCTGTGGGGTCCAGCTGCACCGGCCAGGCCTGATGGCTCCCTGCCCTGCGCCTAGGTACTACGCTGCCGTGGAGGCGAAGAAGGAGAGGATGAGCAAACATGCGCAGACCTTCGGGGCCAAGCAGCCCACGCACCAGGGCGGCCCTGCACAGGTAGGGTGGGGAAGGACCCACCAGCACCTGCAGCTCCCCTGTGCTGGTGCTGGCCCGGAGCCTGCCTCACTGACTCTGCTTCGCTTCTTCTGGCCTGACTCCCGTGCCGCCTCCCTCCCCTTTCTGCTCCTTCCTAAGGACCGAGGTGTGTACCTGTCCCTGCTGGCCTCCCTCCGCACCCGGGCCCAGCTGCCAGTAGTGGTGTTCACCTTCTCCCGGGGCCGCTGCGACGAGCAGGCCTCAGGCCTCACCTCGCTGGACCTCACCACCAGCTCGGAGAAGAGCGAGATCCACCTCTTCCTGCAGCGCTGCCTGGCGAGGCTCCGTGGCTCTGACCGCCAGCTGCCCCAAGTACGGCCTTGGGGACGTGGGGCGGGGCGTGGAGACCCGGTGGTGACTGTGACCGTGACCGTGGGCTGCCTCACTGCTCCTGCAGGTCCTGCACATGTCCGAGCTCCTGCACCGAGGGCTGGGTGTGCACCACAGCGGCATCCTGCCCATCCTTAAGGAGATCGTGGAGATGCTGTTCAGTCGTGGCCTGGTCAAGGTGTGCACACTGGTGCTAGCTGGGTGCCCCTTGGGTTCACGCAGGATGGCACAGTGGTTAAGAAGCAGGGTGTGGAGGTGCACGCCTATAGTCCTAGCATTTGGGAGGCTGAGGCGGGAGGATCACTGTGAGTTAAGAGGCCCACTTGGCTGCATAGCGAGGTTTAAGGCTAGCCTACATAGTGAGACTCTGTCTCAAAAAAAACCTCCCAAAAAACAAAACAAAAAACCCCACCTGTAATTCTAGCACTTGGGAGGCTGAGGCAGGAAGGTCACTATGAGTTTGAGGCCAGCCTGGGCTACCTAGTGGGTTCAAGTCCTGCCTGAACTGCATTGTAAGATCCTGTCTCAAAAAACCAAAAAACAAACAAAAAAGAGGTGGAGCTCTGGATCTAGATTGCCTGGGTTTAAATCTTGGCTTTACCATACCCTCCTTGTGTGACCTTAGACAAACTGCCTATCTTTGAACTTTGAGCTTCCTTTCTTAAAAGGAGGATGCATGGGCTATAAAGAAGAGATCTTGGGAGAGAAACCCAAACAGCTAGTGAGCATGTAAAAAGTGCTTAGTAATGAGAAATGCCAGGGAAGTATTTACAAGTTAGGGCCTCTACCACTGTCACACTGGCAAAATCTCCGAAGCTGGCTGATTCCCCGGGGCCAGAGACAGAGGTGACTCTGGGCCCCTATAGCTCCTTGTTCACCTAGAGCTAGTTTGGGGTGCACCCTGGCACTATTTTTCCTCTCTGTGGGGAAAATATTTCAGCAAAATAAATACCGCATGCTCTATGTCTATTGCTGAGTATAGGACACAAACAAATTCTCACCAGGCTGTGAAGGGCGTATTTATGTTTTTCCTTTGCTGTCTGTGTACCAGGATGCCCTTCATTGGGGTAAGGGTAGGTTAATGTGGGATGCACCCCACAGGATTCTGCAGTGTTCAGAAATAATGGGTAGTAGGACATGGTGGCGCACACCTGTAATCCCAGCAATTGTGAGGCTGAGGCAGGAGGACTGCTCTGAGTTTGAGGCCAGCCTGAGATCCACAGCAAGACATTGTCTCAAAAACATTAAAGCAATGGGTAGATTATAACCACAGGAATGTGGATGGATGGTCAGACGCTGTGTGAAGGAAGAGATGAGAGGACAGTGAGCACTTAACCATCAGAGGACGAGAAGAGAGAAAGAAAGCAATGAGCTATGTAACTGTCCTGAGAATTATAAATCACATATTCTGCATAACACTGAATTCCCACAAAAAGCAACTGTGAAACACGTCTGGATCGGGATACAGGGGCAAAAAGAAAGAAATAAGCAACCTCATAAGCAAAATGAGTAAAAAACTCAATTAGCCTTGAGTGTTAAATGAGATCCCCAGGTCCTGACGGGTTACCAGTCCTCCGCGAGGGAGGTGGCTGGGTGCAGGGTGCACCCCTGGACCCCTCTGCAGACCTCGATTCTCCTCCATCCCAGGTTCTGTTTGCCACCGAGACCTTTGCAATGGGTGTGAACATGCCAGCCCGCACTGTGGTGTTCGACTCCATGCGCAAGCACGATGGCTCGGCCTTCCGGGACCTGCTGCCCGGGGAATACGTGCAGATGGCCGGGCGCGCGGGCCGCAGGGGCCTGGACCCCACGGGTACCGTCATCCTGCTCTGCAAGGGCCGAGTACCCGAGATGGCCGACCTGCACCGAATGATGATGGTGAGCAGCGGGAGGCCTGCAGCGCAGGACCCAGCCATGCATGGGTGCTCTTCCCACCTCTGCCCATTCTCCCCACACTGCTCCGTTTGGCCTGGGAGAAGTGAGTTAGGAGCTGGCCCCGTACGGGGAGGAGATGCGATCCCACCCCTCTAACTGCTTCTCGTCGCCCCAACAGAGCTAGATGGGGCCCTTGTGACCTGGGCGGCGGCACTCTGCAGTCTCTGGTCATCAAGGCGGTGGGCAGTGGGCTGGCTGAGGCCCGTGGTGTAGAGCCCGGGCCACTGGGGAGCCGTAGACCTCACCCGATCCCCCGCGTCTCCACTGGGCTCCAGGGGAAGCCGTCCCAGCTGCAGTCCCAGTTCCGTCTCACCTACACCATGATCCTCAACCTGCTGCGGGTGGACGCCCTCAGGGTGGAGGATATGATGAAGAGGAGCTTCTCTGAGTTCCCGTCTCGAAAGGATAGCAAGGTGAGGAGGTTGGGGTGAACCTTCTGCTTGGCAGGAGGGTGAAGGCCAGGCTGGGCGTTGGGAGGTTGGTGGGGTGAAGGCAGGCGGGACCCCTTCACCGCCTTCCCCTCCGCTCAGGCCCACGAGCAGGCTCTGGCTGAACTAGCCAAGAAGCTGGGCTCCTTGGAGGAGCCCGACGTGGCCGGCCAGCTGGCTGACCTGCCTGACTACTACAGCTGGGGTGAAGAGCTGACAGAGACTCGGAGCATGATCCAGGTGAAAGGGCCGTGCAGTATGGGGAGGAGTGCGTGGGCACGGGGGCTCCACACGCAGACTCCAGATCTGCATCCCTGCCCTGCAGCGGCGCATCGTAGAATCTGTGAACGGGCTAAAGTCCCTCTCGGTGGGACGGGTCGTGGTCGTGAAGAATCAGGAGCATCACCATGCGCTGGGTGTGATCCTGCAGGTGAGGGCCACGGCAGCTGGGAGGGGACCCCGGTGCTGTGCTCCCGCTTGGCCGGGCAGGTTGCGGCCTCTGCAGTGCTCTCCTCGCCATCACCACCTCTTCCTGCCCACTTTCTTTCCCCTGGCCCCCTGGGAACCCACTTGAACTGTGTGGTTTGGTTACCCCAACGTACTGGTCCCTGCCTGAGGATGGGCATCTGGTCCCTGCCCGGGTGCCCGATTCTCACATCCCAGCATCCTGGCCCGTCTCTCTCCCCAGGTCTCCTCCAGCTCCACCAGCAGAGTCTTCACTACCCTGGTCCTGTGTGACAAGCCCAGGTCCATGGACTCACAGGACAGGGGCCCGGCCACTCCGGATGTGCCCCAGCCTGATGATCTCGTGGGATTTAAGCTGTTCCTGCCTGAAGGTGAGTGAGGTAGCCGTCTGGCTTCCTGAAGGCAGTGGGAGCAGGACCCCAGCATCATAGCAAGGTCCAACCTGCCGCTGCGCTTTCTCCAGGGCCCTGTGACCACACTGTGGCCAAGCTCCAGCCGGGAGACGTGGCAGCCATCACCACTAAGGTGCTCCGGGTGAACGGGGAGAAGATCCTGGAGGACTTCAGCAAGAGACAGCAACCAAAATTCAGGTCGGAGTGCAGGGGGCCTCTTCTGGGGCAGGAACAGTGGAGTGCTTGGTGGGGGTGGCTTCCCTTGGGGGTTCATGACCTGTGGGGACCTGAGAAAGGCTCCCCCAGCTGAGGGGGCTCCGATGGCAAAGAAGCCTCGTGCCCTAGTTTTCAGAACCTGCTGCCCCTCCAGGAAGGAGCCACCTATCCCGGCCGTGACCACCGCCGTGCAGGAGCTGCTGCGCCTGGCCCAGGCCCACCCAGCAGGACCCCCCACGCTTGACCCTGTCAATGACCTGCAGCTGAAGGATGTGGCAGTGGTGGAGGGTGGGCTCCGTGCCCGGAAGCTGGAGGAGCTGATCCAGGGAGCTCAGTGCGTGCACAGCCCCCGCTTTTCTGCCCAGGTAGCTGTGCCGTGGTGGGGGCCTCTCCTCTCTGGGCCCCCTTGGCCCCACTGCTGCTGAGGGGGAGGAGCTGCGGGCTCCTGCTGTGTCCCCCCAGTACCTGAAGCTGCGGGAGCGGATGCAGATTGAGAAGGAGATGGAGCGACTGCGCTTCCTGCTGTCAGACCAGTCACTGCTGCTGCTGCCAGAGTACCACCAGCGCGTAGAGGTGGGGCTAGGGCCATGGCTGGGGCCCGGGCGGCATGGGTGCAGGCCAGCAGCCTCCCCAACGCCCACCCTTTCTGGCAGGTGCTCCGAACCCTGGGCTATGTGGACGAGGCGGGCACAGTCAAGCTGGCCGGGCGGGTGGCTTGCGCCATGAGCAGCCATGAGCTGCTCCTCACAGAGCTGATGTTCGACAACGCACTGAGTGCCCTGCGGCCCGAGGAGATAGCCGCCCTGCTGTCGGGCCTGGTCTGCCAGAGCCCCGGGGACCCTGGGGATCAACTCCCGAGTACCCTCAAGCAGGTAGGGACCCCTACACCCCGTCCTGGGCCGCAGCACTGACAGTCTTCCATGCACCCTGGGGCAGGTGTGGCGGCTTCCTCAGGAGGTGGTGGACCTCCCCAGGGCAGCAGATAGGCCATACTTTCTCATTTTCTACAGGGCGTGCAGCGAGTCCGGGCCGTGGCCCAGAGGATTGGTGAGGTCCAGGTGGCCTGTGGCCTGAGCCAGACGGTGGAGGAATTTGTGGGGGAGCTGAACTTTGGGCTGGTGGAGGTTGTGTATGAGTGGGCCCGGGGCATGGTGAGTACCCAGCTGTGGGGTGGGCTGCTGGGGAGGGGCGGCACAGGCCAGGCACCTCGGGTCCTTACTCTGCCTTCCCTGCAGCCCTTCTCGGAGTTGGCGGGGCTCTCGGGGACTCCCGAGGGCCTGGTGGTCCGCTGCATCCAGCGCCTGGCTGAGATGTGTCGCTCACTGCGTGGTGCAGCCCGCCTGGTTGGGGAGCCTGTGCTAGGTGCCAAGATGGAGACGGCAGCCACCTTGCTACGTCGAGACATTGTCTTTGCAGCCAGTCTTTACACCCAGTGAATGCCCCGGGGAAAGTAGTAATAAAACTGCAAGCCGCTGGTGTGCATGGGCTGTCGGGCGGGGTGACTGAGCTCACACAGCGGGGAGAACGCTTAGGAACACGTGTTTATTATCTACACAGAGACACGATCGGCCCCTCTGCAGCATCAGTCCTTGGGGGACGGCGTCCTAGGGGGTGATGGGAGGTCCGGGGTCATGGCCTCCACGTACCATGTGGGCAAGAAGGCGTAAGGGGCGTCTCGATGTACAGACACGGTGACTGGGCCTCTGGGCTCCCAGGAGAAAAGGTGGACGAGTCTAGGGCAGATGAGGTGAGGGTTGAGGGCTGGAGGCTGAGCTTCCGGGGTCACGAAGTGAGGACAGAGCCAAATGCCTCACCTGGGGTCATCCTGGACAACCGTGCTCTGGGCAAAGCTCAGAAAGGCAGCACAGAAGTTCATGCACACAGAGGGATTCCAGCCCTCACGGTCATTCTGGAGAGGACAGAAGAGCAGAGGGCTGACGGCGAGGGATGGGGGCAGAGCACACTACAGCCTGGATGACACACCCAAGGTCTTGTGGGAAGGGGCTGGCTGGATACAGCTGTGACACAGTGCCTTACCCGGACATGTTCAAACATCTCCATGGTAGGAAATGTTTTGAGTGAACAGACGAAACCCTCCGGGTTACGGAAGCCAGCAACAACATTTGGGACTCCTGGAAGGAACGACTGAGCCCACCATTTCAGGAGCTTGTGTCTGGCAGGAGATGCAAGGGGTCAGCGGGACCCCTCTTCTGCTCTCCATTCTGCCCTCCCTCACCCCCATCCCTTGCCCAGGTGTTAATCCAGGCACTCGCCCGCCTGCCCCTGCCCTGAACCTGTAGAAGCCCCTCCACTGGCCAGGGCTGTGCATCTCCTTGGAAGTCTTGAGCTCCACATAGCAGGAGGGGGGTTGTGTGGATGGGGCGTGGGGGTCTGTGCAGTCCACCTCCCCTGAGAAGAGCAGAGGATGGCTTCCTAGGCGGCTGCGTAGCACAGAGCAGAAGGCCACATTGGTGTTAACCTCCCCAGAGGGGTCCGGGGAGCTTCCGGGTTTGTCTGCACAAGGAAAGAAGCAGCAGCAGGAGGGGTGGGGGCTTCTGATCTGGGGAAGTGAGAAGTGTCTGCGGGGAGCAGAGGCAACCCTCACCTGAGCACATGTACTGCTCAAACTTGTAACCCATGTACATAAGCTCCCGGAGTAGGGGAGGCCGAGCCAGCCTCTGAGCCCGAGCGGCTGGCGTCTCCACCTCACTCAGGTACAGCGTCCCCTGGAACCGTGAGGCAGCCAGCTGCCAGCCCTCCTGTCGCTCATACGGTGTGGTCAGCAACTTTGTCAGATGCCCCCGCCACGTCACCACAGCCCCTGCAAGCCAGCTGGGCCACCTAAGAAGGAAGAGTTAAAGAGTCCAGGGGTGGGACAACGCCCACTCAGCTGCTCCACGCCCTCGTCAGAGCCCGGGTTCCCTCCAGGGTCTGAGTCCTCCTGCAGCTGGCTCAGCTCACCCCTCCAGCTGGCCTCGGTGCTCCAGAAGCCAGCGCAGCAAGTGGTCCAGCCCCTCTCGGACCTCCTCATCCCGGGGATGGTACCGATCGGGGTATCCGTCTCTGAGGTCAAAGTTGGGGCCTGGACCATTGGTGGGGGGCGGGCTGTAGTAGCGCAGGGCTCTGGCGTCTCCGTGGTACCGGCGCTGCTCGTCCAGGGAGAAGCAGCCGAGTTCGGAGGGGCGCCGGTAGAAAGGAAAGGGGCCGGAGTAGAGGGCCGGCTCAGTGGGCAGGGAGGGAGCTGCGCCGGGGAGTTTGTTCTGGGGCTCAGTCACCTCGGTCTTCTCAGCTTTTCTCTTGAGGCCTCTGGGCTCCATGAAGTCCTGAGCGGACAAAATTTCCACTCTGCGAAGCAGGTTAGCACCCGGCCCCTCAAACCCAGCCAGGCCAAGTCCCCAGCCCGCCTCTTCTTGCCCTGTAACCGCATCCCCCAGATCCTCCAATGCAGCGAGGACAGGAAGGAAATCAGGGCGCAGCGCAAGAGTTACCTCCAAATCCCCCAACCTTGACTTGTACCTCGCAGGGCGATGACGTCAAGGCAGGACATCAGAAGCCAGAGAGGGACGAAAGGTGGCTTCTCGGCTTCCGATGACGCAATCATTCAGCGACGACGTTTGGCAAAGCCCTCGGAGGAGAGGAAAGGTGGGGCGGCTGTTTGCATCAAGATTTTGAGACCCATTTGTTAGCGCCACTGCCTACGCAGCCGGTGCGACGCGACAGCTCTCAGTGGGAGCCAATGAACGGCCGGCGCGGGGAGACTCGACGGAAGCGGCTTGGGTCTCCGACCCGAGCGACGATTGGCGAACGCCTCTTCCGTCATCGCGCCGTGAAGCCGGCAAGGAAGGACGCCCACAGTTACGTCACTGCCCCGCGCCGGAAGAGCGTGTTTTACCATGATCGTCCCTCAATTTCTGCTCCTGCTCTGGTATCGTAGAATCCCGGAATGAGTCGCAAGAGGCATCGCATGGTCCCGGAAACCCTGGGTCTGAAGAGGCGGCGGGAGCGAGGGCCTGTGCACGCGGACCCTCTGAGGGGCGAGTCGGGTAACCTTGGCAGCCCGGGGGCTAGTGGGAGAATCGGGGCTCACGGTTGTCCCTCCTCCAATGCCTCGTCCCGTCCCTTCCCGGTGACCCGGTGACCCGGTCTCTCCGCCCAGGGTCGGCGCGCGCGGCGCTCGCGGAGCTCGTGCAGCTGTTCCCTCGAGGCCTGTTCGAGGACGCGCTGCCGCCCATCGTGCTGAGGAGCCAGGTGTACAGCCTCGTGCCCGACCGGACGGCGGCCGACCGGCAGCTGGTGAGGGACGTCGGAGCGGCTTCGGCCCTGCCTCGCGGCCTTGGCCCGCCAGCCGTGCAGCAAGCGCTAGTCCCAGTCCGAGAAATGGAAGAGCGCGGCCCTGGGGGAAAAATGTCCTGGGGTTTGGTGGGCAGGGAGCGCGCGGGCCGATGTCTGACTGTGAACCAGGGACGGCGCATCGGCCGTGTGGGAGGCGGCGCGACGTCTTGCAGCTGAAAGCTGGTGAAGCCCTAAAGTAGGGGAGGTCGGCAGTGAGGAGTGTGGAGCGTGGGGAAGCCACAGATCGGGTAGTGGAAACGGAGGAGGAGGAGCACCCCGAGGTAATTGGAGGCTGGCGACGTGCGTCATGCACGTTGAGTTAGAGATGCTTGCGGAGCATCCGAAGGCGAATGTGATAGGCGGATGGTTGGACAGCATTTTGGGCCAGTGTCGGGAAGTTAAGTTAGGGAGGAGTGAATGTGAGGGAGATCAGTAGGAAGGGTGCAAGAGTGACTTGTAAGCTTTTTTTATTTTTTGTCTTTTTCCTTTTTATCGGTACCAGGGATTGAACTCACGACCGCCTGCTTGCAAGGCAGGTGCTTATGCCACTGAGCTAAATCCCCAGCCCCGACTTGTAAGCTTTTTACAGTTTAGGTGATGCATGCAGGGCACTAGACTAGTTATCATATGGGGAGGGGGGGGTAGTGAATCTGAAATTAAAGGTTAAGGACCCCAGGTTTTGGAGTGAAAAGATACTAAGGCCAAATCCACAATCTGGGAGACAACATGTAGAAGGCAGAGAAAGGTTCCTGGGTCTCTCTTCCAAAGTTAATGAATTAAGCTCTCTTAAGATGGGATATGGGACCTGCATTTTTACTACAGCTTTCATTTAATGTGCTTTAAAATTTATATCCACTGATATAAAGGGGAAAGCAGAGGAAGAGGAATCTCTGAAGCTGTGAAGAAATAGCTTGAGTTGAAAGCCAGGGAAGAAGCCTATTATAAAACTAGAGATTTTTTTTTTTTTTTTTAAGACAGTAGGGGTTGGACCCGGGATATGGCTCAGCACGATAAGCACCTGCCTGGCAAGTGCAAGGTCATGAGTTCAATTCCTGATACAAAAAAAAAAAAAAAAAAAAAAAGACAGTAGGGGCTGTTAGTGGCTGGAAGAAATGGTCCATGAAGAGCTCAAATAAAATCTGAAATCTGTCTATTGGGTCTAGCTAGTAAGAAAAAAGGAGAATTGAAACTCACCCCAGTGTCACATGAGGAAGCAAGTCAGATGGATCCACTTCCTTAAAAGTTTTTTTTTTTTTTTTTGTCTTTTTCCTTTTTATCAGTACCAGGGATCGAACTCACAACTGCCTGCTTTCAAGGCACGCGCTTGTGCCGCTGAGCTAAATCCCCAGCCCCAAAAATGTTTATTTTTATTTTAAAGAGAAAAAATAAAAATTTGGTAACATAATAAGAGGCTAACAGTAATTGATACATTGCATATGGTTATTTTTAAATTAGCTACTCAAAATATAAGATTGGCATTTAATTGCCCAAACAATATTAACATAAACCTTTCTTTTCAGTGAACTAGGAGAAATTGGTAGTATAACTATCTATATATTTGCTTTTCTTTTCCTTTTCTCCATTTCTTCCACCCCAGTGTCTTTCCTTTTGAAGCTTCTTCCCATTTACAATATCTGTTGTACATTTTAGATCTATTTACTCTTTAGCTTCTTACGCTAGGGAGACAATATGATGTTTACACACGTGTGTGTGGTTTATTTCACTTATGAGCATGGTCTGGAGTTGCATCCATTTATGTATAAAAATCTCCAGTTTATCCTTCTTTATCATTGAATAGTACTTATATACAAATACCACATCTTTTTATCCAGTCCTTGGTTGATGTCTATTTAGATTGTTTCCAAGATACAGCTATTACAAATCATGCTGCTGTAAACATGGGTGCACATACATCACTGGTATCATGTTTTTAATTATTCTGGGAAGATACCCAGGAGAGGAATATCTGAGTTGAATGGGACTTTCATTTCTAGTTTTTTGAGGAATCTCCACGCTGATTTCCACAGTGGTTTCCCCAGTCTGTACTCCCACCAACAGTGGAGAAGGGCTCCTTTTTCCCCACAGCTCTCTTGACATTTGTTATTGGTTGAGTTCTTGGTTATAGCCATTCTTTCCAGGGTGAGGTGGAATCTCAATGCTGTTTTAATTTGCATCTCTCAAATGACTGATGATGCTAAACATTTTTTTCATATATTTGCTGTTATATTCATCTGAGATGTATGTATTCATCTTGAGGAGATCTGATTTTTTCAACTTCTTTATATGTTCTCAGTAGTAATCCTTTGAGTAACAGTTGGAAAATGTTTTTTTCCCACATTGTGGGTTGTCTCTTTATTCTATGTGGTTTTTCTTGCTATGCAAAAGCTTCTTTTTTTGTACCAGGAATTGGACTCACGACCATGCCCTTGCAAGGCAAGCGCTTATGCTGCTGAACTAAATCCCCAGCCCTTTGCAAAAGCTTTGTATTAAGGTGAAATCCCGGTTGTTGATTCTTTGTGATAGTTCCTTTATGATTGGGGTTTTATTCACAAAGTCTTTGCCTACACTAATGTCAAGAGTTTTAAGTATTTCATATTCTAGCAGGTTTAATATTTCTGTGTTAATATTTAGATCTCTGGCCCATTCTAAATTTAGTTTAGTGTATGGTGAAAGATACTGGTCCAGTTCTAATCTTTGGCACATGTAGAGCCATTTTTTCTAGCACTGTTTATTAGAGTCTTCCAGAGAATGTGTTTGGCACCTTTGTCAAAGATAAGGTGGCTTAGTATGTTTCCCAGAATTGCTTTTTCTATTCTTGGTCTCTTCTGGTTCCCAATGAATTTTAGAATTGTTTTCTCTAATTCTGTGAGATATGCTATTGGAATTTTGATCAGAATTTCATTAAATCTGAAAACAGTTTTGGAAATATGACCATTTTCACTATGTTGGTTCTTCCTACCTAAGAGCAAGGGACATCTTTCCATTTTCTGATATCTTCTTCAGTCTCCTTTTTCAGAGTACTGTAGGTTTCAGCGTAGAGGTCTTTTGCATCCTTTGTTGATCCAGCCCGCGGATCAATCCATGGGGTACATACCTGGAGGGGGAACGGGGATGAATAAGACAGGGCGGGAGACAAAGAGAGATTGAGACAAGTTGAGGAGTCCAATCAAGTCTTGTTTATTCAGGAAGTGGTCGGATCCTTTATGGGCCAAGGGCTGGCTGGTGGGACAGGAAGAGGCTACGGGATGGTTTCTGATGGGTCATCGTCATGTCCGGGTATGTGACGTAAGCAGGAGAGGATTATGGTTAATGTAGGCAGGCGCATTATGTGCCCATAGGAGGGAGCCCTGGGGAGGCAGCACTGGGGCTGTTGTGCCGCTCCCTACACTTTGTTAAGTTGATCCTAGGTATTTCATTTTTCTTGGATGCTATTGTGAAAGATGTTGTGTTTTTTTAATATCATTTGTGCTGTCTTCTGCTTTTTTGTTGACTTCAATTAATCTTAAGCTGTTCTTTGCCTCATCTAGCAGCTGCTGTATCGATTTTTCATAGTCCCTTGGTATTTTTAAGAAATTTTCCTTTCTATGATCACCAACTGCAAGCCTGTCTTCTAAATCTGAGATCCTGTCCTTGCATTGGCTTAATCTGTAGCAAATACTTTCAATGGAATTTTTATTCTCCTGGACATCTGCTTGAATGTACCTTATGGATTCCATTTCTTTCTTCTACTAAGCTTCATGACTTCTATAATTTTCTTAAGGTAGTCTATTTTTTGTCTGTATCTGCTCTAGAGTCACTAAGCATGGTCTTCACTGTGGATACTGTCTCTGCAGTTATTTGAGAAATTTTTTCTGATTTGATTTTTTTCCAGAGCCTCATTCAATTGCTTTGTTGTTACCACTTCACAGAGGCCAGGTGGAGGCTTTCGGATTGTTCCATCTCATTGCCCGCCGGGTTTGCCTTTGGTGAACTGGATATCAGGGGTTGCATCTTGTTTAAGTATCTTCTTCTTTTCTTTTTAGTTTAATTCCTGGGATGATGTTTATAAATTGCCACGGTGGTTTGCTTTATTGCTAATGGTTCGAATCCTTAGGTAGTGACTGTTTCTCGCAGTTAACTTCCAGGCATGGCTAGATTTTGGGTTTTGACTGTTGGAAGATCCTACCTCTTCAGTTTGTTGGAGGTAAGAGGCTGCTGCTTGTGCTCCTTGTTTGGCCTAGTTCCTGGTTCTTTGGCACTGTGTCACTGTATTTTTGTAACCCTTAGACAATTTCAGTAATGGAATACTAGGAAGAACAGCTGTTTAGAACAATTATATCACTTTTAGCTGTAATGGTACCATTACCTTCAAATATAGCCTAGAAAATGACAAACTGAGCTAACCATTAATTTGCCGCTTTTAACAGTATGAACTAGATTTGTGGTTTTATTAAAAAAAAATCTAACAGCAGAAAATATATGCAGTATATAAGTCCTTAATATGTCAGTTTTACCCTTACGGTTAAAACTCGATGGGTTAAGGGGAAAACAGAGAAATGGAAGAAGAGGAAGAGGTTACAAGAAGGTTGATGGACAAAAGGGAATTATGGTAACTTTGGGAAACTGATGCAGAAGACTGGAGGGAAAGAGAGGGAAGAGATGAAGAGCAGAGAACCATAGCTACAAAGAGGCCAGACATCATGTTCACACTCACAAAAACAAGATCAAACCATGAAGGATGAAAAGACCAAAGCAAAAAAGAAAAACCCATCACCACCACGATGAAAAACAAATAGAGACAAGAAAAAAGTCCGCTTCCAGGTGTGTCACTGCTGCACAGCGTGTTGAGACAGAGTCCAGATCAGTGCCTGTGTTGGTCCCGGCAAGTGAGGTGGCTTTTTTGGTGGGCATTGGATAGTCTCAGCAGGCCCGCACCTCTGGCGGACACCAGACTCATTTGGCCTGCAGCTGTCCGTGCACCTGCTGTGGCCTGAGCCCAGCTGGGAGCTGCTAGATGGAGCCGGCAGCCGCTCTGAGTTCTGAGCTCAGCCAGCCCCCTCCTAGCTGGCTCCTGGCCAGTCACTGTCTCCCACAGGAGGACTGGGTTCTCAGCGAATGCAGTCCTCCACATGTGCTCCCTCCCACTGCTCGTCTCTGGGGTTGCCAGCTGTCACGTATGCCTGCAGGTTTGAATTGCTCCTCTCCCTGCTCGGAGAAGGTGCCACTGGTTGCCTCCTTCACCGAAGTTTCTCTCTTCACTCTCCTTGGACTTCACTTCTTGCTTTGGAGCCTTCCTGGGGTCAAGGGACCCACTTGCCTCCTTGTCTTCCTCGCAGTGCCTGTTTCAGCATCTGGACAGCGACTTGCAGAGGGCTCTTCCCTGCTGGCTCCCGCTCTGCCGGCTTGGTGCCGGCTTGGTCTGTGCTGTCTTCAGCAGTGATTGTTCCACCTCCATCTGCTTTATTGGTCCCACCTCAGCACCACAGAGGAGTGAGGAAGAATGTAGAAGCGGTGCAGAGGAAGTTTCAAAATGTTTATTTTTAATGTATTGGCATTACCTTATATTTTGGGAGAGCTATGAAAATTACACAAAAGAAGCCAGGTGGTGGCGCACGCCTGTAGTCCTAATACTCAGGAGGCTGAGGCAGGAGGATCCTTGCAAGTTAGAGACCAGCCGGGGCTACAAGTGAGCTCAAGATTAATCTGAACCACATAGGGAGACTCTGTCTCAAAAAGACAAAAAAAGAAAGAAAAAAAATTACACAAAAGAAGCATAAACATGCACAAGAATTTCAAGAATGGTTTTAAAGGAGATACCTAGCTAGCCAGCACCTAGGCCAAACTGTGGAACATGGCCAACGTCCCATGCACTTCTCCCAGATCAAAACTCCTTATGTCCTCAGGAGGTACTGTAACTGCTCCCTCATTTTCTTTTTTCTTTCTTTTTTTTTTTTTAAATCGGTACTGGGGATCGAACCTATGACCATGCACTTGCAAAGCAGGCACTTATGCCGCTGAGCTAAATCCCCAGCCCCTCCGTTGTTTTCTTTATACCACTTATGTGTGTATTCACAGTCTGTTCAGGCTGCTGTAACAGGATACCACGGCTGGGCAGTTTATAAGCTGAATGTGTTTCTCACAGTCTGGAAGTCTCGGTTCGGGGCCAGCAGATTCAATGTCTGGTGAGAGTTGGCTGGCTCTCTGCTTCTAAGATGTTTCCACAAAACAAACCTATATGTTCAGGCAGGCAGGATGACGCGTGCCTGTTAATCCCACCAGTAGGGAAGCTGAGGCAGGAGAATTCTGAGTTCAGCCTGACAAATCAAAACAAAACCAGAAAACCCATGTTGAGGCCTGAGAGTGCAGTACAGCGTTAGTGCATGAATGAGACTGTGGAGGCCCTGGGACAAAAAAAGATCATAATTCCTATGCTGGGTATAAACCCCAAAGCGATGGTGGTGTTAAGAGTTGGGGTCTTTGAGAGGTTGGGTTGGCGCCTTTCGGATGAAGTCTCCTGGGAGCTGCGTGGCCCGTCTCCTGCCATGGGGGGCACAGTGCTTGTCCCTCAGAGGTCAGGCAGCCAGGCAGCATCTGGGAAGCTTCTGCTTCCGTGGCACTCACCGAGGGAACCTGCCACTGCCCTGAGCTAGGACTTCAGCCTCTAGCACTGTGAGAAACACATGTCTGCTGTACCAGCCAGCTTTGGGGGTTTTGTTACAGTCGCAGGAACAAACTAGGGCACTGTATTTCTGTCTGTCTTGTTGTGATAGCTGAATGCTTTTATATTTTTCCAAGTTGGGGCTACCTTTAGTTAATTCCTTTTCATAGATTTTGGTTTTGTGAATCTGATGTACAAGATTTGGTATATGATTTCTTTATCAGAAATATTTTCTATCTTTTGCAATCTTTTTATTTGATTCATTGGGTTCATTACAAATGTTTGTCATAATTGCCATTTTTTAATCACCTTTTTGTAATTGATTTGGACATAAATTGCATTGTGTATGCAATTTTTGTTTGTATGTATGCAGTATTTAGTTTGAAATTTATTGAGACTTGCTTTGTGTCATAGGATCAGTTTTGCTAAATACTAAGTAATCTTGAAAATAATATGTATTATTCAGTTGCTGATTTTTAATATCTGAGGTTATCAAAATGTTTCCTCACTGATTATTTTATTTTGTTCTGTGAGTTTATGACAACTAGATTAATCTACTTCTGTGATTGTAGATTTGTTATTCAGATATTTCTAACATTTCTTTCATTCTGGGAGTCAAACATACATTAGACTTTGTACCCTTTAGGTCTCTTAGACTCTTTTGTATTTTCAGGGTTTTTTACTGTATTGTGTTCTGGTTAGTTTTTTTTAAAAAAAAATCTTTCATGCAGATGCTTACTTGACTTTTTTATTCTGTTGAGGTCTTCATTTACTTTCTTTTTCAGTTCTAGAATGTCTGTGTGGTCATCTTCAGACCTGCTGTTTTGTCACTTGCCCTGCTGAGATCTTTCCTTTTTTTCCCCTCTCATTAAGATTTTCCATCTTGGCTTTCATTTCTTCCAGCATTATGATCATAGGCTCTTGAAGGAAAAAAAAAGGTCATCTTTTTTGACAAAATAATTGTACGTATTGATGGGGCCCAGTGTGATGACGTGACACAGGAACATACACTGTGACGCTCACGTTAAAGCTGCCAGCCACCTACCATGCTGCTCACAGCCCGACTTACTGCTCCCACGGAACTGTGTACCATTAAAAATACATCTTCCCTGATAATTCCCCTGTTACAGGACTTTTGTGGTCTGCTTCTTTTGAGTGTTGTTTTCTTATGTGCCCAGTTATTTTTGGCTTTGCAGGGAACAGATTTGCATAGTTGAGCAAATACCTTCTTTGTCCCCATTCCCTCTATCATTTCCTGCTTCTCTTTAGCTACTACATTAATCTGGTAGTTCCTGTTATCATGTGAGCTCTTTAATGCTTAGACATTAAAAAATATCGTCCTACGCATTTTTAGCTAACAGGTGGCTCGGTTCTTTCTGTGTCCTCACAAGCGGAAGGCGTGGTTTATTTTATTTTTTATACTATCTAATAAAACACCTTCCACCTTCACCTACTGAGAATCCAGACCCCTGAGCACAGGTCACGTCTTAATCTGTTTTATCTTAGATCTGTCTTAGGAAACACGTCCATGACAGACAGCTGCTAGGGGAGTGGGTTCCCCGTGGAAAAGCCTGTTCCCCACGTGGTACAAATGCCCGAACTGGCCACCAAGAGCTCCCTGGCCCGAGGTGCCGGGTGGGGCAGAGTGTCTCAAACTGATAGCCCTCCTTTCCGTCCGCATGTGTGTGGAGGCAGAGGGAGCTTCAAGAGCAGGGTGAGATCAGAGTCGTCCAGCTGGGCTTCGACTTGGATGCCCACGGCATCATCTTCACTGAGGACTACAGGACCAGGGTACGTGAGAGTTTGCCAGAGGAGCCGCTGTCCCGGCGTAGGGTGGGCTGGCTGGGGACCATGTCTCTCTCACCTGGTTGCAGGTCCTCAAGGCCTGTGACGGCCGACCATGTGTCGTGGCTGTGCAGAAGTTTCTGACTTCGGTGCTTCCAACCTGTGGGGACCTCAGTTTTCAGCAGGATCAAATGATGAAGACCTTTGGCTTCAGGGACTCGGAGATCACGTGAGATTGGAGGGACCAGCAGAGCCGGGCATCCGGCACCTCTCTGCCCGCTTCGGTCCCGTCCAGCCCTGTTTGAGAAAGTCTGTCCCTTATGCTTATTTTTTCTAAGTCAGTTTTTCAATCAGATTTTATTGGAACATTTAGATATACAGAATGCGTCTGGGGACTGGCAGGAATGCCTGCGGCTTGTGCGGAGGCAGTGAGAATGGAGAAGGAGCTGTGATCCTCTCGAATATCCACATCGAAAAGCCCTCGAGCCCCATGAGGCAATGCGTGTCATCTTAGCACTCAGGAGACTGAGGCAGGAAAACCTGGTCTATGTAGCAAGTTCAAGGCCAGCCTGCGCTGGGTGTGGTGGTGCTTGTGATCCCAGCTGTCTGGGAGGCCGAGGCAGGAGGATCACAAGTTCAAGTGCAGCCTGAGCCACTTAGCAAGTTAGTAAGACCCTGTCTGAAAATAAAAACTAAAGGGCTGAGGATGTGGATTGGTACGAAGGCTCAAGGTCCAACCCCCACTCTGGCAAGAATGAGAAAAAGGCCGGTCTCGGGCTCTGTACAGCAAGACTTGTCCCAGAAACCAAACCAGGTCCCCCGAAGCAAGTGGTCAGTGTGCACGGGCCCAAAGAGACCCTAGCTCCTTGGGGTGCTCGGGGCCTGGGGTTGGGAAAGCTGAGGGAGGGCGGTCCAGGAAGGGGCAGTGGAGCGGCGTGGTTTTCTTACCTGTCCCTCTGTGGAGGGTGCTGCCCCTGTTACCAGAGACTCTGTGTTCAGATACGATGTGGGGAGGGGAGGAGGGAGGTCCCCAGAGCCCTCCACTTCTCTTGCCTGCAGGCAGCTGGTGAACGCCGGGGTCCTCACTGTGCGGGACGCGGGGAGCTGGTGGCTGGCTGTGCCGGGAGCTGGGAGGTTCATCAAGTACTTTGTTAAAGGTACCTGCCTGTGGCCCGGGCCCACAGCCAGTCCAGCCCAGCCCAGCTCTAGTGGCCCCTCAGGTGTCTGGGCTTTATTGACTTTGCCTGTTTCCTGGGCCACCTCCAGGGCGCCAGGCTGTCCTCGGCATGGTCCGGAGGGCCAAGTACCGGGAGCTGCACTTGTCAGAGCTTCTGGGCCGGCGGGCACCCGCTGCTGTGCGGCTCGGCCTGGCCTACCATGTCCATGACCTCATTGGAGCCCAGCTGGTGGACTGGTGAGTCGCATCTCCCTGGGAATTCACTAGCGGGACCCAGTGCCCTGGTATCTGCGCTGGGGCCTGGGGATGCCCCTTGCCAAGCTCCGGGCGCTCCCTCGCCCACACCTGTGCAGCCGGCTCCAGCACTGTCTCTCCCCGCAGCATCTCCACCACTTCTGGAACCCTCCTCCGCCTGCCTGAGACATGAGGGCCCTCACTGTGGCGCACTCCTCAGAGCGGGCTAGGGTCCTCCCCAGGCTGGGGAGCTGGGACAAGTGTGGGCTCCCATGGGTGCAGAAGCCGAACGGGCGCTGCCCCCCGAGGTGTGGAGCTGGAACCTGTGAGGCCTGGGCCACTGCCACCAGGAAGAAGGCGCTGTGGCTGCTCTGTTGGGGTTGGAAGCTGGGGCTGCTGGGAGGCGGGGAGGGAGCCAGTTCTCCGCCCTCGTGTGCATTGAGGTGCCAAATAAAGTACTCTGCCTGCGACCTTTTCTGAGTGGTGTGTGTGTTTGGGTGGCTCATGCGGGTGGGGGCGGTAAAGCCGACGGAGCTGAGCTTTGCTGCATCACTCAGGACAAGGCTGCCTTGCCCTGGAGCTGGGTCCTCTTGTCTCCTAAACCTCAAGCTCTGTCCAGGCCTGCAGAGGGCAAAAGCCTGGGGTGCGCAGCTCGGCTGTGAGGAGAGAGTGTTGAGGTGAGGGTTGTGAAGCCCATCCTCGTCTGGCTGGGGCTTCGAGCACCCTAGCTCTCCCTGGCATATGGAGATAGCTGTGTGTGTGTGCACACAGCTAGGGAGGTGTCAGCACTGTGACCAGTGGGGAACGGGGAAGGACCTGGCTCTGGGCCGAGGTTTCCTCATTTGCCTGCAGAACTTGGGGTTCAGCTGCTGCTCCAGCACTGGGCCTGGGGCCAGTTGCAGTTCTTGGTTGTCACATGGTTTCCCGGCTCTGCTGGGTGAGGGGAGGAGCAAGGTCCATAATCAACTTTGCCCCTGCCCCTGGCTGACCAGAAGGGAACAGACGGACCGACGGACCTGAGCCCTCTGGGATCCTGGCCATGCGGCTCCTCTGGGGGCTGCTCTGGGCGTTTGGCCTCTTCGCCTCCTCTCTGCAGAAGCCTAGGTCTGGGGAGGGACAGCCAGGCGGGTGGGGCCGAGGGGTCGGGCAGCTCTCACTGATGGCCACTCTCGTCTCCCCAGGTTGCTTCTGTTCTCTCCTTCGGTGGTCAATCTGGGGGTCCCCCTGTCAGTGGGGGTACAGCTGCAGGATGCCCGCCAAGGAGAGGTGGTGACGGGATTCGTGTTCCTGAGGAATCCAAGCCACAACAATGACCGCTGTTCCCCAAAGAAGGCTTTCACCCTTACCTCGCAGCAGGACTTTGTGCACCTCAGCCTGCAGGTGACCCCCCCACCCCACCCCCATCCTGAGCCTCCATCTGCAGCTCTGCTCCTCTCCGTCATCCTACAGATGGCCTAGGCCTCCCTCCTCTCTTCCTGCTGTGGGCTCCCTCACACCGCCTTGGTCTTCCTGTCCTGTTCCTTCTGCTCTGTCCTGAGCGCTTCTTCCCATCCACACAGGTTCCCCAGAGTGACGCCAAGTCCTGTGGTCTCTTCGGCCTGCGCAGAAGCCCGGAGGTCCAGCTGGTGGCCCAGTCACCCTGGTTAAGGGATGTCCTGGCCAAAGAGACTGACACCCAGGGAGTCAACCTGCTCTTCGCCTCTCGCCGTGGTCACTTCTTTGTGCAGACTGACCAGCCCGTGTACAACCCTGGCCAACGTGGTGAGCTCTGGCCCGGGGAGGAGAGGCTTGGTGAAGCCCTGGCCACTGCCTCCCCCTGTGCTCTGGCCTGCTCACCCCTCTCTCCCATGCCCAGTTCAGTACCGGGTCTTTGCGCTGGACCAGAAAATGCGGCCGTCCAAGGACAGCCTCCTGGTCACGGTGGAGGTGAGGCCCTGTGTGCCACCTGCCCTCCTGACTTGGGCGCAGTGTGACTTGCAACTGAGACCCTTTCTGTCCCCACACAGAACTCTCGTGGCCTCCGTGTGCGGAAAAAGGAGGTGCGAGACCCCTCATCCATCTTCCAGGATAGCTTCCTGATTCCGGACATCTCCGAGTGAGCGCCCTGCTGCGGGGTGGTTCCCTGCCTGTCTCACCTCTTCCTGTCACCCATGTCTGTCACACCCTGTCCCATCCTGTCCCAGCTCCCTTCAGGCTCTTCCTCTCCCGCACGTCCTTCACCCCCTGACCCTGGGCCTCCCAGGCCCCATTCACCCATGGAGCCCTGCCAGGGAGGCAGCTGCCCACTGGCAGCCAGGCACTGCTCCAGGCACTGAGCCCCTCTCCACCTGCCCTCAGGCCAGGGACCTGGAGGATCTCAGCCCAGTTTTCCGACAGTCTGGAGGCCAACAGCAGCACCAAGTTTGAGGTGAAGAAGTATGGTGAGCACCGGCAGCACCGAGGGCGGCAGTTGGGTGGCGGGCCAGGTGGTCAGCACCTGGGGAAGGCGAGTGCCTTTCGCTGGATCCGACCTCCCTGTCCCCTTCCCTGGCTCAGTCCTTCCCAACTTCGAGGTCAAGATCACCCCCAGGAAGCCCTACATCCTGGTGACGTCCAACCATCTTGGTGAAATCCAAGTAGACATCGAGGCCAGGTGACCCTCGCCCCGCCTGGTCCCATGCCCCATCTCCCCCTGCAGGATCATCCCCCCACCCCCGCCTTTGGCCAACCCTCTCCCCTGTGCCTGCGGCCACAGGTACATCTACGGCAAGCCAGTACAGGGTGTGGCCTATGTGCGCTTTGGGCTGCTGGATGAGGATGGGACAAAGAACTTCCTCCGGGGACTGGAGACTCAACTCAAGGTAGGGCAGGCCAGGGGGCCGGGCGCGGCAGGCGGGCTCAGGCACTGCAGTCTTCCCACGCCCCACCTTTCCCTCCTCGGCCCCAGCTGAAGGATGGCAAGAGCCACGTGTCCCTCTCGAGGGTTGAGCTCGAGGGTGCCCTGCAGAAGCTGCGCCTCAGTGTCCCTGACCTCCAGGGGCTGCGTCTCTATACCTCGGCAGCCGTCATCGAGTCTCCAGGTGGGTGACTGCCCTGGCGCCCACCCGAGGGACCCACAAGAGAGCTGGGGGTGGCGGCTCGTGTTCACTAACCCTGGCTGGTAAACAGGGAGAATCACCAGTTCAAGGCCAGCCCGGGTTGTTTTCTGAGAGCTTATCTCAGAATGAGGAATGCAGAGGTTCCAGCGCTCCGGGTCCCTAGCATCAGTTCCTGCTGACCTCGGCCTGGCTTTGGGCCTAGCCCACGTGGTCTCTCCAGCCTCCTGACTTGGGCGCAGCCTGTCCCAGCCGTGCTTTCCTTTCCCCGGTTCGCTTTGTTCCTCATTTGTGTGCTCAAGGGTGCCGCTTTGGGCCTCGGCGAGTGTCGAGACGAGTGGGAGTCAGGCTCTTGTCTGGGGGAGATGCTGGGGCTCTGCCCTCCACGCCTCGGCCCTCTGTCTCGCAGGTGGGGAGATTGAGGAGGCGGAGCTCACGTCCTGGCACTTTGTGCCCTCTGCCTTCTCCCTGGATCTGAGCAACACCAAGCGTCATCTCGTGCCCGGGGCCCCCTTCCTGCTGCAGGTTATTCTGGGGGGCAGGTGTTGAGCAGCACAGGGGCCCGGAGGACCGGGTCTCGCTGACCATTCGCTCACCAGTCCTCCTTCTGCCTTCCCAGGCCCTGGTCCGAGAAGCATCAGGCCCCCCAGCCCCTGATGTTCCCGTCAAAGTCTCCGTCACACTGTCTGGGTCAGTTCCTAAAGTCCCAGAGATTGTGCAAAACACAGACAGGATGGGCCAGGTCAACATGGCCATCAACATCCCATGGGGCACCACGAGACTGCAGCTCTTGGTAGGCCGGCAGGGAAGGGAGGCTAAGCTCTTCCTGGGGGTCTCTGCCTGGCTTGGGAAAAGGAGAGGGACCCACTACCCTTATCACTGACCTTGCCCATCGCCCCCCAGGTGTCGGCAGGCTCCCTCTACCCAGCCGTGGCCAGGCTCGAGGTGCGTGCCCCGCCCTCAGGAAGCTCTGGCTTTCTGTCCATCGAGCGGCCGGACCCTCGGGCCCCAAGAGTCCAGGAAACGGTCACTCTGAACTTGCGGTCTGTGGGCCTCAGCAGAGCCACCTTCCCTTACTACTACTACATGGTACGCACAGCAGGGGCAGAGCCTGGGACGGGCTGGGCATGGCATCTGGGCTGGGCCAGGCCTTGCCAGAGAGGAAACCACTCTGCCATTCTTCATGGCACAGGTCCTGTCCCGAGGCGAGATTGTGTCTGTGGGTCGGGAGCGCAGGCAGGAGCTGACATCCGTCTCGGTGTTCGTGGACCATCACCTGGCTCCCGCCTTCTACTTTGTGGCCTTCTACTATCACAAGGGCCAACCTGTGGCCAACTCCCTGAGAGTGGATGTTGAGGCCGGGGCCTGTGAGGGCAAGGTGACTGGGGTCAGGAGCTGTGCATGCACCCCTGTGTGTGTGTGTGTGTGTGTGTGTGTGTACGCGTATGTGCATGCATGTGCTGAGGACTAGGGGAGAAGGAGGACCTGTGATGGCCGGCAAGGCCCGCTCTGGTTTGGGGGGTTGCCGAGAGTGCACGAGACTGAAGTCCCTGCTTCCTCCGTCAGCTGGAGCTGCGCCTGGACGGCACCAAGGATTACCGCAATGGGGACAGCGCCAAGCTGCAGCTGCTAACCGACTCTGAGGCGCTGGTGGCGCTGGGTGCTGTGGACACAGCTCTGTACGCCGTGGGGAGCAGGACTCACAAACCCCTGGACATGGCCAAGGTCTGTTTGTCAGTGCATCTGTCCAGCCCGCTAGTCCCTCATGGCTGCTTCCCCTGCCGTGAGCTCAGTTCAGGGTCTCCCTGCGGTCCTCCTTCAGGCCTCTGGCCGTGTCCACTGTTTCTCTGTCCTTGTCCCTTGTTGTGCAGCCAGTCCTGCCCCCCAGAAGCCCCATCCCCCACCCCTCACTCCCGCACCAGGTCTTTGAAGTCATGAACAGCTATAACCTTGGCTGCGGCCCTGGCGGTGGCGACAGTGCCCCCCAGGTATTCAGGGCGGTGGGCCTGGCCTTCTCTGATGGAGACCTGTGGACGCCTGTCAGAGAGAGTGAGAACTGGCAGGAAGGGGCAGTGGGGGGGAAGGGAGGGCCAAGGGCAGCAGGGAAGTGGAAGAGGGCTGGGCCGGTGGGGCAGGAGGCAGCAGAGTCCGGAGGCCAAGGGCCTGGGCTTGTCTGAAGTCCTGTTCTCTGCCAGCTCTGAGCTGCCCCAAGGAGGAAAAAGCCAGGAAAAAGAGGAGTGTGGACTTCCAGAAGGCCGTTAGTGAAAAGCGTAAGTCTCCGGTGCCTGTCGGCTTGGGTGGGGGCTGTGCCTGCCGCTCCGTGGCCTCGCCCGGCCTCCCTGTGATGGGCTGGTGGCTGAGCCGGCCGTTTCTCTCCCTCCTCCTCTTCCCACCCGGCCTGCAGTGGGCCAGTTTGCGTCCCCGGAGGCCAAGCGCTGCTGCCAGGATGGGCTGACGCGGCTGCCCATGGTGCGCTCCTGTGAGCAGCGGGCGGCTCGAGTGCTGCAGCCGGCCTGCCGGGAGCCCTTCTTGTCCTGCTGCCAGTTTGCTGAGAGCCTGCGCAAGAAGAGCAGGGCCGAGAGCCCGGGCGGCCTTGGGAGAGGTGTGGGCCTGGCGGGGCAGAGGGCTGCGCCCCATGGGGGGTAGGGATGGGTCCCCTGCTTATGGCCCTGCTGCCCCAGCCATGGAGGTCCTGCAGGAGGAAGAGCTGCTGGAGGAGGACATGATCCTGGTGCGGAGCTTCTTCCCGGAGAACTGGCTGTGGCGGGTGCTGCGCGTGGACCGCTCCGAGACGTGAGGGCAGGGCCAGGCTGGGCAGGGGCCTCGCCTCTGGACAGTGCCGCTGGCCTGGCCCAGGGTAACAGCTGCTCCACCCTGGGCTGCAGGTTGACAGTGTGGCTCCCGGACTCCATGACCACGTGGGAGATCCACGGCGTGAGCCTGTCCCAAAGCAAGGGTGAGCGCCCCTCCCCCAGCTCCTGGCTCAGTGCTCAGTGCTTGCTCGGCAGGACTGTGCCAGGAGCCAGGTGTCTGTGCCTGACCTGGAGCAGGGCAGGGACAGCGAGGGACCCCCACCCCCTCTGATGGCTCCAAGGCCCCAGGGCGCCCCTCTGACCTGGTCCTGCCCCGACTGCCCATCCCCAGGCCTGTGCGTGGCCACGCCAGCCCGACTGCGGGTATTCCGTGAGTTCCATCTGCATGTCCGCCTACCCGCCTCCATCCGCCGCTTTGAGCAGCTGGAGCTGCGGCCTGTGCTCTACAACTACCTGGAGGAGAATCTGACGGTGAGCCCTAGGCACAGTGCTGGGGTAGCCCATGGCTGGGCCCCGCTTACCCTGCCCTTCTGTCCCCCCAGATGAGTGTGCACATTGCCCCTGTAGAGGGGCTGTGCCTGGCTGGAGGCGGAGGGCTGGCTCAGCAGGTCCACGTGCCTGCGGGCTCCGCTCGGCCTGTGCCCTTCTTCGTGGTGCCCACCGCAGCCACTGCTGTGTCCCTGAAGGTGGTGGCTCGAGGGACCACCCTCGTGGGCGATGCGGTGTCCAAGGTTCTACAAATCGAGGTGAGTGGTGCAGCCCTGAGTCGGGTCCCCAGGCTCCCATGTCTGTCCCCATCCTCGGCACTCTGCTGGCCAGGCCAGGGGCCCAGCGCCCAAACCTCTTTGTCCTTAGCTCTTTCATCACTGTGCCCTAACTGTCCTAGAGGTGGAACTCAAAGTCCCCAGGGAGTCTGCGTGGGTGGGCCGGGCCACGTGGGGTTCCTCACTGTGCTGTCTCCCCGAGGTAGAAGGAAGGGGCCATCCACCAGGAGGAGCTGGTCTATGAGCTCAACCCCCTGGGTGAGTTGCACACCCCAGGCTCAGCTCCAGGGCTGCAGGGCACAGGGCTGTGGGCCACAGGACAGATGCCAGCTTCTCCCATCTCCGCAGATCACCGAGCCCGGACTCTGGAGATTCCTGGCAACTCTGACCCCAACATGATCCCTGAGGGAGAGTCGAGCAGCTTTGTCAGGGTCACAGGTGGGCGTGTCCTCCAGCACTTCCAGGCGGGCACCTGGAGCCCTTTGGGCCCTCAGACCCTGGGACCTCAAGGCCTGTTCTCAGCCTTTTCCCTCTCACCATGACAGCCTCGAACCCACTGGAAACTCTGGGCTCGGAGGGGGCCCTGTCCCCCGGAGGCATTGCCTCTCACTTGCGGCTCCCCACGGGCTGCGGGGAGCAAACCATGACCCTCTTGGCTCCAACGCTGGCTGCGTCCCGCTACCTGGACAGGACGGAGCAGTGGAGCAAGCTGCCCCCCGAGACCAAGGACCGCGCTGTGGATCTGATCCAGAAAGGTTCAGTGCAGGGCTGGGCAGGGCAGGGCAGAGTGTAGTTTGCAGGCTGTGGTTCGGCGTGGCCCCCACGGTCACCTCAGCAGTCCCTGCTCCGTTCCCAGGTTACATGAGGATCCAAGAGTACCGGAAGTCTGATGGCTCCTATGCAGCTTGGCTGAGTCGCGAGAGCAGCACTTGGTGAGGTTGAGCGGTGGCTTCTAACTGGGTTTGGGGCATGGGGACAATGAATGGCAGTGGCTGGGGTGGAGGTCTGCGTCCCCAGCCACCCCTCTCCACCCCCAGGCTCACCGCCTTTGTGCTGAAGGTTCTGAGCTTGGCCCAGGACCAGGTGGGCGGCTCACCTGAGAAGCTGCAGGAGACGGCCAGCTGGCTGCTGGGCATGCAGCAGGCAGATGGCTCGTTCCACGACCCCTGTCCAGTTATACACAGAGACATGCAGGTGCGGCTGTGTGGCCATGGCTGGCCAGGGGGCGCCGAGAGGCTGTCCCAGCCCCTCCTTTTCCGCTGATGTCGCCTCATCTCCTGTCACAGGGGGGCTTGGTGGGCAGCGATGAGACTGTGGCGCTCACTGCCTTCGTGGTCATAGCCCTCCAGCACGGGCTGAACGCCTTCCAGGACCAGAGTGCCGAGGCCCTGAAGCAGCGAGTGGTGAGGACGGTGTGGCTCCGCCCTGCCTTGGCCCCCAGCTCCTCCTTGCTCTCCAGGCACCGGGGCTCCAGCCCCAGACCTCTCTGTCTTCTAGAAAGCCTCCATCTTAAAGGCAGACTCTTACTTGGGAGGGAAAGCTAGTGCTGGGCTCCTGGGTGCCCACGCCGCTGCCATCACAGCCTACGCCTTGACGCTGACCAAGGCCCCCCAGGACCTGCAGGACGTGGCTCACAACAACCTCATGGTCATGGCCCAGGAGATCGGAGGTGAGGGATGGGGCCCCCCACAGTGAGCCTGGAGCGTGGGAACTGTGGATCTGGGGGTGCCCAGAGGGTGACAGCGGTTGGGCCATGGCCTGGAGTCTGGAGCCCTGATGAGCACTTCAAAGGGCCTGAGGTCCTCCCCAACCTGACTGCCCACTTTTCCCTCCCAGATAATCGGTACTGGGGCTCGGTCACCACATCTCAGAGCAATGTCGTGTCGCCCACCCTGGCTCCTCTCAGCCCCACAGACCCCATGCCCCAGGCCCCGGCCCTGTGGATCGAAACCACGGCCTACGGCCTGCTGCACCTGCTGCTCCGGGAGGGCAAGGCGGAGCTGGCCGACCAGGTGGCCAACTGGCTCATGCATCAGGCCAGCTTCCACGGTGGCTTCCGCAGTACGCAGGTAGGGCTCGGCGGGGTGGGGCGGGGCTGGTCCTGAGACCCAGCGCCTGAGGCCAGCCTGCACTCCTCAGGATACAGTGATGGCCATGGATGCGCTGTCCGCGTACTGGATTGCCTCACATACCACCGAAAACAAGGAGCTCAACGTGACCCTCAGTGCCATGGGCCGGAGGGGCTTCAAGTCCCACATCCTGCAGCTGGACAGCCGCCAGGTTCAGGGCCTGGAGGAGGAGCTGCAGGTGAGCTGGCCACTGGGGGCCAAGGGGTCGCTGAGACGCTGGGCCCAAAGCCCCACCCGCAGTGGGCCCTGCAGAGGCTCCTCAGGTCCTTCAGGAAAACTGTGTCACCACAGGTGACCAAGCCTCTCACCTGTACCCTGGGTACAGGTGATTAAGATACACGTTTGTAATTAAGTGGGTGGTGTGATTAAGATACACGTTTTCAGTGTGTTACAGTAAAGGACACGTGGGGTCAGTGCCCCTCAGATGCCCTCCCTCAGGTGTGAGCATGCTCATGCCACTGCCCTCGCCACTTCCGAAGCGGCTCTGGAAGTCTCCCTCACGTCCTGAGTGGCCCTGTCGTGGCTGCTTGATGTCCTAAGTTGGTCAGGGTGTTTCCCTTTCAGGGTCGCTGTGGCGGTGAGGAGGAGCCAGAAGTGACCTGCCAGCCCTGGGTGGGGACGGGATGCACTGGGGTGGTTTACAGACCTGTCCTCCCGCTGGGTGGTCAGTGTTGGCAGTGGCGTTCCCTGGATCTGGGAGCACTTGAGAGCCGCTCGGAACGTGGCAGGAGTGGCAGGACCAGGGTGCTCAGTGAGAGCGAGTGTTTTGAGGGCAGGTGACGGCTGCGTGCCTGTCACTGTGTGATTCTGTAAAACATGAAGAGGTTACCCTGAGGCCCTGGTGGGCTGAGGCCTGGAGGTGTGGTGTGGGAAGTGGGGGTCCCCTGACTCCTCTCCCTCGTTCTTCCTGAAAGTTCTCCCTGAGCAGCAAGATTAGCGTGAAGGTGGGCGGGAACAGCAAAGGAACCTTAAAGGTAGGGGGCACGGGCTGGGGGTAGATGTGGGTGGGGGAGGCCAGGGAGGGATCTGGCACCTTGGGAGGACCCCACCAGGAGGAAGCCACCCAGGTTGGCTCTTCTGCTTCTGTCCCAGCCTTTTCCTCTCCCTGGTCTCCCCATCGCCGGGCACCTCTCATGCTCACATGCTGCTCTCTGGCCCAGGCCTGTGCCTGACCCACTGGCTCCCTGAATTCCAGATGTGGCAGCCTGCATCCCTCTTTCCCTGGGGCTCCTCACCTGAAGACCCCCCCATGGCCATGACTCCTGCTGCCCAAAGCCCCTGTCCCTGGTGTCCAGGCCCTCCCTAGTATGGTCCCTGTCACCCTAGCCTGGGAGGACATCAGGCCCCTGTGGCTGCTGGCTGTAGCCCCCGCTATCCCTGCTGCAGTCCCTGCTCCTTGGTGCCATGCTGGCCTCGTTCGCTCTCTGCCACACTTCTGTGCCCATCACGGGCTGAGCCTGCTCTGAGGGGCGGAGCTGGGTGCTGGGTTGGTCTGGGCCCCTGATGTGCCCCACACACCCTGGCCTTGCCGAGCAGGTCCTTCGTACCTACCATGTCCTGGACATGACGAACACAACCTGCCAGGACCTTCGGATCGAGGTGACAGTCATGGGCTACGTGGAGTACACGCGTGAGTGCTGGGCTGGGGCACCCTGGCCCCGAGGGCTGAGGCGCCCCGGGTCCTGCTCACATCACCGCCCTCTGCAGGCCAGGCCAACGCGGACTACGAGGAGGACTACGAGTACGACGAGTTTCTGGCCGGGGATGACCCAGGTGCCCCTCTGCGGCCCGTGATGCCCCTGCAGCTGTTTGAGGGGCGTCGGAATCGCCGCCGGAGGGAGGCCCCCAAGGTGGCCGAGGAGCAGGAGCCCAGAGTGCAGTATACCGTGTGCATCTGGTGGGTGCTGTGCTGGAGGGGTGGGGCGTTGGTGGCAGCGTGCAAGGGCCCAGATGGAGGCTGCATCTCCCCATAGGCGGGAAGGCAAGATGAGGCTGTCCGGCATGGCCATTGCAGACATCACCCTGCTGAGTGGATTCAGCGCCCTGTCTGCTGACCTGGAGAAGGTACACCCCGTACCCCAGGGCTGTCCCTCCTTTCCTGGGTGCCTGGGGCCCCCGCAGCCCAAGGGTGCTGAACCTCAACATGTGTGGGGCCCCAGGCCACTGACCCACCCCCTGCCTCCTCCTGCAGCTGACCTCCCTGTCTGATCGCTATGTGAGTCACTTTGAGACTCAAGGGCCTCATGTCCTACTTTACTTCGACTCGGTGAGTGGGGCAGGGACACAGGAAGGGCACTGTTACTGGGATCACAGCATCTGCGTCAGGAGGTTTCTTAGGAACTTGTGACGGAAGGAAGGCCAGGCTAAGAGAGGGGGCCTATGAGCTGGGCCAAGGCGGGCAGACCTCCCGGGTCACAGCCGATGGCGCCTACGCCATCCGTGTCAGCCATGAGCTGTCCTGCAAGGCTGAGGCTGGAAGCTTGGCCGGGCGTGGGGCCAGCAGGGTGGTGGAGGCTGGGGTGGTAAGGCCCCTCAGGGTGCTGAGAGAAGCCAGGGCTGGGCAGTGAGGTCATCCCCAGGAGCAAAGGCATCGGAGGCCTTGGGACAGGGCTGTGGCTGGACGTGAAGGACAGCGGAGGTGAGGTCAGTGGTGGCAGCCTTACTGGGCCTTGATGTCCGTCCGTCCTGGTCAGGTGCCCACGTCCCGTGAGTGCGTGGGCTTTGGAGCCATGCAGGAGGTGGCTGTGGGGCTGGTGCAGCCGGCCAGCGCCGTGGTGTACGACTACTACAGCCCTGGTGAGCCGGGTGGAGTGGGGCTCAGGGACGGCCTCGGGTGGTAAGGGTGGGGGCGCGGGGACGGCCTTGACCCCTCGCCCCACAGAGCGCAGGTGCTCTGTGTTCTACGGGGCACCCGAGAAGAGCAAGCTGCTGTCCACCTTGTGCTCCGGGGATGTCTGCCAGTGTGCGGAGGGTGAGGCATGGCTGGGCACGGGGCCTGGTAGGGACGGGTGGGGACTGGGGTGGGGCCGTGTGCCCTGACACCGTGACGCCCGCCCGATGCAGGGAAGTGTCCCCGGCAGCGCCGTGCCCTGGAGCGGGGCCTGCAGGATGAGGACCGATACCGGATGAAGTTTGCTTGCTACCACCCCCGCGTGGAGTACGGTGGGTCCCGTCCACCCACCCCTCAGATCCTTATGCAGACTCCCCACACCTCCCCTGCCCTGGTGACAGATCCCATCCCTGGCCCCCAGGCTTCCAGGTTCGTGTCCTCCGAGAGGACAGCAGAGCTGCTTTCCGTCTCTTCGAGACCAAGATCATCCAAGTGCTGCACTTCAGTAGGATGGGGCGGGCGCTGGGCGGGGCGGGGCCCAGAGGGAGGGGAGCCCTGGCTGCCTGGCTTTCCCCTGCACGGATGTTCCACGCCCCTTGTCTCTGCAGCCAAGGACGCCAAGGCTGCTGCTGATCAGACCCGAAACTTCTTGGTTCGGGACTCTTGCCGGCTTCACCTGGAGCCCGGCAGGGAATATTTGATCATGGGCTTGGACGGCATCACCTCCGACCTCAAGGGAGAGTGAGTTGCCGGTGCCCCCGGGAGGACAGGCCCCACTGCCCGGAGCCGGGCACTGCCTGCCCTCTGCTCCCCGTGTCCGTCCCTTTCTGAGAGCCCGTTTGTCCCCGCAGCCCCCAGTACTTGCTGGACTCAAAGAGCTGGATCGAGGAGATGCCCTCGGAGCGGCTGTGCCGCAGCACCCGCCAGCGGGCTGCCTGTGCCCAGCTCAACGACTTCATCCAGGAGTACAGCACCCTTGGGTGCCAGGTGTGAGCACGCCGCTGTCTCCCCAACCCTGACCCTGACCCTAATAAAGGCTTTACCAAAGTGTCAGTGTGTTTCTCTGCCCCTCCCTGGTTCTGGGGACCCAGGCTAACCTCAGGCCCAGCGCCTCAGGGACCCTCAGGACTGACTCTGCCTTAATACTTCCCAAGAGTGCTGTGGGCCTCAGTCTATCGCAGGACCAGCTGGGCAGGGCTGAGCCCACGTCCTGCACCCCAAGGCCTCCCTTCCGCGGCTCCTGAGGTCAGCCCGCCTTGGCAGAGCTCAGCATGGGCTTCAGCTCTTCCATCCCCAACCCCTGTCCTTGAGCGGTGCAGCACTGGCTTCTACCAGCTGTGGTGGGGCCCAGCCTGTGGGGGCTGGCTGACCCAGTGCCACTCTCAGTGGTGCTAGGGAACCCCTGGAGCCGAGAAGACCTGGTCACCTACCATGCCTGGACAGGCTGAAGGCCCAGAGACAGCGTCTCCTGACGTCAGCCCTCCTACCTTCCTGCCCTGCCTTCCTGCTATGCTGGTACCTGGGGTGCTGGAGGAGCAACCTCACAATCCTTCCACGGAAAGTCACCAGGACTGGGCTTGAGGAATCCTGAGACGACGCATCAGTGTGCTGCGAAATTGCCCGGTGCAGACTCTGGGACTTCGCCCCGTGTCTTGTGCCAGCAGCAGCCGCTCCCTGCAAGGCCTCCACACAGGAGAGGGGAGGCAGCCGGGGCTGGGCCGGGCAGGTGAGAGCCCGGAGACCGTGGGCTCTGAACTGGTGAGGGCGGGTGGCCGACAGCTGGGAAGGCTTCCTGGAGGAAGCGACAGCTAAGAAGGCTGTGCTCAGAAGGCTGAGGAGCCGGGCAGAATGGTGTAAGTGGGAGCTGGAGGCAGAAGGAGCCCTGGGCAGGAGCCTCTAGTTCTTCAGGGTAGAATTTGGTTTTGGAGGTGGGATGGACACAGTCACTTCCCAACGGGTGGCTATGAGTACCCCCGCCTCTGGGGCTTCTCTCCTGCACACTGTGGGGGGCTCTGAGGTTCCAGTTCCAGCTTTCCACGGCTCCACGGGGTCCCCTTCCTCACAGCCAGTGGGCACTGTGGTGGCATGAACCTCTCCCCCAGGGCCTGGGCCCCAGAGTCCCCCCACCCAGGCCTGTGGGCCCAGGGAATCGCACCCTACTTTTATCCCACTCAAGGCTGGTCCTGATTCCCTTGGGCCAGGCCCAGCAGTTAACTTGTCCAGGTGTGGGTGGCACACCTGAGCTCAGTGAAGTCTGGAGGGGAGCAGGGCCCCTGGCTGTGGTGTCTGTCTGCAGAGCCAAGCATGGAAGGTTGGGGTGCAGCCAAAGTTCACCCCCCCCCCAGCACCTTGGCCCTCTCCTGAGCCTCTTCAGGGCCTCTCCCCAGTTCCCTTTTCCAAGCCCCTCTCCCAGGCTAAGAGAGGGGGCCTATGAGCTGGGCCAAGGCGGGCAGACCTTGCTCCTGCCTGCCCAGCAAATCCCTGCTGTGTACAGCTACAGGTCAGGGCTGGGCGCTGGGCTGATTGTGCCGCAGCTGCTTGCTGTCCGACCTGCAGACCAAGGCCAGCAAGCTGCTTCCAGGGGATGTGGGGTTGAGTTCGGGATGACCTCGTCATCCTTACTGTCCTGCCCAGTCAGGTGGCAGGGAGTCTGGCTGCCCACTGCTGGGGCTTCCTGTCCTACCTCTTCCAAGAGCTGTCCTTTACTTTCCCACCCTTAGGTTTTGGGTACTGGCCCAGAACTCAGCACAGGTTTTTCTTTTTTGAGATGGAGTCTCCCCGTGTAGCCCAGGCTGGCCTTGGACTCACAGAGATTCTCTAGCCTCAGCTTCCCAAGTACCAGACATGTACCACTGGAAAGGTCAGGGTCCCCCTTCTTGATAAATGGCTCATTCTTTGAAATGTGAACTCCCCAAGGCTAGCCAGACTGTTGCCTCTCTGGAAACGAACTGCCTGCGGGTTGGGACACAGGACAGGATCAAGGTGACTCCGAGACAGAGACAGATGGCTGTGCTGAGATAAAAACACCACTCCGGGGCTGGGTGCAATCGCTGGCCATGCTGCTCCTTGGGCTGCTGCTGCTGGTACTGCTGGCCAGTGCCCGCCTGCTGCGGGCCCAGTGGATGCATAGGAGCCTGCACCTTCCACCTCTGGCCCCAGGCTTCCTGCACCTCCTGCACCCCAACCTCCCCAGTCACCTGCTCAGCCTCACCCGGGAGCTTGGGCCCATCTATAGGCTGCACTATGGGCTTCAAGGTGAGAGCCCACTCCCTGCCCGTGCCTGCCCACCTGGTGCCTGAGGCCAGCCTCAGTCTGGCCAGTGATATGGGATGGACTTTCCCGCAGAGGTGGTAGTGCTGAACTCCAAGCAGGCCATCGAAGAGGCCATGCTCAGGAAGTGGGCAGACTTCGCCGGCAGACCCCAGCTGCTGTCCTGTAAGGGCCCGGCCCCCTCTCTGGGGAGGGAAGGACCATTGGAGGAGCAGCCTTATGGGCCTTGTTGCCCTGCATCCTGCCCACCCACCCACACGGTGTCCCCTGCCTGCAGACAAGCTGGTGTGCCAGCAGTACCCGGACCTGTCGCTGGGGGACTACTCCCTGCTCTGGAAGGCCCACAAGAAGCTCTCGCGCTCGGCCCTTCTGCTGGGCACCCGCAATATCATGGAGCCGGTGGTGCAGCAGTTAGCCCAGGAGTTCTGCGAGGTGAGGCTGCACCCCCGAGGTCCTGCCCGACTCTCCCCGCAGCACCCCTGGCCCTACCCTGGCCCGAGCAGCTCTGGTTCCTTCTACAGCGCCTGGGAGCCCAGGCTGGTGCCCCTGTGGACATCTACCACGAGTTCTCCTTGCTCACCTGCAGCATCATCTGCTGCCTCTCCTTTGGAAGCAAGGTCAGGCCGGCCCTCCCCTCCCCTCCCTGGGCCCTCCAGGTGCGGAGCTGAAAGCACTGCTCCTACCCAGCAGGAGGACAACCTGATTCGGAGCATTTACAGCTGTGTACAGGACTTGATGACCGCCTGGGACCACTGGTCTGTCCAAATTCTGGAGCTACTTCCCTTTCTCAGGGTGAGGTGCAGCCTAGGTTCCTCCGGGCCCCAGGGAGGGTGGCTTGAGGAGCGCATCGTTCCCAGCAGCTGACCCCTTCCCTCCCAGTTCCTCCCCAACCCAGGCGTCTGGAGGCTGAAGCAGTTGGTGGCGGCCAGGGATCACATTGTAGGGCAGCAGCTGAGGCAGCACAAGGTGAGCGCTGCACACGCCCAGCCCCTGGGCCCGCATCCCCACCCATCCACCTGTGGGCATGGACTGTGCCCTCTGCAGGAGCAGCTGATGGCCGGGCAGTGGAGGGACATGATGGACTACATGCTCCAGGAGGTGCGGCAGCCCAGGAAGGACTGGGGCTCCAGACAGCTCAAGGAGGGCCACGTGCACATGGCTGTGGTGGACTTCTTCATCGGTGGCACCACGACCACAGCCACCACTCTCTCCTGGGCCGTGGCTTTCCTGCTGCACCATCCAGAGGTGCGCCTGGGCTCTCCTGCGGGTTCAGCCAGGGCTGCATCCTCCTAGGCTAGGGCTCAGGAGCGGAGCAGCCAGGCACAGTGTGGCCACCAGAATCTAGCCTTGTCCCTGCTCCTAGATCCAGCAACGACTCCAAGAAGAGCTGGACCTCGAGCTGGGCCCTGGTCTTCTTGCCTCCCCACTTCCATACAAGGAGCGCTCTCGGCTGCCCCTGCTCAATGCCACCATCACCGAGGTGCTGCGCCTACGGCCTGTGGTGCCCCTGGCCCTGCCCCATCGTACCACTCGACCCAGCAGGTGACTCCAGGGCTGGGCGCTCAGGGAAGCCCCACCGGGGTCCTGGGCAGCCCCTGACACCACCTTCCCACAGCATCTCCGGCTACGACATCCCCAAGGACACAGTGATTATCCCCAACATCCAAGGTGCCCACCTGGACCCGTCGGTGTGGGAGCGGCCCCACGAGTTCCGGCCAGGTATGAGGAGAGCCTGGGCCAGGCCTGGGCGGGGGTGAGGCGAGGCGGGGACGGCCAGCCCTGCAAGCCATCAAACCACTGTCCTCTTGCCCGCAGACCGCTTCCTGCAGCCGGGCAAGGGCCCCCGAGAGCTGGCCTTCGGCTGCGGGGCGCGCGTGTGCCTGGGGGAGCCCCTGGCGCGGCTGGAACTCTTCGTGGTGCTGAGCCGCCTTCTCCAGGCCTTCACGCTGCTGCCGCTGGAGGGCGCCCTGCCCTCCCTAGAACCCCAGCCCTACAGCGGCGTCAACCTCCAAATGCAGCCCTTTCGGGTGCGGCTGCAGCCCCGAGGCCCGGGGGCTCCGCGCCCGGGCCAGTGCCAGTGATGCGCAGGACCGGAGCCAGTCGCGTGCCTCAGTTTCTCCTTTATTGCCCCCATACGAACCCCTCTCCTCCCCCCTGTAAACATGGTGCTGTGGGGTCGCGAGCAGAGAGGACTTCGGGAGCTTCTCTGGGCGCGACTTCTCAGTGCTCGGCAGTCCTCCCGGGGCGCAGGCGCGGCGGCTCAGCCCCCCCGGGCGGGCGCCCGGTAACTCCTCGGTCTCAGCTTCATTTCCGTGAAGGGCACGGAGAAGTCGAAGCCCTTCCAGTGGTACCAGCTCACCCCCTGGGCAAGGAGGCCGAGCATGGCAGGGGGCCACAGCCCCAACCCGGACACCCACCCGCTCAGCCCGGTAGCCCCAGCCCCGGTCCACCGCGCGGAACCCCAAGCCGCCCGTCCGCCCAATAAACCGCTTCCGAGCCGCCGGCCGGGTCCGCGCTCCGTGCTCCGCCGCCCACCTGGTGGTCCACCGTGCTGCCGTAGAGCCCGTTGAGGTTGGCGTAGTGGCAGTTCCGGTACCACCAGGCTCCGCGGTAGGACACGGCGCAGGAGATGAGCAGGTTGTTGGGGTCGCGGTCGCGGGCGGAGAAGACGCTGCCGCTGTGGTAGCTCATGGAGTCGCCTGGCGGGGGCGGAGGCGGGGTGTGAGCGGGGCGTCCCTACCCCGCGCCGCCCGGCCCGGGACCCCGCTCACCGGCGGTGCCGTGGAAGCCCTCCAGGTGCAGGCGGTAGTGCTGCGCGGCCGAGTCCACACGGAAGGAGTCGTACTGTGCGAACGCGGCCTCGTCCCCGGCCCGCAGGTCCACGCGCAGGGAGTAGTCGCCGGCCTGCGTCAGGCTGTGCAGGGCCTCGTTGCCTGCGGGGTGGGGGTGGGGGGCCGTCAGCGCCCCGTAGCCCGCAGCCCCCCCGCGCGCCCTAGTCTCTCCCGGAGAGGCGCCCACCCAGCCAGAACTCCCCGGAGACGTTCCCGAAGCCGTGGGCATAGTCCTCCCAGTCCCGCCAGAAGTCCGTGCTGCCGTCCACGCGGCGCTGGAACACCTGGGGGCGGGGCGGCGTCAGACCACACCCCGCCACCAGGCCCCGCCCCGCCCCAATGCCCCGCCCCAGAAGCCTCCGGCCCCGCCCCACAAGCCAGCCTCCCGCAGGCACCGCCCCCGCTGCCCACCAGCCAGCCGCCCCAATACCCCGCCCCCAGAAGCCGGTCCCGCCCCAAGGCCCCGCCCCAGCGAGTCTCCCAGAGTCCTGGACCCCCATCCCTGCCCGCGCTGCTCACCAGCCAGCCGCCCCCGTCCGTCTCCATGTCGCAGAACACGCTCAGCGGCCGCTCGCGGTTGCCGTTGAGGAAGACGGTGGTGGCCCTGGAGGCGCCGGCGCCGTTCTGCATCTCCTCCCCGCAGTCCCTAGGGAAGGGGACCCGCAGCCCGCCTGCGGGGGTGGGGGAAGAGAGCAGGGGTCCCGTGTCCGACCGTCGCAGCCCGCGCCCGCGCCGCCCCCAGCTCAGGCCCGGCCCGGGTACCCGTGGTGAACGAGGTGGACAGGGGGGTTGAGAAGCTCGCGTTCCACATGGCCCGGAGCTGGGCGCTGTAGGCGGTGGAGGGGAAGAGGCCGAGAAGCCGGTGCGAGGTGACCCCGGCAGGGAGCAGGATCTCCTGTGGGAGGGCCAAAGGGTAGGTCAGGGGGGCTCCAGGTAGCACCGCCGGATCGACCCTGAGGGAGCGCGGGAGGCACCTGGGTCTGTTCGCCGGGGGTGTCCAAGCTGACCAGGTAGCCTGTGGGGGGAACCTGGGGTTCAACCCAGGTGAGCAGGGCCGTGCGTGGGGTCACCTCTCTGGCTTCCAAGTCCTGGGGGCCCTGCAAGCCTGGCGGGGAGCAGGGAAGAGACTAGGGTGAGGCTGCCCCGCCCCTGGCCCCGCCCGCTCCCGCCGCTCGCCCCGTTCCCCATGCCCTACCGGCGGTGAAGGTGATGCTGGCCGGCGAGGTGAGGTTGGGGCCGCGCAGGCCGCGCACGGTGGCCGTGTAGTTGGTCTGCGGCACCAGGTTGTGCAGCGCGTAGTCCTCTGCGCTGCCCGGGGCCGAGCCCTGCAGTGGCGGGGCTGGGGAGGGGCGGCCGTCAGTTCCCGCGCCGGCACCCTCCCAGCGCCCACCCTGCCCCAAGGCCACCCGCTCGGCCATGCTCACCCCCAGCGCCTGTGACCCGCACGTTGTATTTGTCCACCGGGGTCTGAGGCGGCGTCCACTGCAGCAGGGCCGACCCCTCGGTCAGGTTCATGGCACGCAGCTGGGTGGGGCCGTCGGGAACTGAGGGGACGACAGGGCTCAGTAGCTGGGGGCCTGGGGCTTCCTGCTCAGCCTCCCTGAACCCCCGGCCTCCCGCCCCGCCCCGCCCCGGGCGTGGCCCACTCACTCGTGCTGAGGAAGCCCTCGAGGGGCTCACTCTCCTCGAATCCTCGGACAGAGACCACGGTCACCTCGTAGCGCGCGCCCGGGGTTAGGCCCTGCAGGCTGTGGGTCTGGGCCCGGCCGTCCACCTGCACGCTCTGCGGCTCCCCTGGAAATAAGGTGGGAACCTGGAGGTCGCCCTGAAACCTGGAGCAGCTGGGGGTTGGTCAGGGGGCAGGGCTCGGGGGCAGAGAAATGAGAGCCAACAAGACCGCGGGCCAAAGGCGTCACCTCCATCTGCTAGCTGGTAGGAGACTTTGAAGCTGTCTACCCTGGACGGTGGCGGCGTCCAGCTGACCGTGGCTGATGTCTCCCGGATGTCACTGAACTCGAGGTCTCGGGGGCTCTCCAAAACTGGGCACAGGGACAGAACGACGATGGGCCCCTGCCCTGGGCTCCCAAAGTGCCCAGCATCCCGGCCCTCCCCGGGGCTTTCCAGGCTCCCCCGAAGCCACCGAACAGTGGACCTACCTGGGCTCAGGGTCCGGGCAGTGCCCTGGACGCTGTCAGCCTTGTGAGGCCCGCGCAGGCCGTACAGAGTGAGGCTGTACAGCGTGCCGGGCCGCAGGTCCCGCAGCACTGCTGAGCGCCGTGTGCCAGGCACCATCAGCTCCCGCTGCAGTGGAGGCCGCTGGCGCGGCTCCAGGGTGCTGGGCGCAGGCACCCCAAAGCGCAGCAGGAAAGAATCGAAGGCCCCCTGCGGGGCCTCCCAGTTGAGTCTCAGGGAACTGGTGGTCACATCAGTCACCGACAGCTGCGACAGGCGTGGTCCTGGGTCGCCGGGAGTCTGACCGGCAGGGGGTGGTCCTGGGTGAGACAGGTGCCAGAGGGGGCAGCTTGGCGTATGGGGCAGATGCCTTGTGCCACCGTTCCTGGGACAGCTCCCCCCAGCGCCCTGGGCATCACGGGACAGGAGCAGTGGCTGTGTGTTGGGGCCAGGGTGGGGGTGCTGTGGCCTCACCCCTCCCAGCTCCTCTGAGTGCCCTCACCCCATAACCACCCACGTTCACCTTCCCCAGCCCAGATCGCAGGGCTGGAGCCTGGTACCTGTGGTGCCCTCTGCGGAGACCGGCCCCTGGCGTTTCCCGTCGTGCAGCCCGTAGAGGAAGAACTTGTAGGAAGTGCCAGGCTCCAGGCCAGAGACCAGGACTTTGCTCTGATCACCGTCCACCAGCAAGGCCTGTGGCTGCCCATCTGAGCCCTCGTACTGGACCACGAAGGAGTTGAATGGGCCCCGGACCACGCTCCACGACAGGCGCAGGGAGTCCGGTGTGGCCTCAGTCACAGCCAGCAGCCCCAGGCGAGGGGCTTCTGGGGGCTCGGGCTGCTCTGGTGGGGCTGGAGTGTCCTCTTCTGGGGCTGTGAGGGAGAGGCCCAGAGAGAAGGTGAACGGGGTGCAGACTGGAGCTCTGCTCTTTCCCTCTTGACTCCGCAGAAGGGGCTCAGGGATGGCCCCAGGCCAGGGTGCGGATTTCACAATCCGGGCACAGCAGCAGGAAGGAGAAGGGAGAGTTTGGAGAAGACAGAACAGGGGCCCAGCTTTACCCAAGATTCCCCTGGGAAGCAGGTCCAGGGTGGGGTGGAGAAAAAAAAGAAAAGCCAGGTAAAGAAAGGCACCAAGGGCTCGAGATTGAGCTCAGAAGCACAGTAGCTACCTGGCAAGCGTGTGGCCCTGAGTTCAATTCCTGGTTACCCCTCCCCAAAAAACAGAAAGAAAGGCACCTAATGGGCTTGGGGTTCGCACCCAGAGACCAGAAAAACAGGTGAGAGGCAGGATGCAGAAACAAAGCCAAGCCACAGTATCCACACGTGTTCCCAAGGCCACTCACCACCATCATCCCCACCACCCCCGCACTGTACCAGCACCTGAGAACAAAGGGCCTACAGGTCCCCATCTTTCCAGAGCCCCTACCCTGATTCCCTCCTATCAGGGTAGCTGTCTCTCTTCTCCCTTCTCCCCTTTTCTTTTTCTCTTTACAAATATTTTCCTTTTGTTAAATTTTGTCCCTCTCATTTTTTATTGCAGCTGTTTTCGACCCTGGTGGGTTCCTTGGACAGAGGCAACTCACGGAGGTTCCTCTAACCTCCCAGCTCTTAGATTGGCTGTGTCCCTGCTATTAGGGTTCATATCTGGATGACCCCCAAAGCCTCATGTGATCACAGCCGGGGCTTTTGAGAGGCTGTTGGATCACAGATCGTGATATTCTCCAGAAGATGAGTCCGCGCGGAGTTTATAGCTGAATGTGGAGTTAGGATGCAAAGCCAGGCTGGAGGCGGCCCCTGGGGGCGTGGCCTGGGAGGGTCTCTCCCTCCTCCGCCCTCATCCCTCTCTGCCTTTGCCTTGCGCTGTTTCCCCTCTGCCACGCAGCCCACCCTGCTCTGGACTGAACCCTCCACAAAATGTGAGGCAAAATAAACCTCTCCTCTGAGTTGTGAGGGTTGTATCTCGGCGATGATGAAGCGACTAAGACCCCTGCCTTGGCAGGGACCCCTGCCACCCTGGGCTCTCCCCTCTGAAGGACCCTGCCCTGGCCATCACTGCTTCTTGTGCCCCTCTGCAGTGCGTGTCTGATCGCACACTCAACTCCCATTTCTACTGAGTGTCCCACAGACCCCAGCCCTGGAGGCTGTACCTAGCCCACCCCAGGGTGAGGGTGGCCTGGCCTTGCTGGGGTGCACAGTGCCCCCCAAGAGTGGGACTGGCTGGCTGGCGACTGGGACTGGAAAGTGGCACCACGTGCATTAGGCCCACGTGTCCTGGGCTGGGCATGGCTCCTCCATGCAAGGCCATTCCCCAGGCTTCTGTGTCCCCTGTCCAGTGTTTTTCCCTTTGAGAAAACTCTGCATCATGGGGGAAGGGAGGTTTGCCCCTGGCAAGCGATGCCACCAGCTAAGGTAAAAGCTGGTGTGACAGGAAGGGGGAAGCAGGCTCTTGAGGGGCTTGGAGCAGGGTCTGGAGGGCAAGGTGGTGCTGTGGGTGTGGAGCAGGAGCCAGGGCATTCCAGCCACCTCAGCAAGGCATGGCGCAATGTGGCTGTAACTTCTCACTTCCCCGGGGCTGCCTGGGGCTCCTTTCTGCCACCTGCCTGCTCGGCCCAAGGCCGCCAGGGCCCCTGGCCTTCCTGCTCAGCAGCCTCACCTGTGGCCCCCAGGGTAGAGACAGGGCCCAGGCGCTGTCCTCCCGAGAGCCCGTACAGCAGGAACCTGTAGGTTCTGCCTGGTGCCAGGCCCTCCACGGTGACCTCACGCTGCTCTGCAGCCACAGGCACCACCTGCAGCTGGCCATCTGCATCTCTGTACTGGACCAGGAAAGAGTCGAAGGAGCCCTGTGCCACCGTCCAGGACAGCTGCAGGGAGTCTGAGGTCTCCTGGCTGGCAGCCAGTTCCCCCAGGCGGGGGCGCTGCGGAGCCTCCTCCAGGGGAGCTGTGAAGAGAGTGGGAAAGTTGCTGGTCAAGACAGCCTGCTCAGGGGCCTAGACACAGAGCTGGGTCGCCAGGGTTCCTGGCTCCCAGCTGGAGGCACTGCTCAGCCCTGCCTGTCCCCCCTGCCGCCCACTGCTGCTGTGGTCAAGGGCACAGCCAATTCTTAAGAGATCATCTCACTCACGAGAGACAGCTGAAAACTAATTTTTATAAGAGGGCTTATTGGAATGGACTGAAGGGCATTAAAAAAAAAAAAAAAGAGGGCTTCCAGAGCAAGGCAGGAGGATGGTTGTGAGTTTGAGACCAGCCTAGGCTACAAAGTGAGCTCAAGGCCAGCCTGAGCTACACAGTGAGACTGTCTCAAAAAGACAAAAATAAAAATAAAAAAGGGCTGGGGACATAGCTCCTTATAGAGGCCATGGGTTTAAACCTTGGTAGTGAAAAAAAAAAAAAAAAAAAAGAGGGGCGCCTAAGGGTGCAGAGAGACCCTAGATTTCCTCTGCATAGTGCTGGGACAAGATCTGAGGCTCCCATGGCAATACCCCAAAGAGGAGAGCTGGGCTGGGGGCCAGCTGGGGGTGCCTATCACTGCCCAGCAGGCTGTCCCCCACGGCCTCCCCAGCACCACACCCTTTCCAGACAGGACTCTGGGATGTGGGGTGCAGAGATGGGGGAAACCCCAGGATGGGGTGGGGGAGTCAGGACTGCCTGGAGCGCAGTCCTCAGTGTGATTTCAGGGGAGAGAGACTGCCTGGCCGCTTGGCCAGCCAGGGTGACTCAGATCTGGGAGCAGGCAGGGGTCAGTGGCCCGCCCCACCTCTTGCGGGGGCTGAGTCCTGGGCATAGGAGGGCAAGGGAACCGGTGTTCCACTGTCTCTGCAGCCGAGCCCTCCCTCATTCCCCACCTCTTGCCCAGGTTGGGCCGGGCCAGGATGTGGGGAGCTGAGTGCCAGCACAGTTACTCATCGAAGGACCCGGGCTTGGCCATGCCATGGGGCTTGGGATTAGACCCAGCCTGGACTTTTTCCTTCCGAATCACCCAGCGAGGGAAGGGGACAGAGTTCACAGCAGGCTGGGGGTCACGTCCGTCCCACTCTTCGAGGGATTTGTTTTTGGTGTCTTGAGCATCACACCAGCAGCAAAGCCAGAATCAAATCTGCAGCCTGACAGTGAGGTGGCATGGGCTGTGCTCACCTGTGGTCCCATCAGCGGAGGCTGGGCCCAGCCGCTTCCTGCCCACTAGGCCGTAGAGCAGGAACTTGTATCTCCTATTGGGCTCCAGGCTGGGCACGGTGACCTCACGCTGGTCTGAGGCCACCGGTACCATCTGGGGCTGCCCATCCCTGTCCTTGTACTGGACCACGAAGGAGTCGAATTCACCTTCGGGGACCGTCCATGCGAGGCCCACAGAGTCAGGAGTCACATCCGTCACTGTCAGCTCCCCCAGGCGGGGAGAGGGCTTTGTGTCTGGGACTGGAAAAGAAAGGGAGGAGCACAGAGGTTACCACAGCGATGGAAGCAGAGTCACTTCTTGGGGTGTTATGGCTCTGGGTCCCGGGTCCTGGGAACCTGGAGAGGCACAGAGAGGAGTTGGGAAAGAAAGCAAGCACCTCCAGGGATGCCAGGAGGAGGATGGTGTGAGCGCAGAAGGGAGCTCAGGGTGTGGATGTCAGTGGATCCAAGAAACGGGTAGATCGACGGGCACTGAGGTCCCCAGGTCTGTACCAAAATCCGCCACCGGCCATGGGGGTGAAACATGGCCAGCGGCCGAGGGGTAGGGTGGCCTCTGCCTTCACTCACAGGTCTTTGTGTCCACAGAAACTGGGCCATGGCGCTTTCCATCCCGGAGTCCAAAGACCTGGAACTTGTACTTCCGGGCTGGGTGCAGAGCTGAAATGGTGACCTCATGGAGGTCCCCACTCACGGGCACCACCTGGAGCTGTCCCTGTGCGTCCCTGTACTGCACCAGGAAGGAGTCGAAGGGGCCCTGGGCCACTGTCCATGAGAGGCTTACTGTGTCTGAGGTCACGGCGGCCACGGCCAGCTCCCCCAGGCGGGGATCCACAGCGGGCCAAGTGGGTAGAGGGGCTGCAAGAGAGCAGAGGGGGCTGAGGATGGGCGGGACCAGAAGAGTTCACACCATGCACCTGGTGCCGGACCATCCCCCAACATGGGATCTGAGGCCTGGGGCTCAGGGAGCAAAACTGCAGTGCGCAGAGCTGGGGGCAAAGTCAGATCCGAAGCCGACTCTCCAGTGAAGCCCTTACTGAAACCCAGCAAGGAAGCCTGAGGGTGCGGGACAGAAGGCAGCGAGTGCTGTGAAGCCGCTGACCAGAGGGTGTGGGCCGAGGGTGCAAGCAAAGCACAGGTACTGACAGTGAGGCCAGGCTGCCCCAGGCAGGCTCCTGAGTCCTCCTGACTCAGCCAGCGGGGCCCTCAGCCACGCCACAGGCAGGGGGCCAGAGTCCCCTGGTAGGGGCTCAGACCACTGGGAACCGAGGAGAGCAAACGAGGGGGAAGCCAGAGACCAGTGCTGGGCCCCACTCACCTGTCACAGCCACGGTGGACACGGGGCCCACGCGCCCGGCCTGGTGCAGCCCGTACAGGTTCATCTTGTACCTGCGCCCTGCGTCCAGCTCCCGCACGGTGGCCTCCCTTGCCTCGCCTCCCACACGCAACACCTGCGGCTGCCCAGCCCCGTCCTTGTACTGGATGCTGAACCCGTCGAAGTGGCCCCGGGACACTGTCCAGGACAGGCTCAGGGAGTCTGGGGATGCGCCTGTCACGATCAGGTCCCCCAGCAGCGGCTCCTCAGGGGGCTGTGGGGCCTCTGTGGAAGGTCCTGGGGGGCCGGGTGTCTCTTCCTCTGTGGCTGATGGGGACATAGAGGGTGAGGTGGCTCTTAGGGGACACCCTTGCGGTTCAGGGACCAGGAGGGAGGAGCTGTGGCCACAGCTGGGGACCTGGGTTCCGCTCGGCTGCTTGGTGCCAGTTGTCCCAGGGCAGCTGAGGACAGTCTGGCAGTCAGCATGGCCAAGGCCTCAGGGTGCTCCCTGCCTGGGGTCAGAGGTCATCCTGGGAGTGAGGGGTCACAGGCCACAGCCTCAGCCACAGCAGCCTCACCGCTCCCGCCTCAGCCATCACCAGAGCCTCCCACGGGTCCCTCCCTGGGACTCCCGCCAGCCCCTCACCTGTCACCCCCACAACAGACACGGGTCCCACACGCTGGCCGCCGTGGAAGCCATACAGGTGCATCTTATACTTGTGGTCCGGCTCCAGCCCCGACACAGTGACCTCGTCCTCGTGTCCTGGCACCCGCACCGCCTTGGGCTGCCCGTCCCCGTTCCTGTACTGGACCAGGAAGTGATCGAACTGTCCCTCGGGGACTGTCCAGGAGAGGCTCAGGGAGTCCGGGGACACATCTGTCACAGTGAGCTCCCCCAGGAGTGGCTTTGGGGCAGGCTCGGGAGTGGTGATGGGCACTGCCTGGGTGGTCATAGTGTCTTCCTCTGCAGCTGGGCACATACAGGGGAACAGGTGAGGTCCCTGTGACCCTCGGTTCCCCAAATAAAGGGGAATTTACAAGAAATAAACGCTGAAGAGCAGGGTGACACCGGTCGCAGATGCACCGCCATCTCCTTCTGCTCCTTTGGCATCCCCACTGCTGCATGTGTCCCCAGGACCTTTGTAGCTGGTCACTCCCATCAGCACCTGTGTGACCCCTGCCCTTCAGCACCACCTCTTCTGAACCAGCTGCAGAAGGCTACAGGCCGCAGGCCTGGTCTGCTGGCGTCTCCTGCCATCTCCTTGGTCATCAGCCTCGGGCCCACCTTCCCAGCCAGACACGGCCCCTCTCATGCTGCCATCGCCCTCAGAGAGACCCAGCCTTCTCCTGCGGTCCTCCTGGGTGCCTCATGCCTCTTCACCCCAGCTGGGACCCTGAGTGGCTACTGGCCCAGGGCGGTGAGCACTGGGCTGACAGCCACTGCCCTCCTCCTAGCGGGAGCCCTGGTTTCCTCAGTGGCCCCTGCCTCTCTCCACATGGCAGGACAGTCTGTGCCTCAGAGGCCACTGTGGAGTCTTCTCTGTTCCTGCTCTGTGCCTGATGTCACCAGTCTCCTGCTGTCTGCAAGGCTGAGCCCCAACGAACCTCCCTCCTAAAGCTGTCACCAAGCTAATGCCCACTAGACACCTGGACCTGAGCTCTCAGGTGTGCTGTAGACCCCTGAAGCCCTGCTTAGGCTGCCTTGCCCAGCTCTGGGCTCCGAACATGGCTCTGCTCTGCTGCTGATTTCTGGCTTTCTGCTTGTGCCCTGCCTACAACTCCCCACACCCCAGGCCCAGCTCTGAGGCCCTCTGTGTGTCTGCTAACCAACCAGACGCCTCTGAGACAGTGCACAGTCAGCCCCTGCCGGACAGCGCCTGCTGGGAGACAGCGCTGCCTCTGAAACCTTCCTGTCACCTAACGCTGGCTGGCATCCCACGTGACACTCCTCCCAGGCTCTCTCCAGTCACCACGGCCCGCACTGCATGGAATGCAAAGGCAGAGGTGAGTCTTCCCAGGGCTTTGGCTGAGGACAGTCACACCCAAGGCCACAGTGCCCACGCCACAGCCTGGAATTCACAGGGATGCTGTTGTGAGGGCCTTCCACTCCACAGCAGGTTTCAAGGCACTATGCCTGGAGCTCCTACCTCATCCAAAAGGCCCCGGGCCTCTCAGCCAAGAGGGGGCCGCCCTGAGCAGTATGGGGGCTGCCCGATACTTCCAAGAGCAAGCAATGCCTCTGCCTTGCTGCTTAGGGCTCCAGAAAATGGACCTCGCCGGGAGCACAGATAATCAGCAACAGAGCTACTCTGCACCCCCAGAGGTGCATGCTGGGCACAGCCCCACAGCACTACGGGAGGAGATAGTCGCTGGCAGGAAGCCCGAAGAGAGGCACAACCGCTAGGGCCCAGTTTCGCCGCCCACACCACCCACCAATCACTCACCGGTCTCAGTCACGATGGACACAGGACCCACACGCCCGGCCTGGTGCAGCCCATACAGGTTCATCTTGTACCTGCGCCCCGCTTCAAGCTCCTGTACGGTGGCCTCCCTCACCTCGCCTCCCACACGCAGCACCTGCGGCCGCCCGGCCCCATCCTTGTACTGGATGCTGAACCCATCAAAGTGGCCCTGGGACACCGTCCAGGACAGACTCAGGGAGTCCGGAGATGTGCTTGTCACCATCAGCTCCCCCAGCAGTGGCTCCTCAGGGGGCTGCGGGGCCTCTGTGCTGGGTCCCGAGGGGCTGGGTGTCTCTTCCTCTGCAGCTGACAGGGGAACACAGAGGGTGAGGCGGTTCCCAGGGGACACCTTTGGGACTCAGGGTCCAGGACGGGGAGCTGTGGCCACCACTGGGGATCTGGGTCCTGCTTGGCTGCCGGCTGCAGGCCTGAGTTCCCAGGGCAGCTGGGGACAGCTAGGCAGTCAACAGCAAGACCAAGGCCTCGGGTGCTCCATGCCCAGGGACAGAGGTCATCCGAGGTTGGAAGAGACACAAAGCCACAGCAGCCTCACCGCTCCCGCCTCAGCCATCACCAGAGCCTCCCACGGGTCCCTCCCTGGGACTCCCGCCAGCCCCTCACCTGTCACCCCCACAACAGACACAGGTCCCACACGCTGGTCACCATGGAAGCCATACAGGTGCATCTTATACTTGTGGTCCGGCTGTAACCCTGACACGGTGACCTCGTCCTCATGCCCTGGCACCCGCACAGCCTTGGGCTGCCCGTCCCCGTTCCTGTACTGGACCAGGAAGTGGTCGAACTGTCCCTCGGGGATTGTCCAGGAGAGGCTCAGGGAGTTGGGGGACACATCTGTCACAGTCAGCGCCCCCAGGCGCGGCTTTGGGGCAGGCTCGGGAGTGGTGGTGGGCACTGCCTGGGTGGTCATAGTGTCTTCCTCTGCAGGTGGCACACACAGGGGAACAGGTGAGGTCCCTGTGGCCCTCAGTTGCCCAGATAAAGGGGACTTTACAAGAAATGAACACTGAAGAGCTGAGTGACGCTAGTCGTAGGGGCACTGCCACCTCCTTCTGCTCCTTTGGCGTCCCCATTCCTGAACCTAACCCTGACCCGGGTTGTCCTTAGGCTCTCCTGACCCGTCTACGACCATATCACCTGTGGCAGCACATTTTGAGCAGGGCCAGGCCACTGTGTCCTTGCCCCCCCTGCACTGGGGTCCCTTGGCATTTCCTTGTTCATGTCACTCAGGACTCTGCTTCTAGAGTGGTCTCCCCTAAACTTTCCCTCCCTCCCCCCCACTCACCTGTCTCAGCCACGGTGGACACGGGGCCCGTGCGCCCGGCCTGGTGCAGCCCGTACAGGTTCATCTTGTACCTGCGCCCCGCATCCAGCTCCCGCACGGTGGCCTCCCTTGCCTCGCCACCCACACGCAGCACCTGTGGCCGCCCGGCCCCGTCCTTGTACTGGATGCTGAACCCGTCGAAGTGGCCCCGGGACACCGTCCAGGACAGGCTCAGGGAGTCCGGAGATGCGCCTGTCACTGTCAGCTCCCCCAGCAGCGGCTCCTCGAGGGTTTGAGGGGCCTCCGTGCTCAGTCCTTGGGGGCTGGGGGTCTCCTCTTCCTCGACCTCATGGGGTTCTGGGAGAGGACATGAGAGTGCAGGGGTTTAGAGGGCCTGCTGCTGTGTTGTCCTAGAAACAGAAGTCCATCGTGGGCTCCCTGAGGCCACAGGAGTAGGCTTCTGGGTGTACCCAGAGCTAGCCCTGCCTGCTGGCCACGTGCACAGCCACAAGCCCTCAGTGGAAAACTGGGACATGCACAGTAGGAGCCAGGAGCATCCATTTCCTCTGACCTAGTAATCTCATTCCTGGGCGCCACTCCTAAGAAAATTATTAAAAGCAGGAAACTCTTATAACGAGTTTTCTGGAAGAATTCTCAGTGGGATTCTTCAGGATGGCAAAATGTGTCAAGAACCCAGGGGACCCGTCCAGGATGATTAATTCTGTGATGTGCTTTCACCAGAAAGCACTCCATAACCACTCAAGTGATGACTTAGACAGGTCGTATGGCCGCAGGGTAAACAATCACAGCGTAACCTGGATACAGAGAAGTCAGAGCCATGAGTTCAGTGGCTGCCTGACCTAGCAGGTCCAGGCCTGACGCCCAGTATCGGAGAAGAATCCAGGCCGCTGTGCCTGCAGCCTGAATCATGCACTGTGCGCCAGGGATGTCAGGCCGGAACCTGTTCTGCTTTGTACTGCGGTGTTGAGGTGGAGCTCAGGGCCTCAGCCAGGCCAGGCCACGCCAGGGCCCACGGGAAAAGGATGGCCCTTATGGGGCCAAAAGATGAGGTTTTGAGGTCACTTTTTTCCAGGTTTTTAAACTTTCCATAAAATGCCTAAGTTTTTTTCACTATAAAAATATGGATTTAACCAAGGCATGATGGTACATGCCTGTGATACCAGCACTCAGGAGGCCGAGGCATGAGGATTGCCAAGAGTTTGAGACTGTTATGGCTTAACTCTAACCAATGCGCCTGCTCTTGTTCTGTATGCACCACAGGGTTAAGTTTCTAATCCTTGTAAAAACTTTCTCCCCTTTCCACATGTTAGTGCTAATGAACTGTCCGAGATAATTTATTTTCTCCCCCTTCCACGTGTTATTGCTAACGAGCTGTCCCCAGATAATTAACTTTCTACTTTCTTCTCTGAATGTTATTGCAGATGTGCTATTCTGAGATAATGTTTATCTGCAGGATGGGAGTAATGAACGGCACCAAAAGCTCCAGATGTTATCAGAACTAAGTCAACAGCTTTACAGTTTCCACAGGCTGTCAGGCTAAGCCAACAGCTTAACGGCTCTGTGGGTTGTTTTTTTTTTTTTCTCTCTCTTGCTTTTAAAATCCCTTTCTTCAGTCTCTGGGGCGTGCAGTCTCTGGGTCCATCTATGGGGGCTGCGTTGCCAGGCCTGAAATAAAAGCTTTTGCTCCAAATTTCTTGATTCCTTGCTTCCTTGGATTTTATTCTGGGGTCTGAGCTATCTCAGAGACCAGCCTGGGCTACAAAGTGAGATCAAGGACAGCCTGAACTGCTAGGGAGACCTTGTCTCAAAAACACCAAAAAAAAAAAAAAAAAAAAAAAAAAGAAAGAAAAAGAAAAAAAAAGTCGTGGGCGGGAGGGCAGAGCAATCGGACAGAGAGGAGGACTGGGCTGGGCTTCTTTGCAGTCCTCCCTGCTCAGTGGACGCTGATTCCTCTGCACTTCACCAAGAGGGGGATGAGGAAAAACAGAGCTGAGCACTGGATAAAACAACAGCTCACCCCCAAGATGCAGAGTTTTCTAGGCTTCCGGGTGGAGCCCTGAACATAGGAAGAAACCAGGCCCATCCCCAGGAGTCCGGGCCTGGGTGGGCTGGCTCCTCCTGTGGTGACAGCTAGGCCCCAAGGCCACATCAGTGTCTGCTGGCCCCTAGGGCCTCTCAGAAGTTCCCTCCCTGGGTGCTCGCAAGGTCCCTTCTTCACAATTCCCAATAAAGGAAGTCTCGAGAGGAACTGGGAGGAGGACGGTGCAGGGTAGGGAGAAGACACAGTGCTTTTCGCTGATTGCAAAAGACACAGGAAAATAAAAGAAAAAGCTTGCCATGTAAGAAAATTTGGACAATGCAGAAGAGAACAAAATAGAAAAAACCCAAACACCCCATGCTGCAACACGCTACCCCGCCCACACATCCGAGTCTGTTACTTTCAAATGGCTGTGATCAGGTCACAGACAGACACTGTGGGCTCTGGATTCCTCCCTACAGCACGCCGGGAAGTGACTCTCTGCCGCTAACACATTTCCAGTGGCAGCACAGTGGCTCATTTTAAAGGCAGTGTGAACTCTGCTCCGTTACCACACTGCCCCTTGCCTATGTGTTTTTCGGTGGTTAAAGAACAAAGATCCCTTGATTAGCAGGAAAGAAGAATCCCAGGGCTGGCCCAGGTGTATTTGGGGGAGGTGGGGGGTCAGTGGCCCCTTCTCAGGGGTCACCTGACCATGAAAAGGAGGGAGCAGGTAGACGAGACCAAACCGTTAGGCAGGGACCATGGCACAAGGCCTAGGAGTAGGATGCGGAGGAGGAACCATGCAGGTGACAGGACAGGACGGCAGGTGCCCCGTAGGAGAGACAAATCACGGGAACCGGGCCCCACTCACCAGTTTCAGCCACGGTGGACACGGGGCCCACGCGCCCGGCCTGGTGCAGCCCGTACAGGTTCATCTTGTACCTGCGCCCTGCGTCCAGCTCCCGCACGGTGGCCTCCCTTGCCTCGCCACCCACACGCAGCACTTGTGGGCGCCCGGCCCCGTCCTTGTACTGGATGCTGAACCCGTCGAAGTGGCCCTGGGACACCGTCCAGGACAGGCTCAGGGAGTCTGGGGATGCTGCTGTCACTGTGAGCTCCCCCAGCAGTGGCTCCTCGGGGGGCTGCGGGGCTTCTGTGCTGGTTCCCAGGGGGTTGGGTGTCTCTTCCTCTGCAGCTGACAGGGGGACACAGAGGGTGAGGTGGCTCCCAGGGGACATCTTTGGGACTCAGGGTCCAGGATGGGGAGCTGTGGCCACCACTGGGGATCTGGGTCCTGCTCGGCTGCCGGCTGACAACAGGGCCTGAGTTCCCAGGGCAGCGGGGGACAGCTACGCAGTCAGTAGCAGGAGTTAGAGGTCATCTTGGGGTTGAGGGGTTACAGGCCAGTCTCAGCCACAGCAGCCTCACAGTTCCCGCCTCAGCCATCACCAGAGCCTCCCCCTGGTTTCTGCCTGGGGCTCCCGCCAGCCCCTCACCTGTCACCCCCACAGCAGACACAGGTCCCATGCGCTGGCCACCATGGAAGCCATACAGGTGCATCTTATACTCGTGGTCCGGCTCCAGCCCAGACACGGTGACCTCATCCTCGTATCCTGGCACCCGCACAGCCTTGGGCTGCCCGTCCCCGTTCCTGTACTGGACCAGGAAGTGGTCGAACTGTCCCTCAGGGACCGTCCAGGAGAGGCTCAGGGAGTTGGGGGACGCATCTGTCACAGTCAGTGCACCCAGGCGGGGCTCTGGGGCAGGCTCAGGGGTGGTGGGGGGCTCTGCCAGGGCTGGGGTCATTGTCTCCTCTCTTTCTGGATCTAGATCAGGAGAAAAGACACCAGAGGATGCGTCTCGTCAGGTCCCTTCTGCACAGAGGCCTCCTGGATTTCTCTTGCGCGTCTCAAGACCCCACTGGGCCACTGGCTTGACCGCTCTGTTGCTGGGGCAGAGTGCACACTGGTGGCAAAGTCAGGCTGGTCTGGGGGGCCCCAAGATTTCTCCATGGGAGCTGCCCCCACCCCGACCGACGCCTTGCAGGTGCCAGATGCATCTGTTTCCTGTGACAGCAACTCAGCAGACTGGGGTGTTATTCTAAGGGGCACCGCACGGGTTTGGGGACCCTAGTTACCAGTGTTCTCCTTTAATATCCCCTGGCTCAGCCTGGGTGTGGTGACACAGGGTTGTAATCCCAGCACTTAGGAGGCTGAGGCAGGTGGGTCACTCTGAGTGCAAGCCCAGCCAGGGCTACACAGTGAGTTCAAGGCCGGCCAGGGCTACACAGTGAGTTCAAGGCCAGCCTGGCCTGCATAGTGAGACCTCATCTCAAAACACAAAACGGTAACTCCCCCTGGTTCAGAATGTTTTTCTGATCAATTGTTCGCTTTTGTTTTGTTTTGAGGTAGGATCTCACTATATAGCCCAGGCTGGCCTAGAACTTCAGGCGATCCTCCTGCCTCAGCCTCTGGAGGACTGGGATGACAGGGCTGAGCACCACGTCACAATTCCTGAACATCTTCAGAAACCGATTTCGATTTCACCCCGGAGGGTAGGAGATGAGGGCACCGAGGTTTTCCTTCTGGTCGGGCAGTTCCCAGACCTCACCACCGCACCCAGCTCCTCCCACCCCAGGGAAATCCTGGCCTTTGTTTCCACTGATTTCTTTGGCGTTTTCTTTGCTCTACAGGGTTTTACTTTGCCTCTGGCTTGAATCACAAGCACAGGGGCTCCATGTGTCTGCTGTGGTGGGGACGGGCAGCAGCCGGCTCACAGGAGGTGGGGCAGGGAGGTGCCCGGCTGACTTGTGACTCATGAGCTAGGAACTCCTGTTTCCCCCTTGGGTCCCTGGAGAATCTTCCCTCAAGGGTTTGCAGGACAGGTGGCCCGCAAGGGGCCTGTGTTTCCCTCTCCTTGGCCGTGAGCTCTGCCCCACTCGAGCCGCCCTCTAAGGCAGACGCCATTGTCACTTCTGCTTCTCAGAGAGGCCTAGTGCGGGTCATGCAGGCTGAGGCCAGGACTGCGCTACGTAGCTCCGGGCTCCCTGCCTAGGACTGGCCGCAGCCCCGAGGGACAGGGAAGAGGCTGGGCAGTGACACTAAGGCTTGGGGCAGACACAGGTGCAGAGCCCAGAGGTCTGGAAAAAGATACCTGCATATTGACAGCCAAAGGGAAACTGAGTCCAGCCTGGCACTGGGCCAAGGGTCCTCCTGCTGGCTCACCTGTCACCCCCACAGCAGACACAGGTCCCACACGCTGGCCGCCGTGGAAGCCATACAGGTGCATCTTGTATTTGTGGTCCGGCTCCAGCCCAGACACGGTGACCTCATTCTCGTGCCCTGGCACCCGCACGGCCTTGGGCTGCCCGTCCCCGTTCCTGTACTGGACCAGGAAGTGGTCAAACTGTCCCTCGGGGACCGTCCAGGAGAGGCTCAGGGAGTCTGCAGTGGCACCTGTCACAGTCAGTGCCCCTAGCTGTGGCTTCAGCTGAGGTGCCGTGGGAGGCACTGGTTCCGAGGCTGGGAAGAGAGATGTGCACACTCTGAGGTCCACGAGAAGGCAGCCAGAGGTGGGCTCGCTCCTGGCCACACTGAGGTCTGTGTCTTACCAGGACCACCACCATGCTATGTTTTCCCGAGATGCCACTAGCCTCCCACCCCTGGGCCTCCACAGCGACCCTTCCTGTGACCTGTGCGTGTTCCCCCCAGGGCCCCCAGATTTCCTGCAAGTCTCTGCTCAAATAGCACATCTTCAAGGGGCTTCCCAACCGCCTTATTTAAAATTCCAGCTTCCTCAATTGCAAAACATCTTGCAAATCACTTGGAGAGAATTCCAGCAACACATTGCAAAACAGCAGCTGTGAGACAGTGGGAGACAGCAGCGCCCTCTGGAGACTTTGAGGACTGAGCGTTCATTTCTAAAAGTATGACACTTCTAGCCGGCCTGTCATCCCAGCACTCAAGAGGCTGAGGCAGTATGATCACTGTGAGTTCAAGGCCAGCCTGGGCTACACAGTGAGACCCTGTCTCAAACAACAACAACAAATAGCTTAAAGAAAATGAGCTGGGGATTTAGCTCAGCGGCATAAGCACCTGCCTTGCAAGCAGGCAGTCCTGAGTTTGATCCCCAGTACCGATAAAGTAGAAAAAGACAAAAAAAAAAAAAAAAAAAATGAATGCATAATGTGTCTTGGATTAGACTTATTGTTTTTGGTTTTTTTAAGACAGGGTCACACTTTGCAGTGCAGGCTGGCCTTAAACTATGTAGCTCAGGCTGGCCTAGAACTAACAGAGATCCTCCTGCCTCAGCCTCCTGAGTGCTCAGATGACAGGGTTTATCACTCCTTGCAGTGACATACTATCTGGCAATAAAAAGAAAGAAAGAAAGAACAGTGAAATACTGCTCCATGTGATGACATGGGTGACACATGGAAACTACATAGCACCCTCCTGAACAACTAATGGGTCACAGATGAAATTAAAGAAGAAATTAGACAGGTTTTAGCGCTGAATGACAATGACAATACAACGTACTGGAACTTATGCACCACAATAAAAGCAGTCCTAAGGGGGAAATTTATAGCAGTAAACACCCACATCAGGAAAACAGAACAAGTGCATATAAACGACTTAGTGTTGAACCTCAAACTTCTAGAAAAAGAGGAGCAGGCTAAACCAAATCTCTTAGGAGGGAGGAAATTAACAAAGGTCAGAGAAGAAATTAATGCATTGGAGACTAAAAAAAAAATAATCAATGAATTGAAGAGTTGGTTCTTCAAAAAATTAAATAAAATCAACAAATCCTTAGCCAACCTTATCAAAAAAAAGGAAGGAAAAGACTCAAATCCATACAATAAGGAAAAAAAGGGTGAAATCACAACAGTCCCTGCAGAAATCCAGATCACTATACTTATTTTGAAAATTTGCATTCTAATAAGATGGGAAATACAGAAGAAATGGACAAATTCCTAGATACACATGAATTAACACAGCTGAATCAAGAAGATATAAAAATCCTAAATAAACCAATATTAATCAATGAAACCGAAGATGTAATTAAAAAGCTATCAAGAAAGAAAAGCTCAGGCCCTGATGGACTGACTGCTGAATTCTATGAGAAATTTAGAGTAGACTTAACATTACTACTTCTCAAATTCTTTAAAGAAATTGAAAGGGAAGCAATACTCCCAAATTAATTCCTGGAAGTAAACATTATCCTGATATGAAAACTGGGGAAAGACCCAACTAAGAATGAGAATTACAGGCCAATCTCCCTAATGAACATAGATGCAAAAATTTTCAATAAAATACTGGCAATCAGAATGCAGTGAATCATCAAAAAGATTGTACATCATGATCAAGCAGGATTCATCCCAGGGATGCCAGGATGGTTCAACATATGTAAATCCATAAATGTAATCCACCACATTAACAGAGCCAAGGACAAAAATCATATGATCATCTCAATAGAAGCAGAAAAAGCTTTTGACAAAGTCTAGCACCCATTCGTGATAAAACACTATAGAAAATTGGAATAGATGGTCTTCATCTCAATCTGATAAAAGCCATCTATGACAAACCAACAGCAACATCATACTAAATGGACAAAAAGTGAAAAGTTTCTCTCTAAAATCAGGAACAAGAGGCTTGCCTGCTAAGTGTGAGGTCCTGAGTTCGATCTCCGCTTATTCAATGTAGTCCTGGAAGCTTTAGCCAGAGTAGTCAGACAATAGAAAGAATAAAAACAGGCAAGGAAGAAACTAAACTATTGTTATTTGCAAATGACATGATACTCTACATAGAACACCCCCAAAATTCCATTAAAAATTGGTAGATTTAATAAGCAAATCCAGTAGCGTAGGTGGGTATAAAATCAACACTCAAAAATCAACAGCCTTCCTGTACACAGATAAACTAACCGAGAGACAAATCCGGGAAACAACGCCCTTCACAACCGTATCCAAAAAAAGAGAAATACTTAGGAATCAACCTAATAAAGGATGTAAAAGACATCTACATTGAAAACTATAGTACTCTGAAAAGAGAGTGCAGATGCTATTAGAAAACGGAGAGGTATCCTGTGCTCTTAGGTGGGAAGAACCAATATAGTGAAAATGGCCATCCTTCAATTCAGTTCAATGCAATGCAATCCCAATCAAAATTCCAATAGCACATCTCACAGAATTAGAGAAAACAATCCTAAAATTCACCTGGAACCAGGAGAGTAACAAAGCCAGTCCTGGGCAACAAAGACAAGACATGGGTATCACCACCCCTGACTTGAAATTATTCTATAAAGCTACTGTAATCACTGGAAGAAAGCCTTTTTAATACATGGTGCTGGAAAAACTGGTCTACATATGCTGAAGATTAAAACTGGACCCATATCTTTCACCATGTACTAAGCTAAAATCAGAATGAATCAAAGATCTTACCACTAAAACAGAAACATTAAATCTGCGGTAAGGTAGAGTAGGTAAAACCCTCGAAGACATTGATGTAGGCGAAGACTTTATAAATAAAACCCCGATTGCACAGTCACTATCGCAAAGAATCAACACCTGGGATCTCATCTTATTAATAGCTTTTACACAGCAAAAGAAACCACCAAAGAGTGAAGAGACAACCCACAATGTGGGAGAAAATATTTGCCAGCTGGTCATCAAAGGAGTACAATCGGAAACATATACAGAACTAAAAAAACTCAGCCTCCCAGATTTAAAGACCCAATCTAAAAACAGGCAACTGAGGTCCATGGGCCAGGGATTTAGCTCAGTGGCATAAACACCTGCCTGGCAAGCACATGGTCATGAGTTCAATCCCTGGTACCAATAAATAAATAAATAAATAAAAATGGGCACCAGAGATGAAAATATACTTTGTAGATGAAGAAATACAAACAGCAAATAAATATATGAAAAAATGTTCAACAGCATTGGTCATTCGAGAGATGCAAATTAACACACTGAGATTTCACCTCAGCCCAGAAAGAGCGGCTACTATTAAGAAATCAACCAATAACAAATGCTAGATGGGCTGTGGGGAAAAGGAACCCACCCTTCTCCATTGTTGGTGCGAGTGCAGACTGGTGCAATCACTGTGGAAATCAGTGTGGAGAGTCCTCAAAAACCTGGGATTCAAAGTCCCTTTGGACCCAGCTATTCCCCAGGGGTATCTTCTCAGAGGAATTAAAATCATACCACAGTGATGTATGTGCACCCATGTTTATAGCAGCACAATTTGTAATAGCCAGATCCTGGAAACAACCTAAATGCCCACTGATGGAAGAATGGATTTAAAAAATGTGGTATTTGTATATAACGGAGCACTGCTCACCAGTAAAGAAGGATAAACTGGAGACTTTTACAGGTAAATGGACACAACTTGAGACCATACTCATTAGTGAAATAAATCAGACTCACATGTGTGGACATCATATTGTCTCCCTAACATGAGAAGTTGAAAGAAATATGTGTATATATTTATACCTGTATCTGTATTTATTTATCTATATATGGTAGTTAAGATATACTACTATTTCTCTTAGTTCATTAAAGAGAAAGGTTTGTGCTGGTATTGTTTGGACAATTAAAGGCAGATGGTTTACACTCTGAGTAACTGATTTAAAGATAACAATTTGCAATGTACTAACCACTGGTATCTTCTAATTATCTTTTAAGATTTTGGGGTTTTTTCTCTCTTTAAAATAAAAACAAAATTAGATTGGGTTGAGGGTTGGGCACTAGGTAAACACATTATAACAGGGGAGTTCTGAGGGTTGGGGATTTAGCTCAGTGGCATAAGCGCCTGCCTTGCAAGTAGGCGGTCCTGAGTTCGATCCACGGTACTGATAAAAAGGAAAACAACAACAAAAACCAAAAACAAAAAAACCCCAGGGGAGTTCTGCACTGAAACAAGCAGATTTTATGGCACCTGGGTCACATGACAATAAAGCTGTTAATAATGAGCTTCTCGGGTTAATAGTTTCCCTCTCTGTGTATAGATTTGAATTTTATTCAACAGACTTGTGTTGAAGGAGTCATCTAGTATTTTATGGAATCGGTCCCAATTCCATACAGACTTCTCTCTAGTTTTCAGGAAAAACAGAGTCAAAACCCAATCAGCCAATGCAGGCCTTCCCGCTTTCGCCCCCTCCTGCCCTCCATTCATTGTGGTCCTGAGTGGGAGGAGACCAAGATTCTGGGGTCCCTGTCACGCACAGAGGACACAGGAGGCCCTACTTCCCTGACAGCCTACTGAGAAGGCCTGTACCCCACTCACCGGTCTCAGCCACGGCGGACACGGGGCCCGCACGCCCGGCCTGGTGCAGCCCGTACAGGTTCATCTTGTACCTGCGCCCCGCGTCCAGCTCCCGCACGGTGGCCTCCCTCGCCTCGCCACCCACACGCAGCACCTGTGGCCGCCCGGCCCCGTCCTTGTACTGGATGCTGAACCCGTCGAAGTGGCCCTGGGACACCGTCCAGGACAGGCTCAGGGAGTCCGGGGATGCGGCTGTCACTGTCAGCTCCCCCAGCAGTGGCTCCTCAGGAGGCTGCGGGGCCTCCATGCTCCGCCCTGGGGGGCTGGGGGTCTCCTCTTCCTCAACCTCATGGGGTGCTAGGAGAAGACATGAGGGTGCAGGGGTTTAGAGGGCCTGCTGCTGTGTCCTCCTAGAAACAGAGAGCCAGAGGGTCAGCCTCCCACCCGTCCCTCCCTGGGACTCCCGCCAGCCCCTCACCTGTCACCCCCACGGCAGACACAGGTCCCATGCGCTGGCCACCATGGAAGCCATACAGGTGCATCCTATACTTGTGGTCTGGCTCTAGGCCTGATACGGTGACCTCGTCCTCGTGCCCTGGGACCCGCAGGACCTTGGGCTGCCCATCCCCGTTCCTGTACTGGACCAGGAAGTGGTCAAACTGTCCCTCAGGGACTGTCCAGGAGAGGCTCAGGGAGTCGGGGGACGCATCTGTCACAGTCAGTGCCCCCAGGCGTGGCTCTGGGGCAGGCTCGGGGGTGGTGGGGGGCTCTTGGGGCTCATTTTCCTCCTCCTGTGACGCTGAGGTGGAGAGAGAAGGGAGTGAGGGTGGCTGCATCCAGGGGACTCGCCATCTGTCCTCTGGACCCCCAGCCACTTGACAGGAAGCCAAGTGCTGACATCCCCTCACTCACGTGTCAGCACGTCCACGTGGACAGGACCCACAGGCTGCCCTTCGTGGAAGCCGTACAGCGTCACCAGGTATCTGTGCTCCGATTCTAGGCCGGTGAGGGTGGCACTGTGCTGGTGACCCTCTATGCTGACCACCTGGGGTCTCCCATCTCTGTCTTCATACTGGATCTCGAAGGAGTCGAGTTCTCCCTCTGTCACCTCCCAGGACAGACGCAGGCTGTGAGGCGTGGCCTCTTCCACAGTCAGCTCCCCCAGGCGAGGCTCGGCCAACCCCGGGCTCGGGGTCTCGGGCTGGGCTTCCATGTCTTCTCTAGGGGCTGGGAAGAGACAGAAGGGACCCGTGAGGGCAGCCCTGGGGTGGAGGTAGCGAAGGCCTGAATTTTATAACCCCATTACACGAAGTGTAAGACTCCAAACACAAAATTCGGAGCATCCTGTGGCTGTATGAAGTGAGGAGCACAAAAAGACAAAACCACAATCAGGAAAAGCAGACGGGCTGGGGCTGGGGCTGGAGAAGCTGCATGTGGAAGGCCACAAGCAAACTTTCTGGGTTACTGGAAATGTTTTTGAGACTTTCACTATAGCTCGGGCTGACCTTGGACTCAGTGATTCTCCTGCCTCAGGCTCCAAAGTGCTAGGATGACAGGTGTGTGCCACCATGCCTGGCAACAGAGGTGATTTTAATTTGCCCCAGCACTGTCTTTTTGGTTTTTTTTTAAACCTGTATGTTTTCCCAAGCTCACCGGCACTGGGTGTAAATTATGCCTCGGTCAAGTGAGCCCCTTCCCCCAAAAGACACTGAGACCCTGGATGCCTCAGCCTGACCAAGGAGGCCAGGCAGGAAGGCGCCCCAGTCACCCGGCCACTATGGCACTCACCAGTTGTGGCGATAGCGGAGAGGGGACCCACGCGCTTGCCGCCATGCAGCCCGTAGAGCAGCAGCTTGTACCTGCGCGCAGGGTCCAGGCCAGAGACATGGATGGCCCTGAGGCTGCCGTCCACGGGCACCGCCTGGGGCTGTCCATCCCTGTCCCTGTACTGGACCACGAAGGAGTCAAACTGGCCTTCGGGGACCATCCACGCAAGGTCCACACTGTCTGTGGTCACACTGGTCACGTGAAGCTCCTCCCCAAGGCGGGGTTTTGGGGGACGCCGCGCTCCAGGGGCATCCACAACCCTCAGGGGTTCTGGGTGAGGACAGGAGAGAGGGCTGAGTGCTTCTGAGCACTGGGGACCACAAGGGCTGCTGGGAAGACTGAGACCCAGTCTGCTGTCCCTCACCCGTGGTGCCATCGGCGGTGAGGGGCCCGAGGCGCTTCCGGCCCAGAAGGCCATAGAGGAGGAACCGGTACTTGCGGCCAGCGTCCAGCGAGGACACGGTGACCGAGCGTGCGTGGCCTTCCACAGGCACCACCTGCGGCCCATCCTTGCTCTTGAACTGGACCACGAAAGAGTCGAAGTGGCCCTCAGGGACCGTCCAGGAGAGGCTTAGTGCATCTGGGGTGGCATCCGTCACCCACAGCTCTCCGAGGCGGGGCAGGGACGCCAGGCTGGCAGCTGGAGGACAGAAAAGGTTCCAATTTATTTTTAAAAATTTATTTTTCATGGCCTCCTGCGAGGATAGGAAAAACCCAGGAATCCTGAATGTCGGTGCTGCCCCCAATGCCTCCACGTTCCCATGGTGCTCCTGTCCTGGCCAGCCTCTCACATCACACTATGCCCCACCTGAGGAGGGGTCTTCTGTCCTAAGTCACCCCTGGGAAACAGGCTCCCTGCCCCCCACCTGCACAACTCGTCAATGCCTACTTCCTTCGCCCTGAGCCCACACTGTGTGACCCCAGGCCCAGGGGACCCCGAGGAGCCACTCGCTGGGGACGGACAGCAGGTGGGGAGCAGGCTGTTATGAGGGGCGGCTCTCCCTCCCCTCTGCACCCGCTGCATGGGGAGCTGAGGCGAGGCAGCTGCCAAAGCAGCCACAGGGTCCTGGGAAGGGGCTGGCCTGCTGCCCTGCTGGACGGCGGAGGCACTGACGGCATTGTTATTGCGAGAGCTTGCTGGCAACTGGGAGCCTCCGGGGGCTAAAGAGGGCCTGGGCCAAGCCCCGAAAGACAGTGCAGCTAGGTTGTGCTCCCAGGCTCCTGTCCCCAAGACTCCAGAGTCAGTCGCAGAGCCAGAGGCAGGAGGAGTGAGAGGTAGAGGGGAGAGGGCGAGGTGGAGCCCATGAGGCCAGGGAGGCAGGCAGGGCTTCCTGGCCCCCTGAATCCCTCTTCCAGCAGCCCTGGTCACCAGCCTCCTTGCCCAACAGTAGAAATGATGAGGAGACAGGAAGCCAGCCAAGAAATGTCCTCGTGCTAGTCACCTTTGAAATAAGGCAGGCGGTGTGGGTTTGTTTTGTTCTGGTTTTTTTTTTTTTTTTTTTTTTTTTGTACTGGAATTGAACTCAGCCAGGATCTCTGTACTGAACTACACCCCTAGCCTTTTAAAATTTTCTATCTTGGGAGAGCCAAGATAGAAAATCTTGTTAAACTGCCCAGGCTGGGCTCAATTTACAATCTTCCTGCCTCAGCCTTGCAGAATGCTGAGAATAAGTGCATACCCCACACCCAGTGGCAATGTGTCTCCCCAAACCAAGCAGGTGGGTGGATAGCAGCCAGGCTGAGAAGACCAGGCCTCAGCTCACCTGTTCTGGCCTCCACAGAGACTGGGCTGTGTCGTTTCCCATCCTGGATCCCGAACAGCACGAACTTGTACTTGCGGGAGGGCTCCAGTCCGGGCACGGTGACCTCCCGCTGGCCTGCGGTCACTGGCACCAACTGGGGCTGACCGTCCCTGTCCTTGTACTGGACCATGAAGGAGTCAAATTCACCCTCCGGGACTGTCCACGCGAGGCCCACCGAGTCAGGGGTCACATCCGTCACTGTCAGTTCCCCCAGGCGTGGCTCCAGTGGGGACTCAGAGGTAGGGGCCAGCGGGAGCGGATCTGAGGGCCGGAACACAAAAAACAGAGCTGAGGGGAAGACGCTGAGCTCAGCCAGCTCCTAAAGGGATCAGGAACCACCGAGGGGGTGAACAGTCACATCTGTGCTTTCGCTGACCTCTATGGTGACTCCCTCGGCAGGAAATGGGAGCAGCTGACCACTGCAGAGCAGTGGCCTTTGAGAAGCCCCTGCTTGGAAGCAGAGAGGCTTCCATGTCACCTTAGAGCCACTGCAGAAGTTTTACAATGTCACTTATACCTTCGCCTACTTCTAAATGTGGCAGCTTCTTAAACGTGCTATCGAGGCTTCTACCAAGCCTCGAATTCCAGTTTCTTTCGGGTGTTTCGTGTGTTTGTGTGTGTGTGTGTGTGTGTGTGTGTGTGTGTGTGTGTATGTTTCCAAATCACTCCCTTTTCTAATCACACCAGGCACCAGTCCTATAGGATTTGGACACTAATGATTTCATTTGCACGTGATCCTCACTCTAATAACTATCTCCAAATAAAATTACATTCTGAGGGTTAAAACTTTATGGATTTTAGAGGAACAGAATTCATTGCCTACCAGGGCCACTTAGATCCTGTTAGTTCTTCATAGATTTTACCTAGTTTTGCACTGAGCCTCTTTAAAACTGATCAGTAGGAATTTTCATGTTACAAATAGTGAGCCTTTGGGGGTTTTGTTTGTTGTTTTTTGTCTTTTTTGAGACAAGGTCTTGCTACACAGTTCAGACTGGCCTTGAACTCACTCTGCAGCCCAGTCTGGTCTCAAATTTACAGTGACCCTCTTGCTTCAGCCTAAAATTCAAGTTGCTAAGGCATATTTTAGAAATTATACCCTTGGCTCTCCGTATCTGCAGGGGCTGATTCCAGGACCCCTGTGGACTTTAAACTCTAAGAATACTCAAGGCTCTTCTGTACCTACTTGTGACTACACACCCCTTCCCACACCCTCTAAATTGGCCCTCAGGACCTGATGCAGTGCAAGGCTGCAGAAACAACTGCTGGGAAGACGAGAAGGAATAAAGTCTGCACCTGTTCTGCACAAGCTCAATTAGAAAAAAAGGGTTTTTTTGATCTACAGCTGCTTGCGAATATGGAGGGCTGTGGATACGGGGGCTGCCTGGACCAGGATGACCAGTGTCCTCTGTAACGCTACACTTTTTATTTTCAAATCCTGAATCACTTCTCTGAAAGAGAATGAGGGGTCTCATCAGATGCTTTGGCACAAAAATCCTGGAAAATTTATGCCCAGGAAGCGGTGAGGGGCAGGTAGGAGCCAGGAGCTGGGGAGGAGGGCGCCCCCTGCAGGGAGACACTGGTGTGGGCTGAAGGGAACAGGACTTGGACCAGGCTGGTGGGACCTTAAAGAAGAGACTCAGGAGTTAGAAGGCGGCAGCTGTTCCCAAGTCACAGCAGGGCTGTAAACCGAAGGGCAAGAAACAGTCACAGATGATGAGAGCCAGAGGGGGTGAGGGAAAGAGAGTCAGAGACAGAGACTGGACCCAGCTAAATGGAGGCTGCACTCCGGCCCAGTGAGTGGGATTGTGGGACGGGGATGTCCCTGAGAGACAAGAAGGTTCCAGTCCCAAGAAGGAGCCAGCTGGGGAGCACGCTGAGACGCCCGTGAACCAGGCAGGGACACGCAGGGTGGCTGGGTCAGGGAGATGGCTTGATTTGCAGCCTTCCTGCCTCAGCCTCCCAGGATACTGAGGCACAGCGCTGAGTAAGTATGTTGGGGGGCAGGGGCTTCCCGTACTCACCTGTCTCAGCCACCACAGAAAGGGGGCCCACATGTTGCTGGCTGTGAAGCCCATATAAGTCAATCTGGTACTTCGTGGCTGGCTCCAAGTTGGGGACGGTGACCTCGAGCTGGTCTGAGGTCACCGGGACTTCCTGGGGCTGCCCCTCCTTGTCCTTGTACTGGACCACAAAGGAGTCGAATGTGCCCTCGGGGACCGTCCAGGAGAGGCTCACGGAGTCAGGGGTTACTTCCGTCACTGTCAACTCCCCCAGGCGCGGCTCCAGGGGGCGCTTGGTGGCTGGAGGGGTCACTTCTTGTTGTGGGGCTGCAACAGAGATGGTGGGGGCTGTCAGCAAAGGGCTCCATTTCCCCGGATGTTGCAGGTGGTTCTGATGGGCAGGCATGCTGACAGGCAATGCCTGTCTGTCAGTGGGTGTCGGGCTGGCCTGCTGGGCAGGGGAGTCACCTGTCACTAAGACACTGAGAAAGAACCTGAAATGCTTCCATTTCTACTTTTTTTTTTTTGGTATGAAGGATTGAACTCACAATCTCACACTTGTCAGCAGGTGTTTATATCTCTGTGCTATGTCCCTGCTCCAATTCTGTCTTAACGGCTCCAAACTCACACTCCATGAGGCCTCCCCACCGATCCCCAGGCTCCACTTCGCTGAGCATCTGCCCTCAGCTGGTGTTCAGAACTCACCAGGTCCAAGACCTGGCTTCCCCAGACCCCTGCGCTCCCACGGCCTCAGTAAAATCATCACCTCGTTTTTCCAGTTCTTAGGCCAAAACCCTTAGGATCATCCCTGCATCTTTTCTTAAACCCACATAGTCAAGTCCTACGTCTCTCAGAAAAACAGCCCTGAGGATCAGTGGAGCAGAATGGATGCAGACACAGCTCCAAACACACTCAGCCACTCCTCAGCTGAACATGTTCACTGGGAAAAAGAGCCTCTTTAATAAATGGTGCTGGAAACACTGGCTCTACACGTGCCGATTAAAGCTAGACCCCTGCCTATCACCATGCACTAAACCGAAGTCAAAATGGATCAAAGGTCTAAATATTAAAACAGAAACACACAATCTCCTGGGAGAGAAAGTAGGCAGAAATCTTGAAGACACAGGTACAGGAAGAGGCTTCCTGAACAAAACACAAACAGCATGGGAAATACTTCAAAAGAACCAACAACTGGGATCTTATCTTGTTAAAAAGTATTTGTTCCTCAAAAGAAATCACCAACAGAGTGAAAAGAAAACCCATGAATTAGGAAAAAGTTGTAACCAACTATCCTGCAGATAAAGGACTTCTATTCAGAACATACAAAGAATTTTTAAAAATAAGGCCCCAATTCAAAGACCCAATCCAAAACTGGGCATCTGAGATGAGTACACACTTCCCCGATGAAGAAATAGAAACAGCAAAATAATAGATGAAAAAATATTTAGCCGAGCGTGGTGGCGCATGCCTGCAATCCCAGCACTCAGGAGGCTGAGGCAGGATTGTTGCAAGTTCGAGACTAGCCTACGCTACAAAGTGAGCTCAAGGCCAGCCTATATCGCATAGTGAGACCCTGTCTCAAACACACACACACACACACACACACACACACACACACCACACACAAAGAATGTTCACTGGTCATTCAAGAAACGAAAATTAGGGGCTGGGGATTTAGCTCAGTGGCATAAGCACCTGCCTTGCAAGCAGGCAGTCGTGAGTTCGATCCCTGGTACCGATAAAAAGACAAAAAAAAAAAAAAAAAAGAAACGAAAATTAAAACAACATTGAGATTCATCTCACACCAGGAAGAGTGGCCAAATGCTGGCAGGACTGGGGAAAGGAGCCCTTCTCCAGTGTTGATGGGAGCGCAGACTGGTTGCAACCACTGTGGAAACTCTCATTTGACCCAACTATTCCTCTTCTGGGTATTTTTCCAGAATTGAAAAGGCCAGCCCATAATGATATACGTGCAGCCATTCTTATGCCAGCACGATGTGTGATAGCTAAACACAATCCAAATGCCCATTAACCAAGGAATACATAAAAAAACATGTGGTATGTTTGTTTACACAATAGAATACTACTCAGCTAAAAGAAGGACAAACTGGAGGCTTTTATGGGTAAATAGAGGCAACCTGAAATCACACTCATAAATGAAATAAATCAGACTCGCATGTGCAAACATCGTATCGTCTCCCTAGTGTAAGAAACTGAAAGAGTAATTAGGATTTGAGAGGTGCAACAGATACTGTGAAAGGGAAAGAAGCTGCTCAAAAGAGAAGAACAGCTGGGATGGGGGAGGGAGAAAAGCAGGAAGGCAGAATGGAGAGAGAGAAAGAGAGACGGACAGATACACAACATAGCTAGGAGGACTGGACTGCACATTCTACAGTTCACTGCAGTTGCAAAGGGCACTGTGGCGAGGGTGGCTGGCGGGTGGCGTTCCCGAGAGCTTGCGTCTCTGACTTCCACGGGCAGGCAAGGGCAGATCCCAGAGGGGTGACAGCGCTGAGAACTGGCTGGTGACCAGGCCTCTGCAGACAGCACCGGTCCCGGTGGAAAGGAGGCAAGGGACAGAGTGAGCAGAAGGGGCCGGAGGTCAGGGAGCGGCCATGACACGAGTGACGCCTGGCCCCGGCGCCTCCTCTCCTTTGCACCTCAGCATCCATTCCCAGCCTGCTCTGCTCTATTTCTCTCACAGGGAGAGAAGCTCCCTTGTCCGTAAGCCTGAGTGCCAGGGCCCAGCCTCACGGGAAAAGGAGAGACTGAAACAGAATCCTTTTGCAGTTGGGTAGCATGGCTCACTGTCACATGCGTCTAGCACATGCAGCACGCCAGGCCTGGCGCGGGCCCAGCAGCCCCAGCACCACGACACCGACAGTCCACATCCAGCTCCTTCCTCTCTAAAGGGCTGCTTCTGCTTTACCCAGGCACGTGGGATGCACACTTCCAAACACCCAGCCTGAGAGTGGGGAGCGCAGCACCCTCTTCACAGGACGGGCTCAGGGAGGGTCGAGGGCCCAGAACGTTCCGGACGGTTACATCACTACGGCCTGCATGTGCGCCCTTCCTGAAGATGAGGAAGCTGGGCTTCCAAGAGAGACCATGAGTCCTTCAACATCCTAGCTAAGAACAGAAGACTCAGGAGGAGAACTCGGTTCGTAAAATTTCAATGCTATGGTTTTTCATTTTCTGCACGTCTCGAATGAGTAGCTGACAGAGCCCATCCTCACCCTGGTGACCAGGGACGGGGCCACGCAGAGCCCCCTGTGGCTGCCTGGGACACACCCAGGGTCATCACAGGAGAGACCCGGCAGCACATGCTAGGTCTGGATGAGCACCCCACGACCTGGGTCATCACAGGAGAGACCCGGCAGCACATGCTAGGTCTGGATGAGCTTGCACCCCACGACCTGCAGCCCGACACTGCAACTCAGGGTGGCTTTCCTGCCTCCCCCGGTGCTGACTGAGGCAAAGAAAAAAAATTGGAGGTAGAAGATTCTGGAAACAAAGCCGCCAAAATGACTATGAAATTGAGCTTTGTGGAGGCACAGAAACCATGTTCCAAAGCCTATCATCTCTTTCCCTCAAGTTTTTAATCTTTTCTGCTAGAGCGAATCTTTTTAGAATAGGAACATCTTTGTTTCAGGGACTGAGGAGAAAGAGAAATGTCCCTCGCTGTGATCAAGCTCCTCTTGTCAGCAGGACGGGCCACAGCCCAGCTGCCCACACACACCAGAGAGGAGGCACCCAGTCTGTGTCCCCAACGAAGGCTGAGAGAGCGGGGCAGAGGAATGTTTGCCGCTGTACAGTCACTCACTGGATAAGCATTAAAGAACATTTGGGGCCACACTGATGAGCAGGTCAATGTCTGATGTCCACTCTGACCCACTGAAGAGCTGAACCAAAGGGGACAAAGAGGCTTTGGCACCAGGGGAACTAAACAAGCCCTGCACGAAACCCTGAAGTGTGTCTCCTGGTCCTGGGCTTTCAATCATTTCATCCTCACAACAGTTCTGTGAGGTGAGGTCACCCTCCCGTCAGAGACCAGGGAACAAAGGTACGGAAAGCTTCAGTCCGGCTCAGGGACACAGAAGCTGGCTGCCACTCCAGTCCCAGCGCCCTGCGCCTGCCAGGCCTTCCCAGGCAGGGGGGGCCTCCTGGCTCCCTCGGGAGAGAGGAAGATGGGCCACGGAGAAGGTGGGGTCGGCACGGGGAGGAACTGAACTGAACACTGCCCAACAACTCACCGGTCTCAGCCACGGTGGACACGGGGCCCACACGCCCGGCCTGGTGCAGCCCGTACAGGTTCATCTTGTACCTGCGCCCCGCGTCCAGCTCCTGCACGGTGGCCTCCCTCGCCTCGCCACCCACACGCAGCACCTGTGGCCGCCCGGCCCCGTCCTTGTACTGGATGCTGAACCCATCGAAGCGGCCCCGGGACACCGTCCAGGACAGGCTCAGGGAGTCCGGGGATGCGGCTGTCACTGTCAGCTCCCCCAGCAGTGGTTCCTCGGGGGGCTTCAGGGCCTCTATAGGGGGTTCCGGGGGGGCAGGTGTCTCCTCTTCCTCCACTTCATGGGGTTCTGGGAGAAGACATGAGGGTGCAGGGGTTTAGAGGGCCTGATGCTGTGTCCTCCTAGAAACAGAGAGCCAGAGGGTCAGCCTCCCACCGGTCCCTCCCTGGGGCTCCCGCCAGCCCCTTACCTGTCACCCCCACGACAGACACAGGTCCCACGCGCTGGCCACCATGGAAGCCATACAGGTGCATCTTATACTCGTGGTCCGGCTCCAGGCCTGACACGGTGACCTCATCCTTGTGCCCTGGCACCCGCACAGCCTTGGGCTGCCCGTCCCCATTCCTGTACTGGACCAGGAAGTGGTCGAACTGTCCCTCGGGGATTGTCCAGGAGAGGCTCAGGGAGTTGGGGGACGCATCTGTCACAGTCAGTGCACCCAGGCGGGGCTCTGGGGCAGGCTCAGGGGTGGTGGGGGGCTCTGCCAGGGCTGGGGTCATTGTCTCTTCTCTTTCTGTATCTAGGTCAGGAGAAAAGACACTGGGCAATGCGTCTCCTCAGGTCCCTTCTGCACAGAGGCCTCCTGGATTTCTCTTCTGCATCTCAAGACCCCACTGGGCCACTGGCTTGAACCCTCCGTTGCTGGGGCAGAGTGCACACTGGTGGCGAAGCCAGGCTGGTCTGGGCACCCCACAATTTTTCCCCATGGGAGCTGCCCCCACCCAGACCCCTTGCAGGTGCCAGATGCATCTGTATCCTGTGACAGCAACTCATAGCCGCAGACTGGGGTGTTATTCTAAGGGGCAACGAACGGGTTTGGCGACCCTAGGTACCAGTGTTCTCCTTTAATATCCCCTGGCTCAGCCTGGGTGTGGTGGCACAGGGTTGTAATCCCAGCACTTAGGAGGCTGAGGCAGGTGGGTCACTCTGAGTGCAAGCCCAGCCAGGGCTACACAGTGAGTTCAAGGCCGGCCAGGGCTACACAGTGAGTTCAAGGCCAGCCTGGCCTGCATAGTGAGACCTCATCTCAAAACACAAAACGGTAACTCCCCCTGGTTCAGAATGTTTTTCTGATCAATTGTTCGCTTTTGTTTTGTTTTGAGGTAGGATCTCACTATGTAGCCCAGGCTGGCCTAGAACTTCAGGCGATCCTCCTGCCTCAGCCTCTGGAGGACTGGGATGACAGGGCTGAGCACCACGTCACAATTCCTGAACATCTTCAGAAACCGATTTCGATTTCACCCCGGAGGGTAGGAGATGAGGGCACCGAGGTTTTCCTTCTGGTCGGGCAGTTCCCAGACCTCACCACCGCACCCAGCTCCTCCCACCCCAGGGAAATCCTGGCCTTTGTTTCCACTGATTTCTTTGGCATTCTCTTTGCTCTACAGAATTTTACTTTGCCTCTGGCTTGAATCACAAGCACAGGGCGCTCCATGTGTCTGCTGTGGTGGGGACGGGCAGCAGCCGGCTCACAGGAGGTGGGGCAGGGAGGTGCCCGGCTGACGTGTGACTCATGAGCTAGGAACTTGTGCAGTTTCCCCCTTGGGTCCCTGCAGAATCTTCCCTCAAGGGTTTGCAGGACAGGTGGCCCTGCAAGGGCACCTGTGCTTCTCTCTCCTTGGCCGTGAGCTCTGCCCCACTCGAGCTGCCCTCTAATGCAGACGCCATTGTCACTCTTGCCTCTCAGAGAGGCCTAGTGCGGGTCATGCAGGCTGAGGCCAGGACTGCGCTACGTAGCTCCGGGCTCCCTGCCTAGGACTGGCCGCAGCCCAGAGGGACAGGGAAGGGGCCGGGCAGTGACACTAAGGCTTGGGGCAGACACAGGTGCAGAGCCCAGAGGGTCTGGAAAAAGACACCTACATATTGACAGCCAAAGGGAAACTGAGTCCAGCCTGGCACTGGGCCAAGGGTCCTCCTGCCGGCTCACCTGTCACCCCCACGGCAGACACAGGTCCCACACGCTGGCCGCCGTGGAAGCCATACAGGTGCATCTTGTATTTGTGGTCCGGCTCCAGGCCTGACACGGTGACCTCATTCTCATGACCTGGCACCCGCACGGCCTTGGGCTGCCCGTCCCCGTTCCTGTACTGTACCAGGAAGTGGTCAAACTGTCCCTCGGGGACCGTCCAGGAGAGGCTCAGGGAGTCTGCAGTGGCCCCTGTTACAGTCAGTGCCCCCAAACGCGGCTCCTCAGGGGCTTTCAGTGAGTCTGCACTGGGTTCTGTGGGGCTAGAGGTCTCCTGCGGGGCTGAGATCAGGACACACGGACGTTAATGTTGACTTGCTTTGAGGTGTCATGAGGGGTGGGGGACCGTCAAGCCCACAAGCAGACATTGCCTCAAGCCTGCCTGTGGGGCTGGTGTAGATTCTAGTATCTGTCACTGGCTCACTTGGGGATGGAGAGGCCAGGCTAGGCTCCCACCATCCTCTCCCCTCGTGGGGTCCCCGGGGTGTTTGCCCTCGTGGAGGAGATGGGAGCTGACACAGGGAGAGAGGACCCCAGAGGTTTTTCTGCAGGGTCACTGGAAGCAATGACCGTCAAGCAGTGAGGGGCAGGAGGCTCTTTCCTCCCCATGCCTGTCCCAGGCGCTGTGGCTCCACCCTAACCAGGCCGGGCCCTTGGAAGGCGAAGCCCCAGACGCTAAGGAGAGAAGCTCGAGGCAGAGCTCCAGCAGGAGGCGGAGAACCACCCAAAGGGCCCCACTTCAGTCGGGTGACTCCGAATCAGTGGCCCCTGTGGCCCTGCAGGGATGGAGTCACCGTGGCCGGTCCTTGGTCTAGGGGTGGCTCAGGAGGGACGGAAGATCCAGAAGGGAACAGGCGAGGGTGAGAAGCCAGGACAGTGAGGGCAGGACGAGGTTGCTGGGAAGGCCGAGGGGGGATAACGGGCAGCAGCCACGGTGTGCCAGGGCCAGGTCCTGGGCCAGACATACATGAACTTGATCGCCCCTCTGGATGGGCGGGAAAGGGGGTCCCATGGGTAGCGAAAGCGATGGCAGAAGCCCAGAGACCATGCTCCTAAGCGCTGCCAGCACTAGTCTGAGACAGGGTTTCTTGGGCCAGGGATACAGAGCCCATTAGGGTGGGACAGAAAGCAAAGGTCCCCTCCATGTGGGCAGAGATGGGGGAGAGGCAGTGCCCTCGTCCCGGGTCTGCTGCCTCTGAACAGGGTGTGGTGACGGAGGCTGCTCACTGATGGGGTCTGAGCCCACGGAGGAGCTGGGCACACGAGGCTGGAGGTGAGCCTGTCCTCTGCAGGGGCTGAGGGAGTGTGTGCGCCTTTGTGTGTGTGTGTGCTCACGCGTGCACATGGGGGGCTCCCAGGTGCTGTGTGGGCTGGAGAAAGGGGACCTTGTCCCCAGGCCTGGGCAGGGCTGCAGGGCTGCAGGGCTGGAGATGGGTCCCTGGGTGGGGCGGGGTAGGGAGGTCGGGAGCACGTTGGCGGCAGCTTTGGCCAGAAAAGGAGCTGAGGAGGGCAGTGGAGCCTGGCCAGGCCGGCTGGGAGCCTGGGAGCAGCAGAGGCCAAGAGGCTGACTCACCCGTCCTGGCCACCACGGAGGCCGGGCCCACACGCTGCCGGCCACGCAGCCCATAGAGGTTCATCTTATACTTCCGATTGGGCTCCAGGCCAGGGACTGTAAGCTCACTCTGGTCAGCCCCGACAGGCACCGCCTGGGGCTGCCCCTGTGCGTCCTTGTACTGCACCACGAAGGAGTCGAAGGGGCCCCGGGCCACCGTCCAGGACAGGCGCAGGGAGTCGGGAGTCACGCCAGCCACCGTCAGCTCCCCCAGGATGGGCTGCTCTGGGGCCTCAGGGTGAGGCAGCTCCTCTCTCCTCTCTGGGGCTAGATACAGAAGGGGTCAGCGGGCACTGCCCGCCTGGGGGGCCAGAGTGGGGATGTGGTTTCCAGGGGTGGGGCGGGGTGGGGGTGTCCTTGTCTGGGCTCCTGCAACCTCCAACAGCCAGGGTGGGACACACCTGCATCTCAGGGAGCACTGAATGGGACGCACGGAGCCTGGGACAGGGAAGACCAGCTGCCCCTGGCCTTGGAGCGGGGTAAACCCGGGAGTCAGGCATCTTGCTGGGAGGCCCTGGGTGGCTCCCGGCTAAGGACAAGTGTGTAGGGGTTGGAGGGCTCACACAGGGACTGCAGGAGCAGCCACTCACCAGTAGTGCCCTCGGCTGTGAGGGGGCCGTACTGCTTCTTGTTGGCGACCCCAAAGAGAGAGAATCTGTACTTATGGTCAGGGTCCAGCGGGGAGACAGTGACTGATCGGTCAGGCCCTTCCACAGGGACCACCTGGGGCTGCCCCTCCCTGTCCTTGTACTGGACCATGAAGGAGTCAAACTGGCCCTCAGGGACTGTCCAGATGAGGTGCAGGGAGTCTGGAGTCGGGTCCGTCACCCGCAGAGTCCCCAGACGGGGCGGGGTACCTGAGCTGGGTTCCTTCCAATGCACTAGGAGAGGCAGAGTGAGAAAGGGGTCACAAGACAAGCAGGAACCCAAACTTTGCATTGGGATGTAATGTGAATATGCAGAGGCCGCTCCCTGCACAAAGGCTCGAGGACCAGCGAGCACAGAGCACACCCTGCCCAGGGGCTCTGCCACCTGTGGGAAGTTGCAGATCCCAACGGGTGCAAAAACACTACAGGGTGGCATAGCCGTTCACGCCTGCCGGGGAGAGGATGAGGAGAGGAGGCCCAGCCGGGCTGCTGCCCATCACGGCCAGGGAAATCTTCTCACACCCTGCTTCCAGGCTGGACCTCCATCCAGCTGGGGTCTCCTCCAAGGGAGGAGCACGAGACTCTGCCGAGCAGGGTGGCCTGTCAGCATCTACAGCCCCAGCTGCCAACCCTGATGTGAGCTCTCCCTCTGGCCTCCGCCTCCCCACTGTCCGGGAGGCAGCGTCTATGCTGGCTGGAGCTGTGTTCTCACCTCCACCACCCTCCCCACCCAGTCACCCTGCCCCCACGACCAGTCCTGTGGACATCCTGCAACCCCTGAATCACTCTTCCCGGATCCAGGCGGCTGACCACGCCCTCTGTCCCTCCCCACGCGGCCACCTCTCCCTCTGCCTCTGCCCCAGCTGTGCCACCCCCAGGTCCCAAGGCCCCATCTCTCCTCCCCCACTCCCATCTGCCAGAACTGGTCACCCAGCAGCGCTCGCCAGGCCCATGTCTGTTTTCTGGGCATCAGGGAGGCCATGTGCGCCTGGGCTCGGCCCTACCACTCTGTGCCAGGATGACCTGTCTCCCCAGTGCCTCGATTCCCCTTACCATGACGCAGCTGTTCACTGGTCATGTCTCGCGTGTCTGACTCAGGACGTGTCTGTCCAGAACTCCACACTGTGCTGTCTGCACTCCAACCCCTGCTGCTCCCTGCCCAGGCCCAACACTGTCTGACCCAGGAAGCTGGGCTCACTGGCCCGGGCCTCCTTGCTCTGTCCAGCTCCCACACCCAGCCTGGCTGCCGCACAGCCAGGCCACCGTTGTCTGCCCAGCTTTCCATTTGCTTCCTGTCAGCCCTCCTGCAGCCACCGTGCTGGCTGTGAGGCAGTCACCCCATGTGTCCCTCCTCCCAGGGGCATGGAGCGGGGTCACGGCCCTTCAGTCCAGCACAGAGCCGAAGCCGGGCAGCAGAGACCCAATCTCTCCCCAAGTCTGCTCCACCTGCCCGCACTGCCCTCTCCGCCCTTGGGCCAGCACTGCTGGCAGCTCCCTAGACCCCAGGAAACCCCCGAGGCTGGGAGATGCCTGCGGAATCCCATCTCACTCACAGATCTTGGCTTCAGCCACCAAGGGCCCATGCCTCTTCTTGCCCACGAGCCCATACAGGACGAACTTGTACTTGCGGCCTGGCTCCAGGGAGGTGACCAGGGCTGAGCGCTGGGGCCCATCCACGGGCACCACCCGGGGCCCATCCCGCTCCTTGTACTGGATCACGAAGGAGTCGAACTCCCCCTCAGGGACCGTCCAGCGCAGCAGCAGGGAGTCGGAGGTCACGCCCGTGGTCACTGCTAGCTCCCCTAGGCGGGGTGTGCCCGAGGGCTTCCTAGGCTCCTCCTCATCTGGAGCTGGGGGAAGCAAATCACAGTGGACTCGATCACTCTCTGCCGTTTCCCCTGTCCTCTCCTCCACTGGCCCCATCCATGCTGGGCATCCTCTCCCTACGCCTCCACATCCGGCGCCAGCCCTCCCTCAGCAAGGGCGCCCGAGGCGGTGCCCTTGCCCTTCGCAAGGCCCTGGCTCCTCCACACATCAAAGCTTGGGGAGAGTTTCAGGACCCTCACAGTTCTAAGGATTCTGAGGTTCCCCACTGTTGCTGCCTCCCTCCCACTCAGTGGTTAGCTTGACTGAGTTGGGGTGAGAGTCGACAATCCTGGTCCCTCCTGTTAGAAGGGGAGGTCAGGGTTGGCTTCCCAGGCCCGGACTCCCACCTCTGCAGTCCTGCAGCCCTGTTCCTCCCCATTCTCAGGACCCAGGTTCAGGCTGAGCAGACAATGTACCCATGATGCCATGGTAGGTGACGGGAACAGAAGGCTTGTCCCCAGGCAGGACCCCGTGCAGCAGCAGCGTGTAGGGTGCCCCAGGAGGGGGCGGGGGCACCAGGGCCTCGCGGATGTCTCCTGGCAGCAGCTCTTCGTGTGCCCCGGGCCCCTCAGGCACCTGCAGGTGCAGCCGGAAGTGGTCAAAGGTATCCGGCTCGGCAGTCCAGGCCACATGGAGGCGTCCAGTCTCGTCTCTGCCCAGCACCCTCAATTCTCCCAGTTCCTGGGGGCGCTGCACCAGCCGGGCTTCGGCCCCTTGCGTGGTGGAAGGGCCAGCAGGAGGAGGCTCATCCGTGGCCCCCAAGGGTGAGGTCCCTGAGAAGAGGCGGGGAGGGTGAGGAAAACAAGAATGGACAGTGAGAGAGGCGGGAAGGCACTCCTTGCCCTGGGGTTCTACTCCAGCATCTGTGGGGCTGGAGACCCCCAACTCTGCCGATGGTCCCGCCTCCTCCTGAAGCTCCGCCCCACCCCTCCCCCCACCCCTGCACCTGTCTTCGGAGCAGGAAGACCCGAACCAGGGGCAGGGCATAGGCCACACAAGGCCCGCCAAACCTCTGAGACCCCAGCCCGCCCACCCATCCCCCCAAGGGTTGTGGTCCGGTGTCCATTAGTGCTGCAGTGAGAAGCCTGGAAGAAAGGGGGGCGGTGGTGTTAGGGAGCAAGGGTGCAGGAGGACAGGGGCAGGAGAGAGGAAAGAGGGCGTGGTTATGGGGCAGACGGACATCCAGTCTGGTGACAGCTGGCCCTGGGGGGAAGAAGAGCCTCCACCCAACACAAGCACCCTCTGTGCAGCCTGGCCCTGCGGACACTGCTCCTGCGAGAGAGACTTGCAGCCCCCGTGCCTTTCTGATGCGGCCCTTGGGGGTCGAGGCCAAACTGTGGGGCTCCCCACAGCCTTGGTCTTCAGCCGCTCCCACCGAGGCCCAGCTGGGCTGGCGGGCTCTGGCCAAACCCCACTCAGACCGCGGGCCGCGAAGCTGCGCGGCTCCGTCCTACTCTGCCGCCCACGGCCCCTCCCAGGCCTGGCACAGCATTCCCGGCCGAGGGCCCCGGGGACGCGGATGGGCACCGGAGCCCCCGAGTGCGGGTGGGGTGGGGGCTCTGGGGTCGCTGGAGCCTGGGCGGGGGCCTGAGGAAAGAAAGGCGGGGAAGGCGCGGCGCAGGCTCAGAGGCAGGCGGCGCGCCATGGGGTGGCGGTGGGGGTCCCGGCGCCCCAGCCCACGCTACCTGTGGTGGTGACGAAGGCGTAGGACTTGGAGGTGCGCCCCGCCCGCACCCCGTGCGCCTCCACGTGGTAGGTGGTGCCGGGCCTGAGGTCAGGCAGGCGCACGGTGCGCGTGGCGCCGGGCACGCTCAGCTCCCCGCCCGGGCCCTCGGCGGGCGGCTGGGGCCGCCAGCGCAGCACCACGCGCTCGAACTGGCCGCGGAGCCCGTCGAGGGACACGAGGAGCGCGCCGTCGGCGGAGCTGCCCAGCACCTCGGGCTTGGGGTGGCGGGACGCGGCCGCCACCGGGCCGCTTTCGCCTTCGCCTTGGCCTTGGGGCGCGGGCCCGGGGCCGCCCCGGCTGGAGTCCCGCTTGGTGGTGCCCGGGGCAGCGCTGGCCGCGGGGCGCGGCGGGGGCGCGGGGGAGCCGGCGGGCGCGCTCAGGCGCCGGCGCAGGAGCTCGTGGAGGTGGCGCGCCACGCCCGCGTAGGTCTGGTTGGCGCGCAGCGGGTAGGCGCGCGCCCGCAGGTGGCGCTCCAGGTCCTGCACCGTCCCGCGGAAGCGGCCTAGCTCGCCAGTCAGGTTGCCCCACGCTCGCCTCGGGGGCTGGGACGGGCTGGGCGCGGGGCTCGGCTTCGCCTGCGGCGGCGGCGGCGTGTAGGCCGGCGCGGGGCGGGCGCGGGGCTTGGAGCGTGGCGGCGCCGGGGGCCGCACCTCCGGGTAGTGGTAGGGGGCCGGCGCTGCCAAGGGCGAGAGGGGAAGGGGAGGTCGTCAGTGGCGGCACCCGGCCCGCGCTCCTGCCCGCCCGCCCGCCCGCCTGCCCGCCTGCGCCCACCCCCGGGCTCCTCCTGGAAAGAGAAGCGGAGCTGCGCGGCGCCCCAAGCCCACGGCTCTCGGTACCCTGGAAAGAAAAGCCAGCGGGCCGGGGCCTGTGTCTGGTGGAGAGAAAGGGGACAGGGACGGGGACGAGGGGAAAATGAGTTACAGCCGGGTGGGCGGCCTGCGTCACGGGAAAGAAAGCAAAGGTCCGGGTGGCTGTTGAGAGACCTCGAGGGTTAGCGGGGAGTGAGACCCAGCTCCCGCAGCCCGGTCCTGAGAGCTGGCTCTGCAGCTGCGTGAGGACAGGACCTGCCTCCCAGAGCGGCGGGACGGACACACGTTTCCTGCTTGTCTCCGCGGCAGTGCACCTCACAGCCCACCCCACTCCTTCCTGAGGGCGCTGGGTTCAAACAGCAGGGCAGCTGCTGCGCCCCCACAGCACCCCCCCCCCTCGCAGGAGCTTCTGGCTTTGGCCCTGGTGGCCATACCTGTGTTGGCCCTGACGGATGCCGGGTAGCTGACCGCCCGGCCCCGCTCAGCTGTGACCGTCACCACATATTCCACGCCTGGCATCAAGTCAGTCAGCAGCTCCCGGTCAGCTTCCGGGGGGACCTCCAGCCGCACCCTCTGGTTGCCAGCGCTGACGTAGGACACCACAAATCGGTCCACTTCGGCCAGAGGGCGTAGCCAGCTGAGCTCCAGTGTGGTTGGTGTCACAGTCACCACGCGGAGGTCCTGGGGACCATCGATCACTAGCCGGGTCAGAGAGAGGGGGGCTCAGACAGTCAGTCTGGTTCTCAGGTCCTAAACCCCCTCTGGCCCCTCACTCCCCTTCCGGGGCTTCCAGTCCCCCACCCTGAACCCAGACCTCCCCTGGCCCATGCCCACAGCCCCATCCCCGCGGCCCCGCCTCTCACTGGTGGTAACAGTCTTAGAAGTGGGAGGGCCCCAGCTGGTCCCTCGAAGGGCACGGACGGTGACCTCGTACTCCTGCCCGGGTGCCAGTCCTCTCTGGTCATAGGCAGAGGCAGAGCTGGGTACCCGTGCTGTGAATGGGGGGCTCCCTCCCTCCACCTGTGAGAGAGAGGGTGGCCGGGTGGATCAGGGACTGGTACGCTCTCCCTGAGCCTCTTGCTTTTCCACCCCTAAGCAGTCCACGTGGACTGTGTGGAACCTGGTGCTGTATAAGATGGGGCGCATGGAAATTAACCTCGGTGCATGGACAGCCGTACCTCACTCCGCCCCCAATTGCTCTGGGTGGTTTACACGTGTGAGCCCACTCAGTCCTTGCAACAGCCCTGTGACATAGTCTGTGTGTCCCACTTTATAGACAAAGAAACCGAGGCACAGCAGGATTAGGCTCTTACCAGCCCACCCACAGCACAAACTGTGGCCCTGCTTCTCCCACGGTTCTTCTACTCACTCCCTGGTTACCCATCTGATCATGCATCCCCAAACTGTCCCGCGGCTGGCAACCCCAGCCTCCTGGACACAGGGGCTTCCCCTGAGCTTTGTCTTTTCTGAACAGACAAAGCAGCAGCCGATTCCTCCTCCCCTAGACGGTTGCATGCGGCCATGTGACCTGCTCATGTTTCCCTCAGGGACTTTTGGGCAGGCTCGTAGACCCATAAAACCATCCCTGCCTGCTGAATGCTCCACAAGCATATCTCCTGATGGCTGATACTGTCCCTGGCATGGTGCTGGGCATAAGAGACAAGGAAAATACAAGCTACTGCCCTGTCCTTGGATAGCTCTTCCTCCAGGAGCTAAGGTGCATCCCACGGAAATCTATGAAAATGCCCTCAGGAAAGCCACCGTCCTCCCTCGCCGCTGTGAAGGCAGCAACATGCTATATCGTGCCCCACTCCAGGATATCTCTGGCAGCCTCGGGTCCAGAAAGGGTCTCCCAGGGTGCAGGGTGCAGGGTGCAGGATGTAGGGTGCAGGAGGCAGGGGAGGAGCTGCCCTCGTGAGCACTGGAGCAGCCCTGAGTTTCTGAGCTGCCCAGCTAGGCCAGCCGCGGGAGACACTCTGTTCAGCTCAGCTATGTTGGCTGTGATGGGTACACATCCATTCAGCCAAGAACTGGAGATTTTCAGAGGTGCTCTCCTACACAGAGAGAACTGTGGGGCAACCGACACAAGTAAATGCCAAAGTATAAAAACAGATGAGAGGGGGCTGGGGATTTAGCTCAGCGGCATAAGCACCTGCCTTGCAAGCAGGCGGTCGTGAGTTCGATCCCCGGTACTGATAAAAAGGGGGAAAAAAAAGCGTTAAAAAAAAAAAAAAACAGATGAGAGGACCACTTAGGGATTTCTAGGTTCAGGATAAAATAAAGCTTTAAAGGAGGTTTTTTTGGGGGGTGCTGGGGTTTGAACCCAGGGCCTTGCACTGAGCCACATCCCCAGCCCTTTTTCCAGTTTTAAATTCTGAGCTAGGTTCCCACTAAGTCACTGAGGGGCACCAGCAGCTCAGCTCCTCTGCGTTCCCAACGCACACCATGGACTGGAGGGTTCATGACCCTGGTGTTGGGGACCCCTGAGTTTCAAGTGTGTAACCACACCTGGCTAAAATAAAGCTTTGCTGGTTTTCTGGGTTGAAGTTTTCCCAGGCACAGAGGACCCCGTTCTTTTCCTGGGTACCTTGCTCTAGAACACCCCATATGGGAAGCTTGAGTTGGCCTCTACGCGTCACCTGTGAAGCCCTCGGCCTTCTCTGAAATTACCTGCCATGGGCCTCACAGTCCCTGTCTTTGTCTCCCAACATACACCCTCTCCTCCCTGGGATGCTCTTTGCTGATGTCCGGGTCTTTCACCCAGGCCAGCGGACCAGAGTGTCCCTCCGCGCCTTTGGATTAACCTGTGTGTCTCCTCCCAGCAGCTTCTGAGAGCCCTCGGTAGACAGTTTCCACACCCCGACAGTCTCTGTGGGCCAACCAGTGTCTCCCTGGCCTGAGGCAGGCTCTCCAGGCCGGTCGTTGGCAGCTGGCTCTACATATTGATAAAGTTTGGCTCCCCACTGAGTGTTTTTGGCAGGCTTCTGACCTCAGTACCCCACCTTGGCTGGACCCTCTCCTGTCTCCATGTTTATATGAGACCTGAGCTGAGAAAAAGCTTTTTTGTGTCCAAGGTCTGTGTGCCAGTGGGGACACATGGTGGAGCCCATTTCGGGCTGTAGACTATACCACCAACAGGGAACACCCGCTCTGCCTTGCAATTCAGGGCACTCCAATTCAGGCCCTTTGCACTCCGGCTCTCTCCCGCTCATAGACAGTGGGGCTATTACACACCGGGCAGCCGCCTGGATTCGGGAGTCTGACAAGCCACGTTTCTACTGAGCTCCAACATAATGCTGACACCGAGGGTCACAGAACACACGGAACAACCAAGACTGGCCAGGTCCGAGCGGCAGTGTCACATGTGCAGGGACAGGAGGGGCTGTGCTCCTCTGCATTCTGAGGACAGTTCCAGCTATGGGGTGTGGCCCTGCTGCGGGGAGTGTGCTTCTGGAAAGGGGAACGGGATGAGGTAGACAGGAAGGAAGATGGCAGGGGCAGAGGACAGGAAGCCACCAACAGAAAGGCAGAGCACAGTGGTCAAGGCAAAGGCCCCAGGCCAGGGGCAGCCGGACAGCGGGGAGACAGGCTCTGCAGGCTGGACTGGCTGGTCCGCTTCCACGACAGGTGTTTGGAGACCAACTAATGGGAACTCTCTCACACCCAGGGGACCAGAAGTGGCTGAGCATGAGCTGAGAGCAGGCTGAGCCTGGTACCAGCGGAGCGGGGACTGCGCGGACTGGGGCTGGGCAGGAGAGCTAGGCAGCTTGACAGCTTGCAAGGATGAATCTGTGTCCAGAGCAGGAGCCCACGCTGCCCCGAAAGCCTTGCTTATGGCAAGTGTTTATTCTAAGTCTTTGTTCCTTGAAGTTTGTTAGGAAAATTCCTTTTAAAAGCTCTGCTCGCTCCAGCTTAGTGCTCTGTAAATAATATATACACAGAAGAAAGCAGGAGAAACACTTTAAAAGTTAGCAGTGCTTGTTTTAGTGAAGCAGCCAAGAATTAGTTCTTTTTTCTCTAGTTGCCAAATTCTTGTCCGGTGGTTAAATTATTTTTATAACAAAAAAGTAATTTTTAAACAGAAGAAAAAAACCCAAGTGATGTTGGTTGCGCCACAGAGCAGGGATAGAAGGGCTCCACTTTGGCTACAGTGATAGGGACCAAAATGGTGGGGGGCCGGCCAGGCTTGGGAGGGTGCGCCGTGAGAAGACCAGGCCTTGGGCCCTGGTGGCGCCAGCCCCTCTCAATGGTCCCCTCTGTCCCAGAGCCCTCTGAAGCTTCAGCCCAGGCCATTGCTTATTTCTCCAGCACCCTGGCTGGGCACGGCCCACCTCCTGTCGCTTTAGTGAGGTGGCGCAGGAACACACCAGCTGGACGGGGGAGATCAGATGATCTGGACCTGGGGAACAGCCGTGTCCTGAAAGCCCAATCCGCCCAAAGGGCGTCCCCGCTCCATGCCACCCAGTGTGTTAAGAGCAAGCTGGATGGAGGCAGGGAAAAAGTGCTGAGATGCACTCGAGACATGGAGGGGGAGAGCAAGCTCCCAGGCTCAGAAGTGTTGCAACAGCCTCGACAGCTTGGCCCAAACCAAGAGAGATGACGCTGAACAGAACCAAAGGCAAGCCCTTTATCCGGACCAAGAAGTGAGCACAGTTGAATGTAGTCTGCCTCCTCCTGACCTCCTGCCTTCCCGCCTTCCTTCTGTTTTTCCTTCCTTATCTATATTTTCTAAATTTTTGCACTAGGTTTGCATTTTTAATTTTTTTATAATAAAAAAGATAATTTTCAAAAGCAGAGGCTGGGGGGGGGAGGGTGCATGCCTGTAATCCCAGCACTTGGGGAGGCTGAGGCAGGAGGATCGTTGCAAGTTTGAGACCAGCCTGGCCTACAAAGTGAGCTCAAAGCCAGTCCAAAGTGATAGCGAGACCCTGTCTCAAAAAGACCAAAAAAAAAAAAAAAGGCAGATGAAATGTGCCAGGTATGTTGCTGCTGCCTGCAACCCCACTACTCAGGAGGCAGATCACAAATTTGAGGCCAGCATGGGCAAGATAGTGATGAGACCCTGTCTCAAAATATAAAAGCCAGAAGTGGTGGCGCACACCTGCAATCCCAGCACTTGGGAGGCTGAGGCAGGTGAATGGCTGTGAGTTCAAGGCCAGCCTGAACTACTAAACCAAGACTCTGACTCAAAACACAATCAATCAATCAGTCAATAGGGCTAAGGATGTAGCTCAGTGGGAAAGCCCCCTGGACTGTAAATATAACTCCCTGACAAATTTCTGCCACCAGTTTTCGAGACCGCAGTTAGTATCTGCCAACTCCACAAAACGCTGATGCTCAGGAATTGGCCAGCAGCCCCTCTCAATTTAAGGGGTGTATGCACAAAGCAGAAGGCACAGGAAAACAAGGAAGTCAGAGCAGAGTTAAGGATCAGGGTAGGGGGAATGAGAGGTGGGAAAGGGACTCAGAGGTGGGAATGATGCTGTGGCGTCTGGGGCACAGGGCACAAAGGAAGCACAACATACCCCCTCTCCTGGGGCTGCCCACCCGCCCGCTCCTGGAGCTCAGCAACCCTCACCGTGGGGATGAACTTAATCTCATAGGCATCGACGGGGCCAAGAGCCCGAGTCCACTCTGTCCGAACTGTGGTCTCCTCCAGGAGCTGCACCCTCATGCCCTCAACGGCTGGCACTTCTGCGTAGAAGAATCAGGTAGGAGAATCGGGTCAGCCCAAGGGGGCCCTCCTGCTCACCACCAGGCTCCACCACTCAGGGTTAGAGTTAACAGACCTCCCACTGTCTGTGCAGTGGCCTGATCAGGGTTCATGTGACTCCTATTTTCGCATCCCCAGAAGCACAGGATGGGGACAATTGATGGGGCCCCCATCCCCTCCTCCGAGGTCTCAAGGCCGGCCCTGCCTGCTGGCCTGGCCCCACGGTTCTGCCACCCCTTGTGGACCGTGATCCCTTCACCCCAACGTGGGGTCACCCTCCATCCTGTGGTCACTGGGTTCCTCTCCCCAGGCTCGGGTCTTCCCAGTAATTCTGTTCCCAGTACCCCAGTCCCAGTGGCTCACCTTCCCCGCAGTCCTCCCCGGCAAAGCCATCGTGGCACACGCAGCTGCCCTGGCGACACTCTCCCCTGCCGCGACAATCCCCTGGGCACGTCTGGATGGCGCAGTCGGGGCCTCGGAAACCCTCAACGCACACGCAGCGGCCGCCGCGGCACAGCTCACGGGGCCCGCAGCCTCCTGGGCAGGCGCTGGCGGGAGGCTCCTCCAGCCCGCAGTCCTCGCCGCTGTAGCCCGCGTGGCACACGCACGTACCCTGCACGCAGCGCCCGCGGCCCCGGCAGTCCCCAGGGCAGGTGCGCATGGCGCAGGCGGGGCCAGCGAAGCCCGGGTCGCACACGCACACGCCATCCTCACAGCGGCCGCGCCGATGGCAGTCGGAGGGGCAGGCGCGCGTGCTGCAGTCCTCACCCGCGAAACCCTCCCAGCAGGCGCACACGCCGTCCCGGCACACGCCCCGCTGGCTGCAGTCGCGCGGGCACCGCCTCACGCCGCAGTCCTCGCCCGTGTAGCCCTCGTGGCACATGCACACGCCGTCCTCGCAGCGCCCGCGCCCGCGACAGTCCCCAGGACACCGCCTCACGCCGCAGTCCTCGCCGGCGAAGCCCGGGTCGCACACGCACACGCCGTCCTCGCAGTGCCCGCGCCCGCGACAGTCCCCGGGGCAGGTGCGTGTGCCACAGTCCCGGCCGGTGTAGCCGGGCCAGCACACGCAGCGGCCGCTTTCGCAGCGGCCACGGCCGCGACAGTCTCCAGGGCAGGTGCGCACGCCGCAGTCCTCGCCGGCGTAGCCCGCGTGGCACACGCACACGCCGTCCTCGCAGCGCCCGCGGCCCCGGCAGTCGCGCGGGCAGGCGCGCTTGCCACAGTCGGGCCCGGTGTAGCCCGGCCAGCACACGCAGCGCCCGTCCTCGCAGCGGCCACGCTGGCTGCAGTCCCCGGGGCAGGCGCGCACGCTGCAGTCGTCGCCGGTGTAGCCGGGGTCACAGATGCACTCGCCGTCCTCGCAGCGCCCGCGGCCCCAGCAGTCGCGTGGGCACGTGCGCATGCCGCAGTCCTCGCCCGCGTACCCAGGCCAGCACTCACAGCGCCCGTCCACGCAGCGCCCGCCCTCGCCACAGTCCCGGGCGCAGGCGCGCACGCCGCAGTCCTCGCCGGAGTAGCCGGGGTCGCACGCGCAGCGCCCGTCCACGCAGCGCCCCCTCTGGCTGCAGCCCCGGGGGCAGGCGCGCTGGCTGCAGTCGGGGCCCGTGAAGCCCGCCCGGCACACGCATGCGCCCTGCACGCAGCGCCCGCGGCCCTGGCAGTCCCCGGGGCAGGAGGGCCGGTCGCAGCTCGGGCCCGTGTAGCCGGGGAAGCACACGCAGCGACCGTGGACGCAGCGACCCTGATCGTTGCAGTCATCAGGGCAAGAAGTGGGTGCTGAGGGCGGGGAGGGGGCGGAGGCCCTGGCGACGGGGTCCGAGCAGGTGGGCCCGCCCCAGCCAGGCTCGCAGGAGCAGGCGCAGCGGCTCAGGTCGAACACACCGTGGAGGCTGCAGAGGCTGCGCACGTCTGTCTGGCCTGGAGAGAGACAAGAGGCGCAGCCTCAGCTTGGGCGGGGAGAGCCTGGCCCGTGGGGTGCACCCACAGTAGGGGCTGCTGTAGGGCAGGCCTTGCTTCCCAAAGCCCTCGTAGCGCCCGCGTGCGTGTGCGTGTGCGTGTGTGGCAGTGAAATGCTTGGGTTGATATCCAACCCCGTTCCACTCCCCTAATTGTGAGCCGTGCCCTGACATCCTGGAAGGGGCACACCAGGATCCCTCGTGGGTAGGGCTGGCCCTGTCTCCCTCCGCCCTCTGCCTCCACCCTGCTCACCTGTGCCCGCCTGGGCAGCCGGGGGACAGCACCCCGCGCCGCACTGTTCCTTCAGCCCCTTCACCAGCGCCTCCAGGACCTCTAGCCGGACCCTCAGGGCCTGCATCTCCGAGGCAGGGGCAGGGGGCTCCGCGCCCGGGCTGCAGCCACAGCCCGAGGAGGGCGGGAGGTTGATGCGGTGGGTGAAGACCACTTGCTTCTCCCCTCCCTCCACCGTGTGCTCATAGTGCTGAGAGGAGGGGCGCCCCTCCTCTGCGCCCACCATGCGGCCCCCTGGCTGGGGAGGGGGCCGTGGTGCTGGGAGCGTCACATTGAACCGCGGGGGGAAGGGTCCTGCTCCGGCTGTGCCCAGCAGCACCAGGAGGACCAGCTTGACTGTCAGGGGCCGCTGGGCTGGCATCGTCCTGAAGGCTGCAGGAAAAGAGACAGACAGACAGAAAACAGTGTGAGAGGTGCTTCTGGGAGGAGACAAAGCACACCCCACACGTGTGCATCGTCCTATGGCTTGTGACTGCTCATGAAAGTCCACCCACCTCACGCCCAGCCCCAGGACAGGGTGCCCTCTCTGGGCAGATCCAGCTCAACCTCTCTTTCTGACCTTAGCTGGCTTATAATTGCTCCCTGCCCCACACCAGCTGTCCCCCATCCCCTCCTGCACACACCCTGGTCTTTGTTTTTCCCCACAAACACTGCAAGCTTTCACTGGCTTCAGGGCCTTTGCACTGTGTGCTCCAGGTTCTCTGCACTGGGCTCTTAGAGGCCAGGCTCATTCAGGTCAGATCTTAACTCACGGGGCTGGGCCCTTGTACCTGTCCTGGGAGGTGCCCCAGGCTCTGTTAGGAAGGCCTGCTCGCTCCTCCAGGCATCTGCTAGGCCTGACCTTGGGTCTGCTGCTGTGTTTGTTTGTTTGCACCTTCTCCCACCGCGGGGGGAGCTTCAGGAGAGCAGGTCCCCCCGTGGAGGTCTGTGGACCTAAGATGCCAGCCCCTGTGCTGAGTGACAGTTGTGGAGGGAGCCCTAGCCCCCAACCCCTGAACGGCTCCTGTCTTCTCAAATCCTCCGTGATGCGGGGATCATTTCCTCTCTCCCAGTCCGTAGCTGTGCTCTCCTCTGCAGCCTGTACTCTGGTTCGTCTGTGTCTGCACAGTGAGTTCATTGATTGCCAGGCACGGGTGCAGGTACAGGGTACTACTTAATTCTCACGTCCCTGTCCCTCCTCCCTGTAGCTTTTAATGTATTCGAATATCTGCCTTCAAAAAACAAAGCAAAACAGCAGCAGAGTCCTCTCACTCAAGGTACACATCAGCAAATACCAAGGCTTGCTGTAGAGGTGCCACACACAAGGTAAAATAGGGGCCCCGACAAGGCCCCGTGCACATGTGCTTGCCCGGTCAGTGACAGACCTGCGCCATGACTGAAAAGATAAAAGACAGTCTGTTCAGTTAGTGATGCTGAGTCATTCAAAGATACATACAAAAAATTAGTCTTTATTACAGATCCAGTTGTGGAAATTACGTAGAGAGATGGACCTTGGATCTAAGTTTGAAAGGTAACCCAATGCCTTTCCTCTTCTCCCTCCTCCTTCTCCTCCTCCTCCTCCCTCTCCTTCTTCTTGTCTTTTTGAGACAGGGTTTCACTATGTAGTTCAAGTGCTCTTGAGCTCACTTTGTAGCCCAGGCTGGTCTCAATGATCCTCCTGCCTCATCCTGAGTTCTGGGATGACAGGCATGTGCCATCACTCCTGGCATTTGTAATATCTTTCTTAACACTTTATGGGAAGAAAAAATAGGACAAAATCCTTATGATTTTGGAGTGAGCAAAGATATCTTAAGTGGAATACACAAAACCAAACCATAAAAAAAATGAACTCCATTAGAATTAAACAGAAGACCTCATGCATGCTGGGCAAGCTCAGTACCGCTGAGCTACATCCTCGGCACAAGAATTTTTAGGTCACCAAATGACATCAGCAAGAAGGCAAGAAGGCCAGCCATAGAAGGGGAGAAACTGCATAAGATACACACAGAGGATTAAGATCGAAAATAAAGAACTCTTGGGAACAGAACAGCAGGGGCTGAGGGTTTAGCTCAGCTGCATAAGTGTCTGGCTGTCAAGCAGAAGGTCATGAGCTCAATCCCTGTTACCAGCACACACACACAGGACAGGGAGCCAGAAGAGGGTATATCCAAAAGTCCAACAAATATTAACAGGTGTACACTATCACTAGTCACCAGGAAAATGCAAATTAAAAGCACAGTGAGAAGCCATTCAATGGCCACTAAGTGGCTAAGATTAGAGGGACGACTTTGGAACTCTTTGCCTGTCACAAGCAGAAGCATAAGCTCAGTAGAACAACCTTGGAAAGATAGCTTGGTGGTATCTGTAAAGCACACAGCCTGCGGCCTGGCAGCTGCACTTCTTGGTGGCTGTCCAGTGACAGTGCCCGTGTGTGTCCTCCAGCCGGCCTGCAGGGGCCGGAAGACTTGTCTTATCAGCCTAGCTCTATTGTCCATTGACGGTAGCCCCGGGAGATGACCTGTGGCAGAGTCACGCAATGGAATATTATACACACAGAGAAATGGCTTCCTGTTACATGCAGCAAGATGCGTGGACTTCACACACACAGTGCTGAGCAAAAGAAACTAGACACAGAGCAGGCTGTGGTAGTGCCTGCTTGTGATCCTAGCATTCTGGGAAGCTGAGGCAGGAGAATCACCAAGTTTGAGCCCAGCCTAGGCAACTTAGTGACCCTGTCTAGATTTAAAAAAGAAAGGAGACCCCAGTGCAAAGGTGCTGGACTCAATTCCCAGTGGTAAAAACAGGAGCTAGGGGCAGCATGCATGGGGGCGTCACCGGAGACTTCTGGAAATGTTTGTATCTTGACCTGGGTGGTGGTTAGACAGATGTATATATCCAAAAATTCCCGGAACTGCACACCTCGGAGCTGTGCATTTAACTGTCTGCAGTTAAACCCTAAACATAACAATTAGAAAGCTTTCCCTTGCGCCACACCCAGCCCGGCAGCCCTGTACTTACGGCCCTCCCTGTACTTCCTTGCTCAGCCCTTCTCAGTCACTGAATCCAGCCGGCCGAATTTTCCGTTTTCACAGTTGTCTGAGTGCCGCGCTGGGCTTCGTGTGAGCTACGTCCCCAGCACTTTTCTACTTTTATTTGGAGATGAGGTCCTCCTCAGTTGCCCAGGCTGGGCTCACACCTGTGATCCGCCTTTAACCACCAGGGTAGTTGAGATTCTAGGTGTGCACTGCCACACCCAGCCAAATAAAAGTATTTCTCTGCCTATAGGTAGCCTGGAGGAAGCCATGGCCAGAGAGACTGAGGAGCTGAGTTGTACGCTCTGTTAAATGCTCCCCAGATGGTTCTAATGTGCAGCAGGCTCTCTGAGTGTCGCCGTCCAGTCCCATGACTCTAACCTCTACACACCACCTGGGCGTGGTGGCATACGTCTGGCATCCCAGCCCTTGGGAGGCTGAGGCAGGGGGATCGCTGCGAGTTGGAGACCAGCCTGGGCTACAAAGTGAGCTCCAGGAGAGATGGAGTTCGGCATCCCACTCCCGTCCCACGCTGCCTTGCCATCTGGCCAGCCAGCCCTCACCTCGCTGCCCCTGGCCCTCGAGTCGGCCAGCCCTCGAGCACACCGTGTCTGGCTCTTCCAGCGTCGCTGCTGTGAAGAAAGCTCAGGCTGGAGGCGGGGCTCAGCCGTGTGAAGGTTCCCCAGGCAGCTGCAGACTCCAGCAGTTCTTGCCAGCAGCGTGCCCAGCATCATCTCCCACAAATCCCTTCAGCCTGAGGAAAGTCTGGTCCTTTTTGTGGCCAGATGAATTTTTGGGAGTTCAAAAAAGAAATTCAGGGTGGAGACTTCTCAAATCAGAATGGAACAGGTGGAGAAAGGATTTATGCAAAAAGTTTGAAGATGAAAACTTTCACCACAAGCATGACCACAAGGGTTCACCCAGCAAGGCAAATGCAGGGCGGAGACAAAGGCTTCTCCGTTCTGTATCACCACAGCCCCAGCCCCTCGTTTGGCAGGGAAATGGGTGGCGCTTGGCCAAGCAATTGAAGAAATAGGTGTGGTGAGGATACTGGAAAACGGAGAGGCAAATGGGGAAGTTACGATGGAAAGTGGAGAACTGCAAAAAGGTGACACGGGGGAAATGTTCCCAAAAGATGGGACAGTCTGTTGGGACTCTGTTGACAGTCATCCAGATGTCCCTGACAACTCTGATGTGGATTTCAAAGATGTAGATAGAATTTTATTAACAACGGAAGACATAGAACATTGGAAATACCCTTTTTTACATCTCAGAACTGGAAGATAGCCACTAGAAAAATACACAAAGGTCTTCAGGTATATGGATTGTTCAGAGCTGTTATTAAGGAAGCAGACAGACTCAGGCTGCAGTGTACACTGGTGTGTGTGTACACTGTCGTGTGTGTGTGTACACTGGTGTGCACACTGAGGATGTCAGATTGGCAGGGAGCAGTTACTTGTCTGGCACAGCAAATACCAAAGCAGTGTATTACAGAGCTCAAGGATGGCTCGGATTAGAAGAAGATGATCAAGCATTGGCTGATCTTAAGAAAACTCAAGAGATAGCACCGGAGGGTAAAGCTATCTAGGCAGAACTGTGGAAAGTCAGACAAAAGACAAAGGCCCGGAAAGAAAAAGAGAAGGCAATGGACACAAAACTGTTCACCTAGTAAGGGTTCACTTTTGCCTGAGTGTGATGCCCAGGTTAGGCAGCTTAAGCCAACGAGACAATGTCACATGCGTCTACATGTGATCCCTGAGCCTCCTTTGACGCTTTGGTTCCTCCTTGTTACAGTTCAGAAATCCTGAAGTGTCCCTCTTCATAAAAAATATTTTTTAAAATGTCAGTGAAGTTGGTCTTTCATAATTGTTTTCTGCATGTTTACAGAGAACAGTGCCAAATCTGGTTTTAAACTCTTAAGTCATAACTTATTGAGTGAATAGATGCACACTTACATTTGTATATTTATCATGTTTCTCACAATCCTTAGTGGATCTGCGGTAGATCCATGCTGGTGTTTTATACTTGTACATAATACACAGACCGTCTGTTCTGGGACTGGCCAGAGACCAACATGTTTAGGGCTTGTGGCCCATCCGGTCTGTCACATCTACTCAACTCTGTAACTCAAGGGTAACTTCTTCATCATGGACAATGTGTGAGCAAGGATGTGGCTGTGTTTCAACAAAACTTTATTTAAAAAAACCAAAACTGTTCATAACAACAAAATAAAACAACTTTTTTTTTAGTTTAGAAAGTTAAAGACTATGGGGAAACCAGGTCTGGAGACATACATTTGTAATCCCAGCACTCCCGAGGCTGAGGCAAGAGGATTTACCAATTTGAGTCCAACCTAAACCA